GAGACCAGAGAGAGAGGCCAGAGAGACCAGAGAGAGACCAGAGAGAGACCAGAGAGAGAGACCAGAGAGAGACCACACACAGACACAGCACTGCAGACTTTAGGACAACCACAAAATGATATGCCATGAGTACGAGCACTGCTGAGGCTGTAATGATGGCTCAGATTAGTGGCTGTTTAATGGAAGGTCTTCATTCCAACCAAGCAGGAGCAAACCAGACCAGAGAGAGAGAGGGACCAGAGAGAGACCAGAGTGACACCCGAAAACAGAGACCAGAGAGTGAGACCAGAGAGAGATACCAGAGAAAGACCGGAGAACAGAGAGAGGGACCAGAGAGAGAGATCAGAGAGAGACCAGAGAGAGAGGGCCCAGAGAGAGACCAGAGAGAGATACCAGAGAAAGACCGGAGAACAGAGAGAGGGACCAGAGAGAGAGATCAGAGAGAGACCTGAGAGAGAGACCAGAGAGAGAGGGCCCAGAGAGAGACCAGAGAGAGAGACCAGAGAGAGAGATCAGAGAGAGACCTGAGAGAGAGAGATACCAGAGAGAGACAGGAGACCAGAGAGAGAGGCCAAAGAGAGAGACCTGCGAAAGACCAGAAAGAAAGACCACAATTGTCATTTCGATACTTTTACAATAATCTGTGTATTAATATATCGTCAAATAAGAATGACAGAAAAATCCTTTCTTAATTCTAAAGATAAAAGGAAAAGCTATGAATAAACATTGTTGGACTTTGCTTGTCCCCAACATCACTTCCTAATTAACCAGATCATTATGAGTTTATGAATTTTACATGTGGACTGGGAGAGCCTGCAGCATGGATGTTTGTGTTGGCACTTTTTAATACAGACTATGGGGTAATTATCAAACTTAATTATCATTGAGCTGATAACCGATCCAAGAGACAGGGTTCAATGCCTTGCTGAACGACACAACAACAGTATAGCACTTTACATCCTGCTGTGGAACCTGGAGTAGAGGTCTCCCATCAGCTACTAACCAGGCTCTGTCCTGCTTAGCATACAGGTGGCGCCACAGAATACAATATGAAATGTTTGGCCGCTCCCCATCTCTTACTCCAGTATTTAATTTTGTAATGTACTCAAGATCATGTTTCACACTAGAACCTCCAGAGCAGTCAATTTGACGGTTTTAGTTTAAGAAATATAATGACTCAGCATTTACCGTTTTTGACTTCGTAACTTTGTGACTTTTTCCGTTCCTGTATCTTTTTTTATTATCCAAATTCAAATATAGCCATTTTCGGTTGCTTGATATCCAACTTTCTACGGTAGTCAAAATCCTCTCTAGTTACCATAGCAACACACTGTTTACTTCCAGTAGTTAGCATTTGGTCTTTAGCATTAGCATTTCAAAGTACTACTCATTTATCAGAAGTATTGTAAATTGTGTCATGATATTACTGAATTATTTGTATTACCATAATGAGCAACAGGAAGTCCCAAACTAGTCATTTTCTTTGGTAAACGCTCCAAATAAGATATAAACAAGTAAAAACAAAAAGATATAATTATTGCATCAAAACAACCGGAAGTATTTTCCCCAACACTGATCAGTGAGAGTCTGACCCAGGCCTGTGCAGGAGACTGTGGTCTGTGGGTCTGAGGCTCGGAGAACAGAGGAGCTGTGTGCAGGGACTGAGCGGCTACTCCACTTAAAGAGACAGTACACATGTTTACATTACTTATCTTTATGGTATCTGTGTTCCCGGACACAAGGTCCACATTTACAAATGTGGCATTTTCTGATACAGCTTCTCATTGATAAAACAAATGATGATATGATGAAAGATATGATGCCCACAATATTCATGTTAACACTCACACTCCCAGAGCAGTCAATTTGACAGCTTTTAGTTTTTATGTGTAATTATTCAGTGTCTTTCTATTTGTGCTTTTATAACTTTAGTTTCCATGTGTTTGTTTGTTTCTATGTCATTATTATTTTATGTTTTACAAGAAATTATGTTGTAATCTATTGCAGTTAAAGCCCCTTTTCTCACTGGTCCTTGATTGGTCCTGGACTGGTCCTGGAGTGGTCCTTGACTGGTCCTTGACTGGTCCATGACTGGTCCTGCACTGATCCTTGAGTGGTCCTGGCCTGAAAAGCCAGTGCTAGTGCGAGTTTATGCTAGTTACCATAGCAACACACTGTGTACCTGCAGCAGTTAGCAAGTAAAAACTGTCTTTTGCTTAATTTCAAGTTTCTTTGACTAATTTTAGCACTTTTTAACAGTGATTAAAGTTAATATCCACTTATTCTGATGTAAAACTGGCAGATAAGGATGCCAGTGGTTTGGATTGGTGCAGTCAAAATGACGGCTCTGGGAGTTCTACTAGTTTCAGAATCCTGGGAGTCCTATATATATATACTGTATGTTATGTTAATATATATCCTCCAAAAAACTATTGCCGATCATAGTTATGCCAACAGGAGGGACTGTTGTAAATATATATTATTGTTGAAAAATACTTCATATCATAGTATAGCCGTCCCAGAAATATATTATTACTATTGTTATTTTCAAATTGATATACAAGTTAAGGCTCCTGGTGCACATTTCTGACTTCCAGAGTGAGTCCAACAGAGCAGGCCTTGAGTCCAGGCTGCAGACTCTCTCCACCAGTGCCAAAAAACCTCCTCCTTCTGTTTTTCTTTCCCAAACGTCCTTCTTTCTTTGCTTTGACTGCGTTTGAACTTTTAAAACATAATATTTTGGAAAAACTGTAGGTTAAGATCAAAATGAGTTCAGTTCAAAATCCCATATGGAAGAAAGAAGACAGCTCAGTGTATACAGCAGACATATGTAACCTTTAGCTTATGTGCTTATTCTATAGATTCAGATTGACTTTAGCTGCAGTAAAACCACATTGGAATACATGTGCGAGCGTCCCCAGTGTGCACCAGACCAGTACTTATACAAAACAAGCTAAAAAAGGGAAACTACAGCTGGGTACACTGCAAAAAGTGATGAAAAATGAGTCTAAAATGTCTCAAATTTGACAAAATGTATCTTAATTTAAGCACATTCTGACTGAGCCTTGAAACAATATATTCTAATGAGACAAAGTAAAATTATCTTGTTTTAAAAAGACACAAGAAATGTCTCCCTTAAAGCAACAGTTCATGAAATAAGGCTAAATGGCTTTGTCCCAGTGGAGATTTTTTTTTAACACAGTCACAATGTGCAAAGACTAAGATTTATGCAATTATTAGCTAATATTTTATAATTTTTTGCAGTGCATTTTATCATTATTACAGTATAATTTGTTCTAATCAAATCACTGGGGCTCAATTTTAAAACCAAACAGACTCATTTTACAGTGTTCTTCGGTGAACGGGGAATTGTCCAAAGTCAACAGTTGTTCTTTGTCCTGCCTCAGCTTCACTCTTCGCTGTCATGACCAGAGGAAATCTAGGCTCCGTGTGGGATTAGATTTTACTCGGTGAAGAGCTCATGACCACTTGTAATTAGAGAAAATGAGTCATGAGGCCGAAACTACAGAGGCGAAGCTTCACAGATATGATTATGGGTCTAAAGGGTTGACCAAAATACAATTAAAACAAGTATTCCAGGCCCTGCCCTGAGCTTAGCTTCACATTTCTGACTTTCACATCACATGGACTGGTCTTGGACTGGTCCTGGACTGGTCCTGGACTGGTCATGGACTGGTCCTGGACTGTTCCTGGACTGGTCATGGACTGGTCCTGGACTGTTCCTGGACTGTTCCTGGACTGGTCCTGGACTAGTCCTGGAATGGTCATGGACTGGTCATGGAATAGTCATGGACTGGTCCTGGACTGGTTATGGACTGGTCCTGGACTGGTTATGGACTGGTCCTGGACTGGTTATGGACTGGTCCTGGACTGGTCATGGACTGGTTATGGACTGGTCCTGGACTGGTTTTGGACCAAGTAATACCACACATTACTTGCTTTTGATAAATCTGGTGTCTGGTGCTCACTTGGGGATTCTTGATGGAAATTTCTCAGAATTCCAATGGTTTGAATGGGAGCAGTCAAAATGACGGGTTTGGGAGTTCTCACAGTTTCACATTTGTGGGATTCCAATTTAAATGAAAACAAAAGATTGTAAAAATGTGTTTACTGAGCTCAGAGGAGGTGAGACTGTGGTAAAACTGGAGAGACAGACTGTGGGAGCCACCGAACAGGACTGAACCAAAACCAGTCCATCCGGTTCTGGACCGAGAGAAACTGTATCCATCAAGAAAACAACTTTCTCATGACATCATTGTTAGTTTAAAGCTGAAAAATATAAATATAAATATGAAAACATCTGCAAACTGTGAGGACTTTTTCTTGAGCGTTTTTTAACCATGTTACAACATTTCTCTCTCATCAGAAACCGGCCTGGACCCCCGCCCCTTCTGTTCGAATGCTCCTCCAATCTCAAACTCGTCACACTTTAGCAAATCCTCAGACTATTCTGCAAAAAGGGAGAAAAACAAGTAAACAATTGCTTGAATTTGGAAATGTTTTAAACCAATATTTGCCAACGGGACCAGCAAAAAACAAGACAGCATTAAAAAAATAAAACCTAGATGGAAGCACTTATTGTCTTATGTTTGACCAGTTTATTTCATGTAACCGGGAAAGTCTGACGGAGAATGCAAAATCGAATGAATGAATGAATGAATAAATAAATAAATAAATAAATAGGGCCTGGGTTAGCTTTAAGTCACAGATATTTTGTCAAACGAATCTACAGCCAGTGCCAAATGGAGAAAAGAAAAAGCTTTGGCTGTAAGTACAGTATAACGGCATGAAACAAATATATATATACAGCACATTCTTCGAACAATATGAACTTGTACGGCCTCCTCTGCAAATAAAAACACAAAACACTGAGTATAGTGCGGCGTACTTTTCTGAGACGGCGTTTATCAAAAGGAATAAAAACTGAAGGATGTAATATTTAGTGTTGGAGAAGCAGAAATCAACAGAACTGGAGGCTCTCAGCGTGAGTCCTCTACACAGGACGCAGCAATCACCCCCAGAGTCCTGATCCACCCCCAGAACCACCCCCAGAGTCCTGATCCACCCCCAGACCCAACCCCAGAGTCCTGATCCACCCCAGAGTCCTGATCCACCCCCAGAACCACCCCCAGAATCCTGATCCACCCCAGACCCAACCCCAGAGTCCTGATCCACCCCAGACCCAACCCCAGAGTCCTGATCCACCCCAGAGTCCTGATCCACCCCCAGAACCACCCCCAGAGTCCTGATCCACCCCCAGACCCAACCCCAGAGTCCTGATCCACCCCAGAGTCCTGATCCACCCCCAGAACCACCCCCAGAATCCTGATCCACCCCAGACCCAACCCCAGAGTCCTGATCCACCCCAGAGTCATGATCCACCCCCAGAACCACCCCCAGAGTCCTGATCCACCCCCAGATACTGATCCACCACCAGATCTATCCCGACCCACCCCCAGAGTCCTGATCCACCCCCAGTTCTACCCCCAGACCCACCCCCAGAGTCCTGATCCACCCCAGACCCAACCCCAGAGTCCTGATCCACCCCAGACCCAACCCCAGAGTCCTGATCCACCCCAGACCCAACCCCAGAGTCCTGATCCACCCCAGAGTCCTGATCTACCCCCAGAACCACCCCCAGATACTCATCCACCACCAGATCTACTCCCAGACCCACCCCCAGAGTCCTGATCCACCCCCAGTTCTACCCCCAGACTCACCCCCAGAGTCCTGATCCACCCCCAGAGTCCTGATCCACCCCAGACCCAACCCCAGAGTCCTGATCCACCCCAGAGTCCTGATCTACCCCCAGAACCACCCCCAGATACTGATCCACCACCAGATCTACTCCCAGACCCACCCCCAGAGTATCCACCCCCAGTTCTACCCCCAGAACCACCCCCAGAGTCCTGATCCAGGCCCGGGTCTGCCCTCTCCAAACACAGCCCCAGTGATGGATCTGCCCCAGACACAATCCGAGCGTTTTACTGTGGCGTTTCCAGTTGTTATTGTTGGAAATATTGTGGTTATCGGACAGAGCGGGATCGATGTTAGAGCCGGCGGATCAGGCACCAGTCATTCTCTGTGATGTACGGACTTTAAAAGAGACGCATTATCTTTGAATGTTGAAAGTGATCTACAAGTGAGACAATTAACGCGACAGAAAAAGGATCAAATATGAGGGTAATAGTGGCTAGTGCACGGACAAGATCATGTAGTCTAATTTCAAGAACTGTTGCTTTATTTTCTCGTTCCAAGCGAGACATTTCTAGTATATTTTTAAAACAAGATCATTTTGCTTTGTCCCATTGATAAATCTAGTATGGCAGTCAGAATGTGCTCAGATTAAGATACATTCTGCCAAATTTGAGCAATTTTTGGCTTTTTTTTTTTCATCACTTTTTTGCAGTGTACTTTGTCAGTTCATGTTTTTGGTGCCTACGTCCATATAAGGAAGTCAGCTCCAAGAAGCTAATGTTCAAATTGGCGTCTTCCTGTCTGGTGTATGGTGATGTCACACTCGGTCAGTCCCCTGTATACAGTCAATGCGGAAATGAGTCTTCGTAAATTCTGAATGTGTGAATGAAAATTAATAGTTTTAAATATCTTGAATATTTTTTTTCATGTAATTACGCAAACACCTTTTAATGGCATACATTTTTATCGCGCTTTTTAACACAAGCCCAAAAGTCCCTGTGAAGTCTTTGAGAAGTGTAGACAAACTGACTTCGGATCAGGAATGGCATCAGCACACACACGTTTTAAAAATGTGACAAAAAGCAACGTCACTGCTCGGCAAAAAAATCATAACTCAGGCTGACGAGCGCCTTCCCACAGCCCCCACGCTCGAGGGTTTCTGCTACAAAAGCCTTGAGCGCTCTGTAGGCGATGTAAGGTACTGCAGGCGTGAGCAATATCGTAGCGTATAAATGTATGTTGATTAATTTTGACTTGTTTGCACCGAGAGCCAAGGCGATTTCCTTTGACTTCCTGCTACTCACACGGCAATAACAATGATTCTGATTCTGACTCTGAAGTAAGATTAGATAAGATAATATAGACTTTGTTGATCTCTGATGGAGAAACGTACATGTCACATTTAGCACAGATAGAGTCAGTCAGATTTGTGCAAAAGACAGAAGTGTGCAAACATGTTTAAGGTTAAAAATATAGCCTGTGCAGGATATACATATGTACAATAAAAAAGTAGCCTATAGGAAAACACACTACAATTCAATTTGGTTTTGTATCGCCCCAAAATCACAACAGCAGTGGTCGAGGAAGACTTTCAAACACAGGAAGTGCAATAATAACAAACACGTAGAGCCATAGGTCCATAGGGAGCGGGATGAGCAACCATCACTGACTTATACACAATAGTCTTTCTGCTCCTGCTGCAGTCAGACTGTACAATGAACACTGCTGACCGTTAACCAGTAATAATTAAAATGCAATCCGATTTAAGACCGAGCAATATCGTGTCTAAACGCTGCTGTGTTTGCGCTCTGTGTGGAGTCTGTACTTTAATCTAATTGGTGTTTATACATGCTTGTTATTCCTGAGCCTAATTATAGTTTATAGTTTTGTATTTTTGTATAGCCCTGATTCCCAACAGTAGATCAGAGAATCAAACATGTACGAACACAGGGACTGCAGTAATAACAAACACAAAGAAGACATTGGTTCATAGATCATCGGATCATCTAGACCAGGCCTGTCCAAACTCAGGCCCGCGAGCCAATTGTGGCCCTCGGTGTCATCGTACGTGGCCCTCTGCTTCGATAACCTAAAGTAGTCTTTGAGATCATAAACACAAGATCCCTGTGTCATCCATCCAACTTCAGCTCAGCCAATATAGACCTTGTTCTAAAGCCCAGTACGTTGTTGACTTTATTTGCACATACTGTACTAACGATAATGGTGCTAATGTAGCTGCTGAGGTGGTAAACATGTGTCATTCAGCCAACTTCAGCTCTGCTCTAGATCACTTTAAAACAGCCCGATGCCAGTCAAGACAGTTTTTCAGTCCGTGACGTCGGCCCCATGGACACTAAAGTGTCCCTCTTACTAAAATCTTTGGACACCCCTGGTCTAGATAGGTCCTCCTACCTGTCAATCATTCTGGTGATTTGCGAGACATGTTTTAATAGGTCTTCTTTCTGAGGAGGGCGGTTCATTCCTAAAATTAGGGAAAATCCTCCTGTATCTTTAAGAAATGTTCATAAATGTCCTTAAATGTGTCGGATCATCTCTGTCCTTAGACTCCACTTTCTACAAAAAAATGTATGCATCACAAGTTATTCTGTATTGTTTGTGTTGTTTTTAATTTATCTGAGTGCTATTTTCATGATCAAATCAACGTTATTGTTTAAAACGCGCTGGTAGCTGTAGCAATAGAAAAGGCAAGGCGAGTTTATAGCACAGTTAGTTCATACGCAAGACAACTTAAAGAGCTAAACAAGATAAAATTACACAAGGAATTTAAATCATGAATAATCACAGTACATTAAAAAGATACAGTCCTTTAGTTCTCTGTTTTTAACCTGGATTTGAACATTCTCAGAGAAGAAGCCTGTCTCACGTTTTCAGGAAGACTGTCTGCCTCTTCGTGCCTGGTCCAGCCAACATCATTTTTTTATATTTTCAGTAGAATCTCTTAAATATTAAACGTCCCGTGTTTGGTGAGAGCACTCAGAGCTGCAGGTCATGTATGTATATTCTTATTTTTTTGTTCTAGGTCTGGTTATTCTGGCAGAAAAAGACCAAAGATCGAGACGTTGATATTATTATTACTATTTAATGCTTTACCTTTGCACATTAGAACGAGCACTTTAAATCCCTGCTTCAGACGCACCTTTTTCCTTTTTGGCTTTTAACACCAGTACAAGATGGCGCCTCGTACGGTCGACATGGCTCTTTGCTGCTCTCTTTTTCTTTTGTTTTTACTTTTTAACTGTGCATCTGGCTGTTCCTACACCCGTGAGGAACTTATGAACATCCGACCCACCGTTCCCATGGACCTATTGCCTGTTTTCTTGGCATCTGCGGCTGATTTAGTTCATGTTCTAGCCAAAAAAGTGTGGGCCCGTAAAAGGGGAAAGCGCGGAGGCCTGCTCGTGCGTCTTAGGAGGAGAGGAGCGCGCACGGCTCTCCCCGGCATTTTTCTCTCCAACGTACGCTCACTGGGCAATAAGATGGACGAACTCAGCCTGCTCATGAGAAGAAACAAGGACTTCGCCACATCCTGTGTCCTCTGCTTCACTGAGACCTGGCTAAATGAGCGGATCCCGGACTGCGCTCTGGAGCTGCAGGGCTTTGGGCTGTTCCGCGCGGATCGCCATTGTGCGCTCTCAGGGAAGAGCAGAGGCGGTGGGCTGTGTTTCTACGTCAATACAAACTGGTGTAACGATGTGACAGTGATCTCCAAGCACTGCTCTCCTGCTCTGGAATATCTTTTCATTCATTGTAAACCATATTACTCCCCGCGGGAAATTGTTTCATTCATTCTTGCCTCTGTTTACATACCGCCATGCGCGGACGCGCGCGAGGCTCAGCGCGCACTCGCAGAGCAAGTACTGTGTATGGAACGTTTATACCCGGACTCTCTGATTATTATCCTGGGGGATTTTAATAAGGGAAACTTGAGCCAGGAATTACCCAAATACAGACAGTTTATCAAATGCCCGACCAGAGAGGAGAACACTCTGGATCACTGTTACACCACCGTGCGCGGAGCTTTTCGCGCTGTTCCCAAGCCAGCCCTCGGCTTCTCAGATCACTCCATGATACATCTGGTTCCTGCTTACAGACAGAGACTAAAGCTCTCGAAACCTGCAGTGAGGAGCTCCAAAGTGTGGTCTGATGAAGCTGTGGAAGAGCTGCGCGCATGCATGGAATCTACAGACTGGGACCTTTTCAGAGCTGCCACAGACAGCTTGGATGAATACACGGACACTGTGACGTCATACATTCACTTCTGTGAGGATAGCATCATTCCAACAAGGACCAGGGTCATCTATAACAACGACAAACCCTGGTTCACTGCTAAACTCCGGCAGCTCAGGAAAGCAAAGGAGTCTGCTTTCAGGGAGGGGGACCGCAGCGGCTACAAAGCAGCTAAATATCAGTTCAGGAAAGAACTGAAAGCAGCCAAGTCCCGGCACAGAGAACGACTACAGGAGAAGTTTGGTAACAACGATACTGCTTCTGTCTGGAGGGGCCTACGGGAGATCACCAACTACAAACCCAAAGCCCCCCCCTGTGCTGATGACCACAAGCTAGCTGACGATCTGAACTTATTTTTCAGTCGCTTTGATGCTGCCCCTGACACCTCTCCCTCCCCCACCCCCCACTACTCTAACGACCCACCCATCAGCCCTGCCCCCAGCCTAACAATAGCCGCTAAAGAGATTAAACAACTCTTCCTGAGGCTGCACCCCCGCAAAGCTCCTGGCCCGGACCACGTGTCTCCGGCCACTCTGAGACACTGCGCCAGTGAGCTTACTCCTGTGTTCACGGACATTTTCAACACCTCTCTGCAGTCCTGCCATGTCCCGGCCTGCTTCAAATCCTCCATCATTGTCCCCGTCCCGAAGAAGCCCAGGATCACAGGACTCAATGACTACAGACCTGTAGCACTTACGTCTGTCGTCATGAAGTCATTTGAGTGCCTGGTTCTCTCCCATCTCAAGTCCCTCACCTCCCCCCTCCTGGACCCCCTGCAGTTCGCCTACAGAGCCAACAGATCTGTAGACGATGCCATTAACCTGGCCCTCCACCACATCCTACAGCACCTGGACTCCCCGGGGACCTACGCCAGGGTCCTGTTCGTGGACTTCAGCTCTGCCTTCAACACAATCCTGCCATCCCTGCTCCAGGACAAGCTCTCCCAGCTCAACGTGCCCGATTCCACCTGCAGGTGGATCACTGACTTCCTGACAGACAGGAAGCAGCGAGTGCGTCTGGGGAAGAATGTCTCGGACTCTCGGATTATAAATACAGGAGCCCCACAGGGCTGTGTTCTTTCTCCCCTGCTCTTCTCCCTGTACACCAACCACTGCACCTCCAGCCACGACTCTGTGAAGCTGATCAAGTTCGCGGACGACACCACCCTCATTGGACTCATCTCCAACAACGATGAGTCTGCCTACAGGAGGGAGGTGGACCGGCTGGTGTCCTGGTGCAGTGGTAACAACCTGGAGCTGAACGCCCAGAAGACAGTGGAGATGATTGTGGACTTCAGGAAGAGCACTGTCCCCCCGCCCCCACCCTCCGTGATGGACTCCCCCATCACCTCTGTGGAGTCCTTCCGTTTCCTGGGCACCACCATCACCCAGGACCTCAAGTGGGAGCCGACCATCAGCTCCCTCATCAAGAAGGCCCAGCAGAGGATGTACTTCCTGCGGCAGCTCAGGAAAGCCAAGCTGCCTGCACAGATGTTGGTGCAGTTCTACACGGCCATCATCGAGTCCATCCTCACCTCCTCCATCACCGTGTGGTTCGCTGGAGCCACAGTCAGGGACAAACAGAGACTACAGCGCATTGTGCGCTCTGCAGAGGAAGTGATCGGCCGCAGCCTTCCATCGCTGCAGGACCTGTACGTCGCCCGAGCTCGAGGCCGGGCTGGTCGTATCACAGCCGACCCCTCTCACCCTGCACATGGACTATTCCAACCACTCCCCTCAGGCAGGAGGCTGCGGTCCATCAGGACTAGAACCTCCCGCCACAAGAACAGTTTCTTCCCCTCTGCTGTTGGACTCTTGAACACTTCTTAACCTGTCCCCCCGCCCTTTATAAAGTCACTTTACTGCCCATCATACGTCACTTTACTTCACTGTACTGCTGTCACCTTACATTGTGTGCACCATGTGCACTTGTATATTGTAAATAGTAACTGTAACTCTATTTTAAATTTTAAATTTATTCTTTAGAAGTGTTTTTTATTCTTATTTTTATTATCTCTTTTTGACTGTTGCACTGAGCCAAAGCAATTTCCAAGTCTGTGACCTCCTGTTACTTACGTTGGCAATAAAAATGATTCTGATTCTGATTCTGAAAGACACATTTTTAGTTTTTATGTGTATATATAATTCTGTATTTGTATGCATTTTTATTGTGCTGTTTTTACTGTCTGTACAATCAAATGTGCTCTACTAATAAATATGTGATTGATTTTTTATTATAACTAGTTTTTGCAGTGTTTTAAGACAGTTTCGTATCTGTCTCTTTAGCTACGCCACAATGTACACAGTTGCAGTAACACTATCATTCACAAAGTTACAACACACAACTCTAGCATGAGCACAGAAGTTACAACAGAACAGGACTTACCAGCCAGGATCGCTTTCCCCGGGTGCGTCAACTTGGCTCTCCCCGCTGCCGCCGCCAGACACCGCGGTCTAGGGAAGAGAGTCGCGGAAGAAGAACCACGTCTGTCCGAATCCATTTTAGCAGTGGAAAAAAAATAAAAAATAAAATAAAATAAAATAAATACACTTTGGAGCTAGTTGAAATGTCCTTGTTTTGGGAGGTTTGTGTCCACAGTTGTGTAGTTTTTGTGTGAGAGGAGACAGACGCGCGCGGTGGAGCGGTGGATGCGTAGATGTGACGCGTCCCTGAAGCGGCGGATCCTGCTCTGCGCGCGTGGACTGTGGGCGGGGCCAGAGGAAGGAGGAAGTTGGTGATGTTTATTTATGAGAGCAAAACCAAACCTGTCGCTCACTTCACGTCGTTTAGGTTTGCATCATTATTATCAGCCTCATTGTCAATAATAATAATAATAATAATAATAATAATAATAATAATAACACACACATCAAACTGTCTATAACTTAAGATAATAGACAGAATTGTAATAATAAAATGGTAAAATAGAAAAACATAAAACAAATTCACTCGGTTCTGGAGTATTTGCAGATGTGTATGTTGTACTTTAGCAGCGGAGAATATGAGCATAAAAAAACAATTGTGACAATATCAGCGTAAAGTGACTAGTGAATGGCAGAAGCATCAGATGGATATGTAATAATGCAGTAATAATAATAACAGATAAAGTGATAGTGACAAAGTTACTTGTGAATTATTATCAGTGACACTTGTACAGACTCAGCAGTTCTCGTTATACAGTCTGACAGCAGCAGGGAGGAAGGACTGGCTTAAAAAAAAAAAAAACTACCACCACTGAGGTCTATTGTATATTTTTCTTTATCATTATCCATCTTCAAGGTTTTATATGCATTATTTTTCCTCTTTTGTAAAGTTTATGGACTTGTTATTCTTGCCGATGCACGAGGGTCTCTGGACAGTGGTGATCTGGGACATTTAAGGACATTTAAGGACATTTATGGGCATTGGTCATCCTGCCTCTTGTGTAAGTCTTCTGAGATATAATGCAGCTTAAGCAGAGGTTTTGTCTCTTGTAGTCCAGAATTCACTGCTGTTGTGATTGAGAGCTGTATACAAAAATATGGGAATCATGGGACCCAGAAATGGTGCTCTTTATGGTATAAGAGATTCTTTATTCGTCCCACAGCGGGGAAATTTCAGTGTTGCAGCGCACATACAGGGCAGTAGTAAGAGCACACAGGGAGCACACAAAATATACGAAATAAGTTTAGCTGCTATGTGTCTTTGCTATAAGATAAGATACATGTTATTGATCTTAAAAAGGAGAAATGTACATGTCACATTTGCCACAGATAGAATCACTTGTGCAAAAAGACAGAGGTGTGCAAACATGCGGTTAAAAATATATTTGTGCAGCATATTAATAAGCTGCGTGCATGTTGCATCAGGAAACACAGAAACGTCCTCTGTCTGTGAGATGACATTTATTTATTTTCAGTGCATCAAAACTGGACAAGGTTGTTTTTCTCTTTCTGTCGCTAGTATCACTTGAACGCGCTCTCACCGCTGCATTAATGAGTTTGTGTTTGTGTTTCAGCCACGGCCCCTGTCTACCCTCCCCTCTCCCCGCCCACTCCCGTCCAAACACCGCTCTGACCGAAGAGAGTCCATCAATCTGGGTTTGTCCGCGACACGACGCGTCACTGGAGTCAAGGATGGCAATAACCGGGATGAGCTGCTGCTGCTGCTGATGCTGGGAAAATATATATTATCCCAACTGCCCATTCTGTCATGTAGCAAATTAAGGAACAGTGTCCATATGAAGCAAGTTAAAAAAAATGCGACAGGACCAGTTTTTTCACAAACATAGAACTATATCAAATCTCTTTTTTTCTGTATTTTATCTTTCATATTATTCATTTTTTGTGGCTTTCTAAATGTCCAAATAAACACTTGAACTGAAATCCATATAGTCTAGTCGGTTGACCTTGTTTTTTTATGCCTTACATTACCACGTTACAACAGATATTACATTACTTTTACTTTTTCCCACAAGGGGCAGATGACCAATTTCCATAAATGTTAATTATAGTCCTGGATCATCAACACTGTCCTCAGACCCTCCTTCTGGGTTGTCGGCCCTTGTCTGGTGGACTAAAGGGGGCCTCTTATACATCTGAATACCCCTCATCTATGTATAGCAGATGTCTCCAACTTGTAAATCCATTCGGAGCCACCATTAGCTCACCGCCCCCTTCCAGGTAGCTCCCCAAAGGATTTAGAAATGAACAAATCAAATAATACACTGGGTGTTTCAGATTGTATTACTTACCTGCTCATACTTTGCGCAGCAGCAAAGAATTTGTGACGATAAATAATGATTGTGGATTTAAGGATAAAGGTGTGGCTCTCTGCCTTTTTTTGTCCCCGGAAAGTAGCTCTCTGGGTAAGAAGGTTGGAGAGTGGAGATGTTTGACCAAAACCTTGCCTGGTCTTACCATACCATCGTACTCATTTCATTTTGTACTAAGGTCTGGATTTGCTCCATTGAGCTCCGTTAACAGGTGGGAGGGGTTGACTCGAGATTGAAACGATTGGATCTGAGTTTACTGTGACGTAGGTAATGCGCCCGAGTGAGTCGTTTGCATTTGCCTAGCTATAGCAATAGCCTAGCTTTAGCCATCTCTTTTGCCAATAACGAAGCATTTGCAGCAATGACATTTGCAAACATTCCTCTTGCTCCGGCTTCAATGTCTTAATATTTGGAGCCGAACCAGAACAGAATACTTTATTATCGCATTTGCCGGCAAACTACAACCAGCAATTTTGGCGCAAACTCTTGACGTCACCAACATCTACCTACAACACCCGCCTCCCCCTCTCACTGATTGGTCGGAGGGAATTCAACCGAGGAAACTGCAGCCACTAGGATCAGATCCAGACGTACACGTAGGAAATGATCTATGACCAGAGTTTACCGATGGCTAATGCTAGGCTAACCAAACCCCTGTTTGTCTCTGTTTTTTCTTATACAGTCGATAAAAAGGCAACACTTGGATTTGAACTGAATTTATTAGTTGTCTTTTTCAAATGCATTTACACCGTTTCAGTAAAGTAACGACTAACACTGCACCAGCGGACGCCGCCGCAGAACTTGTGCATTAGTTTTGCGAGTCGACGCTTCACCGGCTCATCACATAAAATGGTAAAAAATAATAAAAGTTACAAAATCAAAACTTGTGCTACTGGTGGTTACATGATCTGTTCGGCAGCACATGCAAAATACTACTAAAAATATTCTTTATATACTCTTTCCCTTGATTCCTTCAGTCGTTTTCAAACTATAAATGTATATTCTCTGAGCTGTCAGTAAGGGAGAGGGGCGAGTGTAAGGCTTAAGGTCCACGCAAACACAGACAGTACCTCAAAAAAACAGTAAACAACACAAAACACTGTAAAAATAAAAACGTCACATATTGCACACATAGTTAGAGGTTTTTAGGAGGTTAGCAATAAGCTAGCTTTTCTCGTCAGTTTTAAAGAACAAATATTATGCATCATTTCTGTATTTTCCTCGATAAACATGATATTTACTTTGGCATTTCCTCTTTTAGAATGTGGAATAATGTCGTAAGTGGAAGATATAGGGAGAAATATGACACGTGGAGGATGAAAGGACCTGGCAACGCTTCCATCTTGTGGTAGAAACGCGGAATTACACTCTGGAATTTAAAATGGGCGTAGACTGAGACTGGTGCGGGTCTTGCAGGGCTCAGAAAAGTGCTTTAGGCCGTGGACTTCAGGGGGAAACAAGTGCGGTAACGCCCAGAGAAACGCCACAAGACATAATCCATGCTGCTGAAAAGAACGTTATATATGACAGAAATAAATGCTAAACGTAAAAAAATAAAAATAAATAAAAAATATCTGTCCGCTGTTCTTACAGCGTTTCAAAACAGAGCATTCAGACAGAAGAGGCGGGGGGACGGGTTTATAAATGAGGGAACAATGTAGCAACATGTTTACACCAGGACTCCCAGAACTCCCAGAGCCGTCATTTTGACTGCTCCTGTACAATCCATCCATCCATCCATCCATTTTCTACCCTTTAATCCATTTCTGGGTCAGGGGGGTGGCAATCAGAGATGCCACCCAAGTCTCATAGCACCAGCCCCTCACTGACCCTCTGCAGGTGGTGAGTCCACAGGAGGACGGCTGCTCTCTGAGTGTGAGCATAGCCTTGATCTGTACAAACCAATGGAATTTTAAAAAATGTGTAGCTTTTCACCTGATTTATCAAACAAGTCGTGTTTTTGTTGTTGATTTGGCTCAGAACCTGTACAGAACCAGTCCAGCCCCAGTCCAGAACCAATCTAGAACCAGTTCAGAACCAGTCCAAAACCAGCCCAGGACCTGTCCATTAAAAATAAGGGTCTTTTTGGGCATAAAAAGTTGGTTTCTAAGTGACAAAAAATGGCTCACATAAAAAAGAAACGAAAGGAGAATTCTATGTCATAGAAATGAAAAGGTCACAGAGTCAAAAAGACCACATAAAAAAAACTAAAAGCCGTCAAATTGACTGCTCTGGGAGTCCTGGAGTTAACAGATTTTGCATAATATATTTCCTTTAAGGCTGCGACAAAACCCAGTGCCTTGAGCGTGTTAGTGATGGTCGTGGTCAGTGCGGATCCGTCCGGCCTGAGTAGCCTCTTTACAGTGTTGTCGTAGTAGTAATAGCAGTAAACCCAACTCAAAATCCATACCACAATATTCAAAGTTCGGAGTCTGAGACGAAAAACAAACAAACGACTGTGCGACTACAAGCCAATGGATTTCTCTTACAGCTGTGTGTTTTTCGATGGAGGTGGAATAACGGAGAGACCCGGCTCCAAACGTGTGCATTTGTCACGACTGGCTGCTGCTGAGGGAGGAGCGTGGTTCAGTGCCTCCGTCTCTCGCTGCTGCCCCCGCCTGGACGTGAAGGACTACTGCAGGTTGAAGCCGTACGGAGGCTGAGCAGGGAAACCACCAGGGGGCGCATATGAGTAACCCGTGAAGCCCTGAGGAGGAGTCACAGCAGCAACAGCAGCAGCAGGGACAGCAGGTAACATGAGCTGCTGACCTAAACACACAGATATATATAGAAATGAGAGAGACATTAGTTACAATTGTAGTTTATAATGTGTACTTTTATTCTTAATTCCATCTATCTTCTTTTACCTTTTCTCTTTGGTCCGTTTTGAATGTTTTTTATATTTTTAGACTTCAAACTTTATAGTGGTAAGTTTTTATTCTTATATTATATTCTTGGGTTTCATTAACCTGTCCAGTAGGGGGCGAATGAGCAGAGGTGGGACAACTCAGTTTTGCTCCCATTGAAAACCATGTAAAGTCTGTTTTGGAGTCAAAGGCTCTCCTCTTGTGCGGTGTACGGTTGTTGGAACAGTCTTCATCGGGGACACTCAATTCTAAGGGAGTACTAAAAAATATTTCTCAAAAGAGTCTTGATTTTGGGCATTTTTGGAAAGAAAAACAGAAGAAATTTCTGTGTTTCATTGGGGTGGCCTGCAGGGGGCGCTTATCTGGGAAAGCCTTGATCCACCTCGCCCGCCTCATTCCAGTGATTTTTTTCAAAGTGTCCTCCTTTATATGAGACCACAGTTGGAACGTGAACAAACTCTTGTCTTTCTCTCTATTTGTGCGGTTGCTACAAGCGTACACCGCACAAAAAGATGGCATTTTGACAGAGCTTCTTCTTCTACTATATCTCCGTGTATAAACCCGGCAGACTGCACCGCCAGGATACGCCACGTCCTGTTCCACGTTTGATATTCGCGCCACTGCCCTGACGTCATATGAAACCCAAGAATTACCACATATTTTATCTTTTTTTGCAGTATGATTTGTGTACATTTATTAACATGTATGGACAGTGGTCATTCTGCTCCTTTTGTACCAATGTGTTTGTTATGAATGCATTTCCTGTGTTTATACTGTTTGATTCAACAAGTGCAGTTGTGATGTCGGGCAAACTACAAAAATATATTCTGTTAAACTTCATGAATCATTTGTTCTGAATAAGGTTGAAACAGGAGAACCCACCGTACACCACAGGCTGGGGGTCGGCCACGTCCTCCTCTGTCGGTCTTTGGCTTTCTGCTTGGTCCAGTGTGTCCACCTAAAGACATTTCAAAGTTTAGTCCAGCACCACGTTTTAACCCTCAACTCTAAGTCTAAACTCTGCAGTAAAGTGATCTTGGTGAGAATACTACACTGATAGAAACTAAAGCATGTCTTTAGTCTCCATTAGTCCCTCTGAGATTTCAGAATCTCATTTTCAGGGGAGTCCTGGCCCCAGAGAGAGAGGGACATGTTTTGAGATATCGTACATGTTTTAGATGTTAGGAAAACCTACGCAAACACAGGGAGAACATGCAAACTCCTCTCTGAAAGGCCCTGTTGCGACTAGGATTCGAACCCAGGACTTTGCAGAGGAGCGAAAGTTCTCACCACTCAGAAGGAAGAACATTTATTTTTAGTTCTGAATGATCGATCCCTGTTGATTCTGTGAATGATCGTGTGGCGGAAGTTAAAGATTAAGACTAAGGTTTGAATTAAAATGAACTCAAAAACTTTTAACACGAACAACAGTAAAGTTTGTCTATCCTACAGTTAGAAAAGAGGGATGCGTTGGACAGCACACTCTAAGGGTTCAGTAAATATAGTCAATCCAAGACACACTCCACATGAGCAGGTGAGGAGGCTGCTTAAAGCTCAGGTACTTAACTTTATATGAAAGACACTTTCTATTGGGACAGTCTTTTAAAAGGACAATATTGGGAACCAATCAGACAATTTATGAATAGATAAGATAGACAGACGGACATACACACACACGCACGCACACACGCACACACACAGACAGACACACACACACACACACACACGCACACACACAGACAGACACACACGCACACACACACACACACAGACAGACAGACACATACGCACAGATATGTACAGAGATGTATCGATATTTTAGTTATTGAAGATTCAGTCATTTTTATAAAGAGAGAGAGAAAGACTAGAGAACAGAAAGAGACCTAAGAAAGACCAGAGAGACCAGACAGACCAGACAGAGTCCAGAGAGAACAGAGCGAGTCGAGAGAGAGACCAGTGAGAGAGCAGAGAGAGTCCAGAGAGAGACCAGAGAGAGTCCAGAGAGAGACCAGAGAGAGTCCAGAGAGAGACCAGAGAGTCCAGAGAGAGACCATAGAGTCCAGAGAGAGACCATAGAGTCCAGAGAAAGTCCAGAGAGAGAGACCAGTGAGAGACCAGAAAGAGACCAGAGAGTTCAGAGAGAGACCAGAGAGAGACCAGAGAGTCCAGAGAGAGTCCAGAGAGAGACCAGAGACAGTCCAGAGAGAGACCAGAGAGACTTGGCGTTTGAAAAAACTATGGTGAGCATATCTGAAGCCAATAAACATAATCTGGTTAAAAAATATGAAAATTCGAAAATGTTTATGTTATGCTTTCAGTGGACAGACAAAGTAACGTGGAACACCTTTAAAAAGTAAATAGACACATTACAAATAGAAACTTGTGCTGAGAGTTAGGACTGGAGCGAGAGCAGTCGAAGCAGAACACTATCCATGCTGCTGTTTGAAACCAGATCAATAACACAATAACAGAGCCACACAAAACTCATAATGAAAAAGCCCAGAGACTTCACCTTCGCTGTAAACGCATCAACCTGCAAAAGACAAGCTGCAGTGACCCCTGGAGTCCAGCTGCGGTATTACACCAAGAATAAACACTGAGAAAGTCTATATGGTGATGGATTGTTTTAGCAGGGCAGGGCCTGGTCAGTAATGTGATGGGAAACCTCTGATAAGACACTTCACCCACATTGCCTTGATTACAATGAGTCTGGTGTGTGTGTGTGTGTGTGTGTGTGTGTATGTGTTTGTGTGTGTGCACTTGTTTTCAACTGCTGGTGGGTTCCATAACCTGAGATTCCACTCACGTCATGGGGACTGGTTTTACGTGGTGGGGCCCGAACACCGGACCCCACTGGTCCAAGCTTAATAATCAATGGGTAATGCTTTTCTAACGGTCCTTATGCAGTCTCTGTAAAAATATGGAAAGGACCCCTGGAGGTTTACTTTCCTGAAAAAAGTGTGTTATGTGTCGGAACCCTGGTGGTGGTTTGCGGGATATCAAGGAGGGGCACACTGGGGCAATTTCAGTCCAGCAGGCTGGAGCCAATCATGGAGCAGCACAACAGAGGAAATCAGGTGTCAGGCTAGAAAAAAAAAAGGCTGCAAGAAATCATGGAGGAGCACACTGAAGCGCACGCTTACAAACCACTGGTAAGTGCAGACTACAAGTCATGACTTCAAATTGTTATATAGAATTATTACAAATTATTTGTTGTTTGTGCAGCTTAGTCAAGAGTCCCTAATTGATGAAGTCGACTCAGATTCTGACGATTTAACTGTCAAGAGGAAACCTGTAAAAAAGTATGGAAAAAGAAAAATCAAAAACACTTTTCTTCAAGACTCGGAAAGTGACGAACCAAAGGCAAATAAGATTGTTATCATGCAGCTGCAAAAGAAGAAAAATGGGGGCAGGGTTTACAGCAAGAGACACTTCTGCCTCTACTGTTCAATGTCCTGCCACAAAATGTCCCGTCATTTGACTAGAAAACATGGAAATGAAAGTGACGTAGCCAGAGCATTGGCTCTACCTGTGAAGTCTAAAGCACGTAAACTTCAGTTTGATTTGATCAGGAATAGTGGAAACCGTGAGCACAATTTTGAGGTTTTAAAGGCCGGCATTGGAACTTTAGTCCCAGCTAAACAACCAAATTCCCCAGTTAAATCCAGTGAGTTTTTGCACTGTATAGACTGTGGGGCATTGCTTAAGCGAAAGTCGCTGTGGAGGCATGTGGCCAGGTGCCGGCTTTCACAGAAAGATGCCCAGGCTAAACCAGGTAGAAGTAGGGTCCAGTCCTTCTGCTCCCTAGCCCAGCCTGTACCGGAGGGCATCAGCAAAAAGCTGTGGTCTTTAATTTCGGCAATGCATCAGGATGAGGTCACGGGTGTTGTCAAAGCAGAAAAGGGGATTCTGAGACTCGGAGAGCACCTGTACTTAAAACACGGGCATGATAAGACTAAGCATGATTACATTAGGCAGAAAATGAGAGAAGTCGGTAGGTTAATTAACGAAGCAAAAACAGCAGGGAAACTGAAAACAATTAAGGATTTCTTTATTCCTTCCAACTTTAACCATGTGATTGATGCAGTCAGGTCTGTGGCTGGATATGATGAGGAAACAAATCAATACAAGACTCCATCCTTGGCCCTCAAACTCGGCCATAGCCTCAGAAAGCAGATATTCTTGAATGTGACTCAAAAATGGAGCATTGTGTTGATGAACACTCCGGACCTGCTCCCTCTGACTGAGGACGTTAGAGCCATGCATGCACATATTGAGGTATGTCGACCTGAATATGTGCAAACCCTAATAAGTGAGCCAACCTCTAAGCATTGGTCTAAACTGGCAGTTTTGACTCTTTGTGAGGTCATTATTTTCAATCGAAGAAGGGAAGGTGAGGTTTCAAAGATGCCACTGACAGCCTTTACCTTAAGAAGTAAGACTGGGATCCATTATGACATTGCTCTGTGACTGTCCCAACTTGAGAAAAAGCTGTGTCAGCATTTTCAACGCATTGAAATTAAAGGGAAAAGAAGTCGGAAAGTGCCGGTTCTTTTGACTCCTGAAATGATTGCTTCGATGGAGGTGCTGGTGGAGAACAGAAGGGCCTGTTCCATCTCTGACCATAACCCATACTTCTTCTCCCGCCCGGGCGCAGACACCCACATCAGGGGATCAGACTCCCTACGCCAGGTAGCCAAAGAATGTGGTGCGGTGCATCCAGAGATGCTATCCTCAACCAAACTTAGAAAGCACATAGCTACTATGTCTACAGTTCTCAATATGAAAGAGAATGAGATGGACATACTTGCCAACTTCCTCGGCCATGACATTCGCATCCACAGGCAATATTACAGACTACCAGAGGGGACACTGGAGCTGGCCAAAATCAGCAAAGTGTTGATGGCCATGGAGCAGGGAAGAGTGACGGAATTCAAAGGAAAGAGCCTCGACCAGATACAAATTGAGCCTGAAGGTAATTCTTGATATTATTAAAATATGTATAATTTTTTTCCCCTAAAGGCCACTTGTATTTTTATTTTCTGTGCGACAGGGAGAGCAGTAGAGATCCTCTCACAAACGGACGGGCTAAAAGAAACTTCAAGCGGAGAACCTTCAACCATTCATCCAGATGCACCCCATGGTAGTGGCAGTGCCCCTTCTGGTAAGTGTACCAGGTGGGGGATTACAGCCAGGCTGCTTGGTCCTAACCCTGGGAGTGTATATTGCTAATATATTTTTATTTCTCTCCCTAGAACGTGTAAGAAAGCCATGGTCTGCATCTGAGGTGAAGGCTGTGGAGAAGACCATGACACCTTTCATACAGACTGGAAAGGTCCCTGGGAAGTCTCACTGCCTGGCCTGCATTAATGCCTCACCAGATGACCTTAGACATCGGACATGGAGTGGCATTAAATTCTATGTCAAAAATAGAATCACTGCAATTCGAAAAAAATCAAAAATAAAATTCCTTTAAAAGAGTTGTTTGTTTTCTATTGACTGTTTTGTATTACTTAAAGTAGTCCCAATAAAAAACATTATGTCTATGGGTCCCATTCTGAACGGCCCTGTCAAAGGGACCCACCAGGTAACAAGTGCGTGCGCGTGTGTGTGTGTGCCTCGCCTCGCTTCTGTCAGTGTGTCCCAGGGCATATGTGGCTACAGTAGTAGTTTATCATGGTGCATGGAGTGAATGAATAATGTCATCCATCCATCCATTTTCCATTTTCTTCCCCTTAATCCATTTCTGGGTTGGGGGGTGGCAGTCAGAGCTGCACCCAGTTCACAGAGCACCAGCCCCTCACTGATCCTCCTGCAGGTGGTGAATAATGTCATGTAAAGCATAAAACCAATGATATTCTTGTATGGGTTCACAGATTACAGGTCACAGGTACATCTCATACTTGGTCTTTCTGAGTTTAAAATTTAAAGTTTGAAAACCGCATGAAGATGACAAGGACAGAGCCACTTTCTACCAATAAAAAAAAAGTCATTACATGCATCCATTTTCTTCCAAAAATATTGCCTCTAAATTTGTTTTATAATTTTCCTATAAACAGATTACAATCTCAGCTTCAAAGTCTCATGAAAGTCTTTGAAATCGTTTACTCTTGTGTTTTAGGACAAGGGTTAAACCAGTTCTCAAAGGGCTGTTGTGGCTGCAGGTTTTCATTCCAACCAAATAGGAGCACATCAGACACACCAGGAGACGCCCATTTATAAGAGAGTCCAGTCGGGGTAGAGTCCAGTCGGGGTAGTGGGGGTGGCTCATAGAGAAGAGAAGCTTGTGTTTGAGTCCCAAAAATATGAAAAATAATTCTTAAATCTCTTGTCTAAACCCTGTCTAAGTATATACTTCTGAGTTTTGAGCGCTGACACAGACCTTGGCGAGGTACTCTCTCATGACCTGGATGAAGTAGGGCATCGCGAAGTCCATGATGTCGTGTCTCCAGGCCAGTTCCAGAACCACGTCGGGATGGAGCAGGTCGTAGGAGGCGAACAGGCAGGCGGCGAAACACTCCCTCTTCCCTTGCTCCAGGAACCACTGCAGCAACGACTCCGACAGCTCCGCGTCCTGGGACTCCGCCGCGTAGAGCATTGCATCCTGGGAAAACGACGGCAGAAAGCAACACATCGATATCTTTAAAGAGAAATCACCAATCACCAAACTACAGTACGTACAGTATGTTGTAATACAGTGTCTCCCAAAGTGGGGTCCGCGGCCCCCTGGTGGGCCGCGAGGGTACTGCAGGGGGGCCGCGGGAGGTCATTAAAAAAAATAAAAATAATAATATAATTATTTAATGTTAAATTTATAATGTTTTGTTTGTAATATTAAAATATTTGTGTTCATTATTTGACTTGAATAATCCACTGTAATCATTTTTGTATTACAATGTTTGTAGCAGAGGCTATTTCCCCAAAATAAAATAACCAGAAGAGCCTATTCTTAATGTTGTCTTCTTGGTTATTATTTTGGGGGGGCCACGCAGACCCGACAGATTTTTAAGGGGGCCTCGGTGTTACTGAGTTTGGGAATGGCTGTTGTAATAAATTAACCAAGTGCCAGGTTCAAAACTAGTTCAAAACCAGGACTAAACCAGGACTAAACCAAGACTAAACCAGGACTTAAACAAAGACTAAACCAGGACTAAACCAGACTAAACCAGGACTAAGACAAAGACTAAACCAGGACTAAAACAAAGACTAAACCAGGACTAAACCAAGACTTAACCAGGACTAAACCAGGACTAAACCAAGACTAAACCAGGACTAAACAAAGACTAAACCAGGACTAAACCAGGACTAAACCAGGACTAAACCAAGACTAAACCAGGACTAAACCAGGACTAAACCAGGACTAAACCAAGACTAAACCAGGACTAAACCAGGACTAAACCAGGACTAAACCAAGACTAAACCAGGACTAAACCAGGAAAAAACCAAGACTAAACCAGGACTAAACCAGGAAAATACCAAGACTAAACCAGGACTAAACCAAGGCTAAACCTGGACTAAACCAGGACTAAACCAAGACTGAACCAAGACTAAACCAGGACTAAACCAGGACTAAACCAGGACTAAACCAAGACTAAACCAGGACTAAACCAGGACTAAACCAAGACTAAACAAAGACTAAACCAAGACTAAACCAGGACTAAACCAGGACTAAACCAAGACTAAACCAGGACTAAACCAGGATTAAACCAAGACTAAACCAGGACTAAACAAAGACTAAACCAGGACTAAACCAGGACTAAACCAGGACTAAACCAAGACTAAACCAAGACTAAACCAGGACTAAACCAGGACTATCCCAAGACTAAACCAGGACTAAACCAGGACTAAACCAGAACTAAACCAAGACTAAACCAGGACTAAACCAAGACTAAACCAGGACTAAACCAAGACTAAACCAGGACTAAACCAGGACTAAACCAGGACTAAACCAGGACTAAACCAAGACTAAACCAAGACTAAACCAAGACTAAACCAGGACTAAACCAGGACTAAACAAAGACTAAACAAAGACTAAACCAAGACTAAACCAAGACTAAACCAGGACTAAACAAAGACTAAACCAGGACTAAACCAGGACTAAACCAAGACTAAACCAGGACTAAACCAGGACTAAACCAGGACTAAACCAGGACTAAACCAGGACTAAACCAGGACTAAACCAAGACTAAACCAGGACTAAACCAAGACTAAACCAGGACTAAACCAAGACTAAACCAGGACTAAACCAGGACTAAACCAGGACTAAACCAGGACTAAACCAAGACTGAACCAAGACTAAACCAGGACTAAACCAGGACTAAACCAGGACTAAACCAGGACTAAACCAGGACTAAACCAAGACTAAACCAGGACTAAAAGACTAAACAAAGACTAAACCAAGACTAAAACAAAGACTAAACCAGGACTTAACCAAGACTAAACCAGGACTAAACCAGGATTAAACCAAGACTAAACCAGGACTAAACAAAGACTAAACCAGGACTAAACCAGGACTAAACCAAGACTAAACCAGGACTAAACCAAGACTAAACCAGGACTAAACCAGGACTATCCCAAGACTAAACCAGGACTAAACCAGGACTAAACCAGAACTAAACCAAGACTAAACCAGGACTAAACCAAGACTAAACCAGGACTAAACCATTACTAAACCAGGACTAAACCAGGACTAAACCAGGACTAAACCAGGACTAAACCAAGACTAAACCAAGACTAAACCAAGACTAAACCAGGACTAAACCAGGACTAAACAAAGACTAAACAAAGACTAAACCAAGACTAAAACAAAGACTAAACCAGGACTAAACAAAGACTAAACCAGGACTAAACCAGGACTAAACCAAGACTAAACCAGGACTAAACCAGGACTAAACCAGGACTAAACCAGGACTAAACCAGGACTAAACCAAGACTAAACCAGGACTAAACCAAGACTAAACCAGGACTAAACCAAGACTAAACCAGGACTAAACCAGGACTAAACCAAGACTAAACCAGGACTAAACCAGGACTAAACCAGGACTAAACCAGGACTAAACCAAGACTAAACCAGGACTAAACCAGGACTAAACCAGGAAAAAACCAGGACTAAACCAAGACTAAACCAAGACTAAACCAGGACTAAACCAAGGCTAAACCAGGACTAAACCAGGACTAAACCAAGACTGAACCAAGACTAAACCAGGACTAAACCAGGTCTAAACCAGGACTAAACCAAGACTAAACCAGGACTAAACAAAGACTAAACCAAGACTACACCAGGACTAAACAAAGACTAAACCAAGACTAAACCAGGACTAAACCAGGACTAAACCAAGACTAGATGAAAACACTGTATTTCCTATTTAATGTGTTATTAATTGTTCTTTGAAATGCCTTGTGCGCAAATTGTGCTGTACAAATAAATGTTGATTTATTTTTATACGTAGGCCCTGTCTGGTCCTCTCGTTTTCAGAGATAATAATACATGTAATACATGTACGTGTGTGAAAAATAGAGATAGAAACTATTTTTAGAGTGAGGAACTAATTGGACAAACTGACGCTACTTTTTTCTAGTACTTTGAACCCTGCGGCTTATATAGCGGTGTGGCTAATATGTGTATTTTTATTGTGGTAGAGTCGAGCTGTTGAGTTTATGGACTTATTTAGCAGCTAGAATCAGAATCAGAATAATTTTTATTGCCACGTAAGTAACAGGAAGTCACAGACTTGGAAATTGCTTTGGCTCAGTGCAATAGTCAGAAAGAGATAATAAAAATAAAGAATAAAAAACACTTCTAAGGAATAAATTTAAATTTAAAATAGAGTTACAGTTACTATTTACAATATACAAGTGCACATGGTGCACACAATGTAAGGTGACAGCAGTACAGTGAAGTAAAGTGACGTATGATTGGCAGTAAAGTGACTTTATAAAGGGCGGGGGGACACTTGCTTATTGTTAATATAAATGAAGAGCTAAACAACTTGTCAATAAATCATGTTGGTGTCTGTCTGCTACACTACAACATGAAAACCTGTGGCTTAAATTATACATGGACAAAACTGACTTTCTTTTTAAACGTAGGTGGTATTGTGGGTTCACCTTATAGTCCAGAAAGTACAATAGTTAGATAGATTTAATGATGTGGTTGTTGATAAGTTCAGTGCCCCAGCTTTAACAGAACTCTCTGGTTACCTTGTAGAGTTTGTCTTGTTTACACAGCTCCACGCTCTGCCTCCAGCAGTTGTTTCCTTTGTACAAATAGGCAGCGATGCGTCTGAACTCGATGAGCTCGTGCTTCTCCAGCCGCTGCGCCAAACCCATGGAGTCAAAGTTACTGTAGGCGTCGATGGAGGCTCTCAGACCCTGCACCAGAACACAGCCACGGTGTCAGAAGTGTAGTTCACATTAACACTTCTCGAGCAGTCAATGTGACGGCTTTGAGTTTTGTGAGAGCATTTTCTCTGCTCACTTCTCTATATGATCTGGATCTAGATCTGGATCTGGATCTGGATCCGAATCTGAATCTGTATCAGAATCAGAATCAGAATCTGGATCTAAAATTGGATCTGAATCTGGATCTGCTAGTATTCAAATGGAGCCAATTTCTGTCGCTTTCTTTCTTTCTTTGGCAGTTAAAGGTCTTTTTTCAAGGTCCTGGCCCTGGACTGGTCCTGTACTGGCCCTGGACTGGCTCTGGACTGGTCCTGGACTGGTTCTGGTTCAGTTTAGTTTTCCACCAAAGAAGAACAAGTGCTGGTTACCATGGCAACACACTGTATACTGTTAGCAGTTAGCATTAGCCTTTTCAACAAACTGTTTTCGCTGTTTTATTTCAGTTACATTAACCTGTTTTAGCACTTGTTAAGAATGAGTAAATGTAAAACTCTTAAAAATGACTGTAAAAAATGGGGTATTTCCCAGAATAAAATTTTTTCTTTTTTATTTTTTTTATCTTTTTAAAATGATAATGTTCTTAGTGTGTAGTCTGAAACTTAGGTACCCTTGCTTTAAAGAAGCTATACACGTTTTTTTTTCCAAGTAGTTCATAAAAATGCTTTTTACTAGATACAAGTTGTATTATAATCCGTAGTTTAATTGAAAACTTGAGGTCATTGATTCTGCTGTGTATGAAATTTATGCCGTGAAAAGTGCTGAGTAGAGTCTGAGCGGGACGTTCTCCTCCACTCACAGAACGAGCAGCGACCAGTCTGCGTCCTCTAGTCTCTACAGCGCTGCTCAACACCAGGGCTTCGACTTCAAAATTTGAATATAATTCAAATAAAATAAAATAAAATAAAAAATATATATATATTCGAACAAATATTAGACAGCCCTTATAATTCGAAATGTATTTAATGACTGCAAATAAAATAGTTAGCTCCCAAAGGTTTCACCGGGACGTGCTAGGCAGGTAACAGCTAAGCTAGCTAGCTGTTTCATGGTAACTTCCGGGTTTTTCGCGATCGCTTTTTGTCACTTTAAAACAGTATTTTTGTCATGAAAACGTTGACAGCAAATTCTGAAATCGTCCGTGCATGTGTGTTAAGGATGTATATGTGTACTGTATTGTCCGATTAACGTTTAATGGTGTTGATTGATAGATATGTAGTTGTTTATTGAGCGTGGCTAGCTCCGCTAGCTTCTCTCGTTGAACTTGCGGAGTAATGGCAGTATTTTACACACCTGAATTACAAACAGAGATTTCATTGTCAAAGGGCAGCGGTCATTATTGATTTGAGAGTTCTGTTATCAAGAAAAAATGATCGGTAGAATTACATTCAAGTCAATGGAGTGCTGCTGCTGTGAGGAGCTGTATAATAAATTATAATTAATTACTCGAATATATATTCTAATGTTTTAATTAATAAATTTGGATGCGAAACTAGCGGTATTCTTTTACCTATATATTGTGTTAGCAGTGCGTTGCTTTAGTACCATTTCTTCAGTGATTGTTGTGCAGCTTACAAGAAGTTGCGCTAATTCTAATGTTAGCATACATGTCAGATCGCAAATTGAGCTAGATGGCTCTGTGTTATGAGAGCGTAGGGGAAATGAGAAGCCATTGAGCAAGTTGGGGGGCGGTGCTAAACATTCAAACTTTGCAGAAACGGGTATAGCGCCTTTAACCCATTATACATACATAAAACACAGTGCGTGTACATATTTGAATCTTATAGTGATTCTCATTATTTTCTTAAAACAATTTTTTCAAATTACATTTTTTCGAACGAGCCCGCTAGCTCAATGAAGCCCGATAGATAAGTGCTCAAAGATAAAGTTTAGCCGTGTCAGTTTCTCAGAGTGCAGTGAACAGCGTCTGACCTGAAAGTCCTCCTCCTCGGTCAGCAGGTCGTTCAGAGCCTCGTTCACAGACGTGTTGTTGTGATTCTGCACTGATCTTAAATACGGTTTCACCAACTTCAGCTGCTTCATCTGTGCACACACAAAACCATTACTTAATAACAGTACAAATATATATATCATGTTTGAGATGCTGCTGTTTGTTACCTTTGCAAAGAAAGTCACTGCTCGGCTGTGGTCGAGGCGCGGCGAGAGAAGGGTCAGAAGGTCGTTGATTAGAAGAGGATTAAACTCCAGGTAAAAGGACAGAGATTTATAATACAGCTCCACGTTGGCCACCTGCAAAGACAAGGAGCAAAGAGAAACTGTTGGATGTTTGGGGGAGTTTCTGCACATTAGGAATTTCACTAACAAATATTACCACTTGTGATGTGTAGTTAAAGATGCAGTCAGTGATTTTTTTCCAGATGCTTTTTTTTTAAATATTGTGGGAAAACGTCCAAAAGTAGTTCAGTTATAATTTGTTTTCAAATAGTAATGGAATTGACCAGATGTTATAGTCTCCAAAAATTCATAAAAAGTATTTTGGAGCAGACCGATCACAACAAACCAATGGGATGTGTTTACCGCCTTCACCCTCTTCCTGTTTCTCACGAGTGCACCTGAATTACCGGATTTTCTAAAACCTAAAATGGCTGAACAGAAAATGCCAATTTCACGTTTGCCGCCCACTCTCCCTGTTGTGACAAAGAAAAGAAAATGCTGGATTGGTTTGGTGGAGAGGGAGGGGAGGGGGGAGTGGTTTCCAGTTAAGGTGCTACGGCTAAGCTAACAACATCGCTAACTGCATCTTTAACTGTCGTCTCTGTTTGACCTTTGGGATGATGTCTTTGAAAAGCCCCTCCTTCCAGGCGTCTGTGGGATGTGACATCATCGTGAGGACGGCGTTGTCGTACTCCTCGTATTTGTCATAAAGGAAAACCAGTTCAGCCCAGAGATGAGACTGTTCAGCAGCTCGGAGAACCTGAAAGAGAACACACAACAACCACACTGTTCCATTGAAAGTGCTTTATACTTCTTCATTACGCTAAAGTTGGAGGTTTTAGATTGGCTTCTTTATGGTCTGTGTGTTTGTGTAGAGTTTATGTAGAGTCTGATATTCTGCTGCAAATTACTTTCCCTTTGTGACCACTAAAGTTTTCTCGATCTGAATCTGGATCTGGATCCGGTTCTAAAACTGGATCTGAATCGGAATTGGAATCAGGATCAGGATCTGGATCTGAATCTGAATCTGAATCTGAACCTGGATCTGGATCTGGGTCTGGATCAAAGTCAGAATCAGAATCAGAATCTGAATCTGGATCTGGATCTGGATCTGAATCTGAATCTAAAACTGGATCTGAATCTTGATCTGAACCTGAATCTGGATCTGAACCTGAATCAGAATCTGAATCTAAAACTGGATCTGAATCTGAATCTGAAACTGGATCTTAATCTTGATCTCAATCTGGATCTGGATCTGGATCTGAATCTGGATTAGTCCCAGTGTGAACGCGTCCTCACTTTGGGGATGTTGACTCGGGACCAGAACAGCTCCAGGTGCTCTCTCATCTTCTGTGGTTTGAACTTGGAGTAGAGGATGGCGAGCTCGGTGAACATGCCCATGTGAGCGCGCTCCAGACCCAGCGCCGCCTCCAGCAGCGACATCAGCTCCTGGAAGTGGCCTCGCTCCTGATAGAAGCCGATCAGATCCTCCAACTCGTCTGCGTGGATCACGATGTGCAGGCCGCAGATCTGAGCCAAGCGGAACTCCTGCCCCTCCACACACGAGAAGCACACCTGCGGGCAACATGGAGGTGTGTGAGGGAGAGAGTGTGTGTGTGTGTGTGTGTGTGTGTGTGGCTGTAACTTAGAGCTGTGTGTGTGTGCGTGTGCGTAAGGCTGTAACTTAGATCTATCTGTGTGTGTGTGTGTGTGGCTGTAATTTAGAGCCGTGTGTGTGCGAGTGTGTGTGTTTGTGTGTGTGTGTGCGTGCATGCGTGTGTGTTTGTGTGCGTGAGGCTGTAACTTAGATCTGTCTGTGTGTGTGTGTGTGGCTGTAATTTAGATCTGCGTGTGTGTGTGTGTGTGTGTGTGAGGCTGTAACTTAGAGCTCTGTGTGTATGAGGCTGTAACTTAGAGATGTGTGTGTGTGCACTTGTTTTCAACTCCTGGTGGGTTCCATAACCTGAGATTCCACTCACGTCATGGGGACTGGTTTTACGTGGTGGGGCCCGAACACCGGACCCCACTGGTCCAAGCTTAATAATCAATGGGTAATGCTTTTCTAACGGTCCTTATGCAGTCTCTGTAAAAATATGGAAAGGACCCCTGGAGGTTTACTTTCCTGAAAAAAGTGTGTTATGTGTCGGAACCCTGGTGGTGGGTTGCGGGATATCAAGGAGGGGCACACTGGGGAAATTTCAGTCCAGCAGGCTGGAGCCAATCATGGAGCAGCACAACAGAGGAAATCAGGTGTCAGGCTAGAAAAGGTGCAAGTGTGTGGTTCATTAGGCTGCAAGAAATCATGGAGGAGCACACTGAAGCGCACGCTTACAAACCACTGGTAAGTGCTGACTACAAGTCATGACTTCAAATTGTTATATAGAATGATTACAAATTATTTGTTGTTTGTGCAGCTTAGTCAAGAGTCCCTAATTGATGAAGTCGACTCAGATTCTGACGATTTAACTGTCAAGAAGAAACCTGTAAAAAAGTATGGAAAAAGAAAAATCAAAAACACTTTTCTTCAAGACTCGGAAAGTGACGAACCAAAGGCAAATAAGATTGTTATCATGCAGCTGCAAAAGAAGAAAAATGGGGGGCGAGTTTACAGCAAGAGACACTTCTGCCTCTACTGTTCAATGTCCTGCCACAAAATGTCCCGTCATTTGACTAGAAAACATGGAAATGAAAGTGACGTAGCCAGAGCATTGGCTCTACCTGCTCTCTAAATCTAAAGCACGTAAACTTCCGTTTGATTTGATCAGGAATAGTGGAAACCGTGAGCACAATTTTGAGGTTTTAAAGGCCGGCATTGGAACTTTAGTCCCAGCTAAACAGCCAAATTGCCCAGTTAAATCCAGTGAGTTTTTGCACTGTATAGACTGTGGGGCATTGCTTAAGCGAAAGTCGCTGTGGAGGCATGTGGCCAGGTGCCGGCTTTCACAGAAAGATGCCCAGGCTAAACCAGGTAGAAGTAGGGTCCAGTCCCTCTGCTCCCTAGCCCAGCCTGTACCGGAGGGCATCAGCAAAAAGCTGTGGTCTTTAATTTTGGCAATGCATCAGAATGAGGTCACGGGTGTTGTCAAAGCAGAAAAGGGGATTCTGAGACTCGGAGAGCACCTGTACTTAAAACACGGGCATGATAAGACTAAGCATGACCACCAGTGGACTCTGCAACTGTTCGAAGAAGACACATACATGAAAATACAAGTGAACTATTTATGGGAATGATAAACTTTGAAAATGCATCGTATTCTACTGTAGATGAACTGTTTAACTCTGTCACCTCTAGTGTTTTGAATGTTCTGGATACCGTTGCCCCTGTGAAGGTTAAAATAGTGAAAAATAAGCAGAAGGCGCCGTGGGCTAAAGCAGACTCGGTAAGGGCACAAAAGAGAAAGTGCCGGAGGGCCGAGCGGAAGTGGCGCAAGTCCAACCTCCAGGTTGATTACAAGATCTTCAAAGATAAGTTGTGCGAGTTTAACCGGGTGCTACGTAGTACGAGAGAAAGGTATTTTTCTGAAATGATTGAAGGCTGCAGTAACAATCTGCGTGTTCTGTTTTCAACAGTTAATAGATTAACAAACCCCCCTGTTCAGATGCCATTAGAGCTAACTTCCAAACGTAAATGCAATGAGTTTGCACACTTTTTCAATGACAAGGTTCAAGGCATCAAAAACGCCATTGTCTCCAATCCACAGATAACCATCCAACAGCCAGAAAGGCTCTCTGAGCTAACTTACTTTGCACCTGTAGATGATAAAAATGTCCAAGAAATAATCTCCAGTTTGAGCTCCTCCACATGCAGCCTGGATGTACTACCCACTAGATTTCTGAAGTCTGTTCTGAGCAGTCTGTTACCTTCACTCACACAGATAGTAAACATGTCCCTTCATTCTGGAATATTCCCAAAGGCCCTGAAAACTGCAGTCATCAGGCCCCTGCTAAAAAAGAGCAGCCTGGATGCTACGGTACTTAACAACTATCGTCCCATCTCAAATCTGCCATTTATGGGGAAAGTCCTTGAAAAAGTTGTCTACCTACAGCTTACTAGATTTCTTATAATTAACAACTCATTTGATATATTTCAGTCCGGCTTTAGACCCCACCACAGCACTGAGACTGCTCTTGTCAAGGTTACAAACGATATCCGGCTGAACACTGACGCAGGCAAAGTCTCAATCTTAATCTTGTTAGATCTGAGCGCTGCCTTTGACACTGTCGACCATGAGATCCTCTTACAGAGATTAGAGGACTGTGTTGGAGTCGCTGGCACCGCCCTAAGTTGGTTTAGGTCTTACCTTGAAGACAGGAAGTACTTTGTGGAGATTGGAGACTGTGTCTCAGATCATATGGCCCTGACCTGTGGAGTACCACAGGGGTCGATCCTGGGACCTCTTCTGTTCAATCTCTACATGCTGCCGTTAGGTCAGTTAATACGCAGAAACAAAGTGTCCTATCACAACTATGCAGACGACACTCAGATCTATGTCTCACTGACTGCAGGAGAACATGGACCAGTGGACTCACTCCTTCACTGTATCCAACAGATCAGTGAGTGGATGCAAAACAACTTCCTTCAGCTAAACGCAGACAAAACTGAAATGATTGTCTTTGGTCCCCAGAAACAAAGAGAGAGCGTCATCTGTCACCTACAGTCTCTCTCCCTAAAACCTTCAAACAAGGTCAGAAATCTAGGGGTAATACTGGACTCACTTAAATTTTAATAGCCACATCAAATCAGTAACATCAGCAGCTTTTTACCATCTAAAAAACATTGCCAGGATCAAAAACATAGTGTCTAAAGCAGACTTGGAGATTCTTATCCATGCATTTGTCTCCAGTAGGTTAGACTACTGCAATGGCCTGCTCACAGGTCTGTCCAAACAGGCTGTAAAACAGCTGCAGTACATTCAAAATGCAGCAGCTCGAGTCCTGACTAGAACCAGGAAGTACGACCACATTAGTCCGGTCCTCAGGTCCCTGCACTGGCTTCCTGTGGCTCAGAGAATAGACTTTAAAACAGCTCTGCTTGTGTACAAATCTCTCCATGGCCTCGCACCAAACTATATTAGTGACATGTTAGTACCATATGAACCAGCCCGGACTCTGAGGAGCACAGGGACTGGACTCCTGTTAGTGCCCAGAGTCAGAACTAAACATGGGGAGGCTGCTTTTCAGATTCATGCTGCTAAAATCTGGAACAGTCTTCCTGAAGATGTGAGACAGGCCTCCTCTCTGACAATGTTTAAGACAAGGTTGAAAACAGTTCTGTTTAGCTGTGCATACAACTGAGGGATTTTATATTTTTATCTTTTTTTTAATGTACTGTGATTATTTATGATTTTAATGCTTTCTTGTTCTGTTCAGCACTTTGAATTGCCTTGTGTATGAATTGTGCTATATAAATAAACTTGCCTTGCCTTGCCTTGCCTTACATTAGGCAGAAAATGAGAGAAGTCGGTAGGTTAATTAACGAAGCAAAAACTGCAGGGAAACTGAAAACAATTAAGGATTTCTTTATTCCTTCCAACTTTAACCATGTGATTGATGCAGTCAGGTCTGTGGCTGGATATGATGAGGAAACAAATCAATACAAGACTCCATCCTTGGCCCTCAAACTCGGCCATAGCCTCAGAAAGCAGATATTCTTGAATGTGACTCAAAAATGGAGCATTGTGTTGATGAACTATTTATTAAAAACCTCCAACGAAGCCGGCTGCTTTTTGAGAAGAGGTGGGACGTCTGTGTTTCTTCTGCTGCCCTACAGACCCTCCGGCAAGCCAAGTGGAACACTCCGGACCTGCTCCCTCTGACTGAGGACGTTAGAGCCATGCATGCACATATTGAGGTATGTCGACCTGAATATGTGCAAACCCTAATAAGTGAGCCAACGTCTAAGCATTGGTCTAAACTGGCAGTTTTGACTCTTTGTGAGGTCATTATTTTCAATCGAAGAAGGGAAGGTGAGGTTTCAAAGATGCCACTGACAGCCTTTACCTTAAGAAGTAAGACTGGGATCTATTCTGACATTGCTCTGGGACTGTCCCAACTTGAGAAAAAGCTGTGTCAGCATTTTCAACGCATTGAAATTAAAGGGAAAAGAAGTCGGAAAGTGCCGGTTCTTTTGACTCCTGAAATGATTGCTTCGATGGAGGTGCTGGTGGAGAACAGAAGGGCCTGTTCCATCTCTGACCATAACCCATACTTCTTCTCCCGCCCGGGCGCAGACACCCACATCAGGGGATCAGACTCCCTACGCCAGGTAGCCAAAGAATGTGGTGCGGTGCATCCAGAGATGCTATCCTCAACCAAACTTAGAAAGCACATAGCTACTATGTCTACAGTTCTCAATATGAAAGAGAATGAGATGGACATACTTGCCAACTTCCTCGGCCATGACATTCGCATCCACAGGCAATATTACAGACTACCAGAGGGGACACTGGAGCTGGCCAAAATCAGCAAAGTGTTGATGGCCATGGAGCAGGGAAGAGTGACGGAATTCGAAGGAAAGAGCCTCGACCAGATACAAATTGAGCCTGAAGGTAATTCTTGATATTATTAAAATATGTATGATTTTTTTCCCCTAAAGGCCACTTGTATTTTTATTTTCTGTGCGACAGGGAGAGCAGTAGAGATCCTCTCACAAACGGACGGGCTAAAAGAAACTTCAAGCGGAGAACCTTCAACCATTCATCCAGATGCACCCCATGGTAGTGGCAGTGCCCCTTCTGGTAAGTGTACCAGGTGGGGGATTACAGCCAGGCTGCTTGGTCCTAACCCTGGGAGTGTATATTGCTAATATATTTTTATTTCTCTCCCTAGAACGTGTAAGAAAGCCATGGTCTGCATCTGAGGTGAAGGCTGTGGAGAAGACCATGACACCTTTCATACAGACTGGAAAGGTCCCTGGGAAGTCTCACTGCCTGGCCTGCATTAATGCCTCACCAGATGACCTTAGACATCGGACATGGAGTGGCATTAAATTCTATGTCAAAAATAGAATCACTGCAATTCGAAAAAAAAATCTAAAATAAAATTCCTTTAAAATAGTTGTTTGGTTTCTATTGACTGTTTTGTATTACTTAAAGTAGTCCCAGTAAAAAAAGATTATGTCTATGGGTCCCATTCTGAACGGCCCTGTCAAAGGGACCCACCAGGTAACAAAAACGTGTATGTGTGTGTGTGTGTGTGTGAATGTAACTTACGGCAGTGTTTGCGTGTATGTGACTCAGAGCTGTGTGTGTATGAGGCTGTTACTTAGAGCTGTGTGTGTGTGGCTGTAACAGAGTAGTGTATCAGGCTGTAACTCATAAAATACATTGAATTGAATCAACACATTAACGCTTGAATATTCCAACCCCCCTGAGTCTGCTGTGTGTTGCTTTCACTTTCACTTTCACTTTGGTGCGGTGACATCACAGGCTCGTCCCACTGACCTCCTTCCATGTGCGAGTGCTGTTGGCTTTCCGGGCGCTGTCCACAGCGGCCTGGAACTCCCCGAGCTGCAGCAGCGTGGAGGCCAGACGCGAGAAGTTTGACACGTTGTTGAACAGGAGTTTGGCGGCGTCAAACATACGCTCCTCGAAACAGCGATCTCCAACCTGCACATAGGTACACACAGACACACACACACAGAGGGAGACACACAGAGACACACACACAGATACACAGAGAGAGACACACACATACACGCACAGAGAGAGAGAGAGAGAGAGAGGGACACTCACAGACATACAGGTACACACACAGGCAGACACAAAGATGGAGAGACACACACACAGACACACAGAGATACACACACAGGCACGCACACAGAGAGAGACGCACACAGACACACACCAGGGAGAGATACACACACAGGCACGCACACAGAGAGAGGGAGAGATGCACAGAGAGAGACACACACAGACACACACCAGGGAGAGAGACACACAGACACAGACACGCACACATAATCATTAGAATCCTCACCCTCCAAGACAGTCTATAAGAAACCAGTATTTGGATTCAGCAATTCCTAGTCCTCTCTCTCTCTCTCTTCCTGCTCTCTCTCTCCTCCCGCTCTCTCCCCTCTCTCTCTCTCTCCCTCTCTCTCACTCCTCTCCTCTCTCTCTCTTCTCCCTCTCTCCTCTCTCTCTCCTCCCTCCCTTCCCTCTCTCCTCTCTTTCCTTTCTCTATCCCCTCTCTCCCCTCCCTCCCTTCCCTCTCTCTCTCTCCCCTCCATATCTTCTCTCTCTCTCCTCATTGTTGTACCTGCTGAATGTGGGCTTTGTTAGCCCCTCTCTCTCTCTTCTCTCCCCCCTCTCTCTCTCTCCTCTCTCTCTCTCTCCCTCTCCTCTCCCCTATCTCCTCTCCCTCTCCCCCTCCCCTCTCTCTCTCCTCTCCCTCTCTCCTCTCTTTCCTCTCTCTCTCCTCTCTTTCCTCTCTCTCTCCTCTCTTTCCTCTCTCTATCCCCTCTCTCTCCTCCCTCCCTTCCCTCTCCCTCTCTCCCCTCCATATTGTCTCTCTTCTCTCTCTCTCCTCCTTGTTGTACCTGCTGAATGTCGGCGTTGTTAGCCCCCCTCTCTCTCTCTCTCTCTCTCTCCTCCTCTCTCGCTCTCTCCTCTCCCTCTCTCTCTCTCTCTCCTCTCACTCTCTCCTCTCCCTCTCTTCTCTCTCTCCTCCTCGTTGTACCTGCTGAATGTGGGCGTTGTTGGGCCCGCTCACAAACTCCTCCAGTTCTGCCAGACGGTTGGTTTTGGCCAAAGCAAAGATAAGTTCCGTCTCCACGTACGACTCTCGCGCTTTCTTCCGAGCCATTTGGAGGAATTTCACCAAATCCTCCCAGTTATCTGGCAACAAACAACTGAGTCAAATCACTGCTCATTCAAAACAGTTCAGGGATTTCCTGACCAGCAACAATCATCAACAACAACAATAAATTATGGACAGTGTGAGAAAGGATTATATCAACATGTAAGAAGTGAAGGCAAAGTATACAATTTAGTTTTGTGTTTGTCACAGTCAGCAAGATGGCAACTCGATGAAACTAATTATATTTCTTGACTACTTTCAGTATCTATTTTTATCTTGGTTTTTCAATTTTATTTGGTAAATCCTGGTATTTGGTAGACGAGTCCTGGATACAGCAACAACGTTTCTCACTTATTTCTCACTGTTTTATTTTTTTTATTGAGATTCTTCCCGATGGAGGAGGCTCTAAGGACAACAATAACATTTATGGACAGTGGTCGTCCTGCTGCCTGTGGACCAATGTTATTATTGTGCATTATGAACTGTTTGATTTTCTGATCTGTTGTTGAGGAATTGACAACTTTGTAATGTCCTTCAAGATGACTTTTGTTTTGATTTAGGGCTCTACAAAAATGACTGTAATTGAATTGACAGAGCGATATTATTCTTATTGGGCACTCTCGCATCTCAGGTCCTGGGTTTGAATCCCAAGCAGAACAGGTTCTTTCTGAGTGGAGTTTTCATGTTTTCCCTTTGTCTGGGTTGATTTCCTCCGGGTGCTACGGTTTCCCCTACTACTGAAAACACGTTCACTATGTAAAAATCCTCCAGCTCCGGTCCTGACCACGCCGAATATCAACATCTGGAGATGGGTTCCCGGGCGCTGTTACTACGGCGACCAGTGCTCCTGATGGAAGCCTTAGCGGGATCAGGATAGGTTAAATGCAGAGGACGAATTGCCCTTTACCTATTGTATCTATGTGCAGCACTTTGAAAACTGTTTATAAAATGTGTGATAAGCATATAGTGGATTGGAGCGACGGCTTTAGAACCCATATAAACACAGTGTGCGACAGAAGCAGCAGCAGAAAGAACACATCAGGACCTGGACCTACTGTTCCTGCTGGCGGCGTCCACCACCTCCATGTAGGCTGAGGGGTCTGAGGCTTTGATGTAGGAGTCGATGGCCTCCTTCACCAGGTCCCTGTGCAGCTGAGCCCGTGCCAGCTGGCTCCACACGGCGGCTTCGTTACAGCGCTCTGCAAACTCATACGCCCGGTCCAGATTCTGGATGTGCTCGATAAGAACCTACCGGAAAGAAAAGAGGCAAAGGATTTAGTGTGTTTTATTTTGTTACTCCCTGTGTCTTTAGGTGTACTTCCTGTTGTCTGATTACCTGCCCCGCCCTCATGTGTATCACCGGTGTCTCGTTAGTCCTGTAATTAAAGCCAGTGTGTTCTTTACTTCCTTCACTTCCGTCACTGTCATTCCTATTGACATATATGTAAAAGTAAACTCCTCTCGCTAATTGCTTGTGTCACACTCACCATTTTGGGAATTAAAAAATCAGTGGTTTAGGGTCTCTGATCCTGGTGTTTATATCTTATAAATCCAGATATGTCATACTTATTGACCAATCAGATGCCTTCATTCTCCGGGTAAATTCCAGCTTTCCTTAGCAACCATCATAGCAACACGGCTTCCTTTGTTACGCCTTGAAGCTAATGTTGTCGGGGGAAACATTAGCTTGCCGTACAGGGTGCAGCCCTGCCTCTTCAGCGAGTACACCACGTCCATGGTGGTCACGGTCTTCCTCTTGTCGTGCTTGGTGTAGGTGACGGCGTCTCGGATCACGTTCTCCACGGGTCTCCTCGTAGATCAGTCCGGAAATACGCTTCACACGTCGAGCCAGACGGCGGATAGTGGGCTTGGTGATGCCCTGGATGTTGTCCCGGGGGACTTTACGATGTCCCACAGTGTTCTTGCTCTTGTTCGTAGCTTAGTGTGACATGGATTTGTTGACAGAGCGAGCAGTTTTAGTCTAAAACTACCGATCACAGTTCAAATACCTGTATCGCCGAAGTGTTGACGTCGAACTTCATGAAAATAGCGAAGGCTTCTTCGTAGAGCTCGTTGCTGATGGCGATGTTGGCAATGTCTGGAGCGTCGTAGTTGTCGAGTCGGTTTATGTATTCCATCACACGGGTTCTGTCGGCTTTGATGGCGGTTAGAATGAGCAGGTTCTGGAGATTTCTGTGGGAACAATAAAAAGATATATAGAAAGAACTGGAAGAAATGGGAGAAAAGTAAACATTCGTATTGGTTTAAGCATAGTTTGACATGGATTTGGCAATAAATCAAGCAATTTTTAGTCTCACTTCAAACACATACCAATATTCTTTCTCATTCCAAGTGAGAAATTGCTATGTCTTAATCACATACTGTATATAGATGGGCTATGCTAACCAGCTAGCTCAACATTCTGGCTCCTATTGACTCATAAATAAAAGTAAACTCCTCTTGCTAGTGCGACACTCACCATTTTGGGACTAAAAGATCTGTGGTCTATGGTCTGTGATCCTGGTGTTTATATGTTGATTGTGTTATAAATCCAGATTTGAGCCATACTTATTGACCAATCAGATGCCTTCAATTCCTATTTACCTTAGCAACCGTCTTGGCAACATGTCTGCCCCTGTTACGCCGTGAAGCTAATGTAAATTGGCTAAAGTGAAACAATACATTACAGGCTTCTTCTGTTGGTAAATTTTGTTTTGTATTTGACTCCTTCTCACTCCCTTTCAAGCAAAAAAAAAAAGTAATCGATATATTGTTTACTATAATGTTTAGGATGTTTAGGTTTCTGTTTTATACTCATGCCTGAACTAAAAAAATATTCATTCATTCAAATTGTATTCAAATGGAAGCTGTTTGTACCTGTGCTCACTGAACACGGAGCTGTCCAGGACGATCTTCTCCAGCAGCTCGATGAGTTCGTTGGGGAGGTCTGCGGTCATGAAGGCTTTGACCGTGACCGACACCTCCTCTGGGTCCTGGGTCTCCGACAGAGCGGTCTGCACCACCTGCTCACACAACGACATTAGCTTTGAGAGTTCAGAGAATGTCGTTCACAATCTCAGTAAATCTATCTGGATTCTCCAATGGGACAACCAGCCATTTCTTTTTGTACATTTTAGTATGTACAAATCTGGCCAAGAGTGGTACTGGAGCCTTTTCCACTCTCCCTGACTCAGGTTGCCAGATATGCAGACGAATCCAGCTGGGACCATAACAATAATAACTGAACAGACAAGAGTTTTGGCAACAACAAATCTATAACTAACACCTTTTTCACAAAGATAGAAATACTATTTTGTTTTCCTTGTTTTGTCATTAATGATTTGAGAATCATAATGGGACCTTTTTTAGTTCTGCGGCCACATGGTACTTTATCAGTGAGATTAGCTCGACGCGGGGAGTCCTGGCAACCCGGATCACGGACTTTCTGATTGGTGAAACGGTGGAGGGCGGGACATCGAAATGAAAACAATAACAAGATTTAGGGGCTGTAAAACTAATTTAGAAATTCAAATATCTCTGAACTTCTGTTTTCAGTTAAAGAAGCATTGTAAAAGAGCAGGTTGATTAACGCCTTTTGGACAGATTAGGGCCCTTTAATGATGACTTGACATGAAAATCTTACATATTGCTACTTTAAGAGACAAATTCTGGATTGGGATGATCTTTCCTTTTTTAAATCTAAATTATTTTTGCATGTTCCATTGGAAAATCTCTTTGCGCCAGTTTTTTAGAAATGCGATGGGAACCAGACACAATTTTGATGGTTGCCTTTGTAGCTATTTGCTGATGTGGTCTGGGGCTATACACAAGTAACTTTAATTAAATTGAGAGCTGGGGCGGAGTCGTACCTGGTCGATGAGTTGCCGTCTGAAGGGGTTGCTCTCCTCCAGGACATTGGCCCACAGCTCCGGGTCTTTCCTCCGCACCAGATAACGAGACTCGCTCTTGAACAAGGAGTTCTCGTTGCAAACCTGCCCAAAACGGAAACACACAACACACACTTTCAACGTTCACCGCGGCGTTACCATGACGACGCTAGGGCCCCACACACACACACACACACCATGAATTGAAATTGAATTGAAATTGAACTGAAATGAATTGGAGTGGCTCATGAGAGAGGAGAGAGATGAGGGAAGAATGGGGTGGGAGAGAGGAGAGAGAGAGGAGAGAGGGGAGAGAGAGGAGAAAGAGGAGAGAGGGGAGAGAGGAGAGAGGGGAGAGAGAGGAGAAAGAGAGGAGAGAGGGGATAGAGAGGAGAAAGAGAGGAGAGAGGGGAGAGAGAGGAGAAAGAGAGGAGAGAGGGGAGAGAGAGGAGAAAGAGAGGAGAGAGGGGAGAGAGAGAGAGGGGAGAGAGAGGAGAAAGAGAGGAGAGAGGGGAGAGAGGGGAGAGAGAGGAGAAAGAGAGGAGAGAGGGGAGAGAGAGGAGAGAGGGGAGAGAGAGGAGAAAGAGAGGAGAGAGGGGAGAGAGGAGAGAGAGGAGAGAGAGGAGAAAGAGAGGAGAGAGGGGAGAGAGAGGAGAAAGAGAGGAGAGGGGAGAGAGGAGAGAGGGAGGAGAAAGAGAGGAGAGAGGAGAAAGAGAGGAGAGGGGAGAGAGAGGAGAAAGAGAGGAGAGAGGGGAGAGAGAGGAAAAAGATAGGAGAGAGGGGAGAGAGAGGAGAAAGAGAGGAGAGAAGAGAGAGAGGAGAGAGAGGGGAGGGAGAGGAGAGAAAGAGGGGAGAGAGAGGAGAGGGGAGAGAGAGTTCAGAGAGGAGAGAGAGAGGGGAGGTAGAGGAGAGAGAGGAGTTTAGAGAGAGAGGGGAGGGAGAGGAGAGAGAGACAGAGAGAGGTGATGATCCAGGACACTCAACATTCAACAACAGATATGAACCTTGGTCTCTGCCCTTTATGGACCAATATGTTTTCGATCATTGCATTTCTCGTATTTTAACTGCTTCTCTGTGATTCTCTGATCTGTTGTTGGCGAATCGACAATGTTGTAAAATCCCCCGAGATAACTGCTGTTGTGTTTTAGGGCTGTACAAGAATAAAGTGAAGTGAACCTTGATGAGGTCCAGGTCGCACTGGCCCCTCTCGTAGGCCACGTAGGCCAGGTGGGGGTCCCTCTTCTCGCAGTAGCGCCCGACCACCACGCTGTCGTAGAAGGCGTTCTCCTTCAGGAAGCGTTCCGGAACGTTGTTGCTGTCGATGTAGATCTTGGCGAGAGCGTTGTGTGTCGCCGGCTCCTCGCTGCCCTCCTGCACACGAGACTCCAGCCACGGGAGCAGCAGTTTCAGTCTGAGAGAACCAGATTTAGGGCGACAAGATGCAAGATTTGACAATGTTAGGGTTGGTTTCCCTGTCATTAAAGTGAGGCCATCAATCAATCAAATCAAACAATTATTTATAACGATTATTATAAAGCTTAATGATGCAGTCAGTGATTTTATCCAGACGTCCCTAATCCCTAAAAGTAGTCAAGTTATCATGTGTTTTCACATAGTAATGGAATTGACCAGATGTCTATATAAAAATATTTTGGAGCGGACCTATAAAAAAAAAAAAAAGGGATTCGTTCATCTCCAAAGAACCAATGGGATGTGTTTACCCCTTCACCCTCTTCCAGTTTCTCACGAGTGCACCGGAGTTATCAGATTTTCTAAAACCTAAAATGGCTGAACAGAAAATGCCAATTTCACGTTTACCGCCCACTCTCCCTGTTGTGACAAAGAAAAGAAAATGCTGGATGTTTGGTTTGGTGGAGAGGCGAGGAGAGGGGTGAGTGGTTTCCAGTTGGTGCTACGGCTAAGCTAACAACATTGCTAACTGCACCTTTAAGCGTAAACAGAATGAAAGACAGGTGAACCAAGCTCACTTCGCTCAAAGTCCTCCTGCTGTTGCCCACAGCAACAGCCATCTGTCAATCACACTCAGCTGCAGCGAGACACACAAATCCTCACCTGCAGCAATCAAGCACTGCAGCTTCATTCACGCCGCAACCCTCCTCCTCCCCATCTCCGCCTCTTTCTAGGCCAGCTCCTTCATTTTTCTCCTAGCTCCCACCACCAGGTTCTAGACCTGCTGAATTTCATCTCATAATCTCTTTCCCCTTCTATAATTGTCCAGTGCCCTGCCGGGGTCTAAGCGCCAAATCCTAACCACATTCTCTACATCAGCAATAAATTTAATCTTTAAAAAAATGTCCTCATAGTGTGGACAGTAGAGTCATATGTGTCATTTATGTAGTGTCAGATTACTGCCAATCAACAAACAATTCTAATACTACCCCTTTTTTGTCTCTTTGAGTCTCTCCAGATTGAAACCCTCATTAGCCGCATTAGCCGCATTAGCCTCACCGGTTCCTCTTCTCCACTTCCTCCACGAGCTCGTCAGTGGAGAACTCTCCCTTCACCACCATTATCAAGTTCTTAATCACGTCCTCTGCACAGTCCACGTCCAGCAGACCCCCGATGACCACCGGCAGACGGCTGGGGTTCACCTGCACGCAAGATTCACACATGTACGACCTGTACGACATGTATGTAACACATTTTACATATAAACATGAAACTAAACATCTCACACCTTCTGTACGTATATTTCGATGTACTTCTGCAGACTGTTGCGGTAAAGGTAGAGGACGAGGTCATGGACGAAATCAAAGCGATCGCAGACGATGATGAGAGGGAGCTGGTCCGTGAGCTTCGCCTCCTGAAAACACAAGCAGAGATTAGAGATCAGAGATTAGAGCTCTCAGGATGGGTCAAAAATGTGTGTGTGTGTGTGGGTGAAGTTTATATTTAAATACTTTTATATTTCTCTTGCCATTGCTTATGTCTTTATATGCTCTTTAAACCAGAGTTAATTTTGACAAGAAATTTTAATTTTGTTTTGTCTTGTCTTAGTCTTTCATCTCTAAATTCATTTTAGTTTTAATCTGATCTAATATAGTTTTAGTCCAATTTTAGTTGACTAAAAAATACTTTTTTTCATGTTGCTCATGACATTTGTATAAATAGGGACATTTTTGTCCAAATACGAACAGTATTATCATAGCTATTTCCTTATTTTACTTTGGAGCAATCTATATACAGTGCCTTGCGAAAGTATTCGGCCCCCTTGAACCTTTCAACATTTTGCCATATTTCAGGCTTCAAACATAAAGATATAAAATTTTAATTTTTTGTCATGAATCAACAACAAGTGGGACACAATCGTGAAGTGGAATGAAATTTGTTGGATAATTTCAACTTTTTTAACAAATAAAAAACTGAAAAGTGGGGCGTGCAATATTATTCGGCCCCTTTACTTTCAGTGCAGCAAACTCACTCCAGAAGTTCAGTGAGGATCTTTGAATGATCCAATGTTGTCCTAAATGACGGATGATGATAAATAGAATGCACCTGTGTGTAATCAAGTCTCCGTATAAATGCACCTGCTCTTTGATAGTCTCATGGTTCTGTTTAGAGCGCAGAGAGAACCATGAAGACAAAGGAACACACCAGGCAGGTCCGAGATACTGTTGTGGAGAAGTTTAAAGCCGGATTTGGATACAAAAAGATTTCCCAAGCGTTAAACATCTCAAGGAGCACTGTGCAAGCAATTATATTGAAATGGAAGACCACTGCAAATCTACCAAGACCCGGCCGTCCCTCCAAACTTTCATCTCAAACAAGGAGAAGACTGATCAGAGATGCAGTCTAGAGGCCCATGATCACTCTGGATGAACTGCAGATAACTACAGCTGAGGTGGGGATGGTGTGTTCAGGGTGATGAGCTGTGTTGCTTTTACGCCAAACATATCGTTTTGCATTGTGGCCAAAAAGTTCGATTTTGGTTTCATCTGACCAGAGCACCTTCTTCCACATGTTTGGTGTGTCTCCCAGGTGGCTTGTGGCAAACTTTAAGAGACTTTTTATGGATATCTTTGAGAAGTGGCCACTATTCCATAAAGGCCAGATTTGTGCAGTGCACGACTGATTGTTGTCCTATGGACAGACTCTCCCCCCTCAGCTGTAGTTATCTGCAGTTCATCCAGAGTGATCATGGGCCTCTTGGCTGCATCTCTGATCAGTCTTCTCCTTGTTTGAGATGAAAGTTTGGAGGGACGGCCGGGTCTTGGTAGATTTGCAGTGGTCTGATACTCCTTCCATTTCAATATAATTGCTTGCACAGTGCTCCTTGAGATGTTTAAAGCGTGGGAAATCTTTTTGTATCCAAATCCGGCTTTAAACTTCTCCACAACAGTATCTCGGACCTGCCTGGTGTGTTCCTTTGTCTTCATGGTTCTCTCTGCGCTTTAAACAGAACCCTGAGACTATCAAAGAGCAGGTGCATTTATACGGAGACTTGATTACACACAGGTGCATTCTATTTATCATCATCAGTCATTTAGGACAATATTGGATCATTCAAAGATCCTCACTGAACTTCTGGAGTGAGTTTGCTGCACTGAAAGTAAAGGGGCCGAATAATATTGCACGCCCCACTTTTCAGTTTTTTATTTGTTAAAAAAGTTTAAATTATCCAATAAATTTCGTTCCACTTCACGATTGTGTCCCACTTGTTTTTGATTCATGACAAAAAATTAATTTTTTTTATCTTTATGTTTGAAGCCTGAAATGTGGCGAAATGTTGAAAGGTTCAAGGGGGCCGAATACTTTCGCAAGGCACTGTATATATTATATAACATCATTGTAGCTCTCAGAGGCATCATTTATTGTAGGCACTTAAGACTGTTTTTGTCCACATGATGGCGGTAGAGCAAATTAATACCTCGAAGCTTATTGCTACATGCCTCTTCACAGAGCTTCATGATGCCATTTCTTATTTTCTTCTCAAACGTAACAAGGCCCCACAGATATCCTCTTCTTTATCTCCCTGTCGTGTTCTTGTTCTTTTCATCACTGATGGACACTTTACAAGCTAACGTGAATACTGTGGTGTTGTGGTTAGCTTAGCAATAGCTTCTGTTCACAGCTCGCGCCACCTTACTAAGGAAAGCCCTCATTGGTCCTCCTCTCGTCTAGTCCGGCCAGTCGATTGGTTGTTTTCTCGATTGCTCTAATACATCCCTTCTTCTGATTGGATTTTGTCATGGTTTATTTTTCTATTTTAGTTTTTGTTTTGTTTTTGTTCCCCAAAATATGACAACAATATTTTGTCAACAAAATTAACACTGCTTTAAACACACACACACACACAAGTGCACATTTACATTTACACACCCAAACACACACATGGCATGGCCCAAACACTCTCTGACCCAACACCTCTCCCCTCCTCGCTCTGAGCTGAGGGCATCACAATCTTTCCTCTGCGTACTTCTTTTGCTGAGATTGATTTACATTCAAAGTACATTTCTAAGTTTGTACCTTGAGAAAGTTCTTGACTCTCTCTGCGTCGTAGCAGTTGCTCTCTCTGCAGATCCGTTCCACTTCCTTGATCTGACCCGTCTTACACGCGGCTTGAATGTATTTGAAATGAACGTCCGGATCTTGACTGAAGTTGACGATGGAGCCCAGGAAGTAGAACAGCCCTGAGGAAAAAGCAGAGTTCATGGTCTGGACCTGGACTGGTTTCTAAAACGTGCTCTTTCTCACCTTCGTAGCTCTTGAAGGTCTCGAACAGCTCCACGAGGGCCTGCGTTCCCAGCTGCTCGTGGTATTTGGACGCCACTTGGACGCAGAGCTGGAGGTTCTGGCGGATGTTAGCGGAGAGCATGGCTTTGAGGCAGTCCAGAGAGTCCTCCACCGAGAGAGAGCCAAAGAAGTTCACCAGCCACTATCGCCAGGGTTTGGAGAAGGGAGAGAAAGTCAGAAAAACAATAAAAATATATTCAAAAATCACAATTAATGGTACTAATAAGTCACTTTAGCAACCTGCAATAGAACTGAGAAACTCGCGCTGCTATTGTCCATTTTAATTTATCGTACATACTATATCTTGCACAAAAGACACTGTATTTTAAACTTTTACATGTTTGCACACTTCCTGTCTTTTCGCACACCCTGAGGGATCCAGTGACATTTCTCCATTGTGAGATCAATAAAGTTTATCATTAAAACCACACCAAAGGGGAATGGTTCTATTAAAAACAGCAATGTACTGTACAAAGGGTTAAAAGGTTTGCCAAGTTTATTCTCAAAAGTATAAAAAGAGTTAAAATACTAAACTAAAACCCCAGGCCTGGATTCAAGTTCAAACTGTCTTTTGAAGGGGCTAAAAAGAAAGAAAAATAAATGACAATCAAATAAAAGGACGTGAGAGGCGATTGAAATGAAGAAGGAGGGCGCAAGGACCATGAACGGAGACGAGGGGCCGTATACCTTGTCTCACACTTGGGACTCCCTTCTCCAGAGCCCACTACCTTATTTGTACAGCACATTACAACCACACCAGCTGCCCAAAGTGCTTCACAGGCACAAAGGTCAATAAAATAGAACCATTCTCAGCCTAGACTTGAATATAGTGGCCTGTCTCACATTTTTTGGAAGATTGTTAAGATTTTTGGTGCATAGATAACTACTGTTGTGATGTAGCACTACAGAAAAATACATTAAATTGAATGCATAGATTTGCCTGTGAAAACTCTGAATCTGAATCAAACTAGACACAACATCGTCCCAAGTCTGTGCGGTTTGAAAGTTAGGTACCCCAGCTTTAATAGAGCTCTGCAAGTGGGTGTGGTCTGACCTCGGGGTTGAGCAGGTGTGTGTGGACCACCGCCCTCTTCACGTCGTACGGGTCGCTGAAGTGTTCTAGAGCTCTCTGCAGAAGCCCCGCCTTCTCACAGAGCTGAGCCACGTGAGCGCGGTCGTAGTGAGTGAACATCTGATTCCCCAAGATCGCATCTGCAACCTACACACACACACACACACACACATACAAACACACACACACATACACAATCAATATTCAATGAAACCCAGTATGCAGTACAGTATTCATGGTTTTGCACTGGTCCAAACCAGAGCAGAGAGGATTCATGGTCCAAACCAAGTGGCTACTTCACCTCTGCTGCTGTGACCTGGAGGCCTGTTGCTTATTATTACTATTCTTGGGTTTCATATGACGTCAGGGCAGTGGCGCAAATAACAAACTTGGGACAGGACGTGGCGTATCCTGGCGCTGCAGTCTGCCGGGTTTATACACAGAGATATAGTAGAAGAAGAAGCTCTGTCAAAATGCCATCTTTTTGTGCGGTGTACGCTTGTAGCAACCGCGATAATAGAGAGAAAGACAAGAGTTTGTTCATGTTCCAACTGTGGTCTCATATAAAGGAGGACACTTTGAAAAAATCACTGGAATGAGGCGGGCGAGGTGGATCAAGGCTTTCCCAGATAAGCGCCCCCTGCAGGCCGCCCGAATGAAACGCAGAAATTTCTTCTTTCTCTTTTTTTTTTCAAAAATGCCCAAAATCAAGACTCTTTTGTGAAATTTGTTTTGTACTCCCTTGAATTGAGTGTCCCCGATTAAGACTGTTCCAACAACCGTACACCGCACAGGAGGAGAGCCTTTGACTCCAAAACAGACTTTACATGGTTTTCAATGGGAGCAAAACTGAGTTGTCCCACCTCTGCTCATTCGCCCCCTACTGGCCAGGTTAATGAAACCCAAGAATTGTTAGCTTTTTAGAATGATCAATTAATTTATTTATTTATTTTTTTTTTTTTTTGCTGCTACTGGACACCTGAATTTCTCCTTCGGGGGATCAATAAAGTATCTATCTAGGGAAGTGCTCATGGACAACGTTTTTGCTCCACCACACATTTGGTTCATTTCTCTGACCTGTGGAGCGTGGAGGAGGTTCATCTCCAAGAGTCGTGTTTGTAAGTGACCTTCAGTCGGACGATTGTTCTTCAGAGCATCCAAGAGGAACGACGTGCACTGCTGGACCAGGTTGCCCTCCACAAACACGTCCACAATCTACACACACACACACACAAGAATATAAGTACTGTTTATTCATACAGCGCCTTTCACAGACCAGACTCATGAAGCATATTCGTTCATTTGTCCTCTGACTCCACACAGAGATGGGAGCAGGGTCGCACATGTTTTTAGTGGTAGAAGGAAACCTACGCAGACACAGGGAGAACATGCAAACGCCAAACAGAAAGGCCTGGATGTGGTAGTTCACGCAGTAGTAGTAAAATAGCCTATCAAATGTTTGTTTATTGTCCACACACTGCAGTAACAAGACATTATTAAAAAGAGACAGTAAGAGTTGATAACGTTGTTTTTTTTTTTTTTTTTTTTTTTTTTTTTTACTTAAAATCTGGTTTGTCAAATGGTTTTTGCAAGAACGTTAAAAGTGAAATAGATTTATGGTCTAAAAACAGCACAGGAGGCCTCTGGATATCTGTACACATAGGACTAATTTGAATGGAGCAAAAACAGGGGAAGGGAAAATAAACACTGAACTAAAACTAGACTAATATACTAATATAAAGCATGAGGTATTTTCAGCAAGAAATGTGCTTTTAAAGACGCACACAGTTACACACAGTTCACACAGTTACACACAGATACACACAGCTACACACAGCTACACACAGCTCAATGAATCAGAGTCGAGTTGAGGTCGTGAACTGAGAATTCCTCACGTTATTGCCACATCTGAAACAACACAGACAGAACTGTGTGTGTGTGTGTGTGTGTATGTGTGTGTATATCTCTGTATGTGTGTATGTGTATCTGTGTGTACATGTGTGTGTGTATGTATGTGTGTGTATATATCTGTATGTGTGAGTGTGTATGTGTGTGTGTGTTTATACCTGTGTATGTATGTGTGTGTATATCTATATGTATGTGTGTGTGTATATGTATGTATATGTACAGTGTGTGTGTATTTCACCTGGTTGATATCTGCCAGTGGCTCCTCGTCCTGCAGCAGCATCTGTGCGAACTGCAGACCCTGCTCTGGACTCAGTCTCATCACGTTCCTCAAGAGGAAGATCCAGTCCGGGGCGTATCCCACCTGCAGATAAAGACACTCTACGTAACTTTCCGGACCTGGAATCTATCTGCAAGAAACACGAAGCGAGACCTTTTCTTCTAATGAGTTCATAAAAATGCTTATTACTACATACAAGTTTTATTATAATCCGTAATTTAATTGAAAACTTTAGCTCATTGATTCAGCTGTGAAGTGCTGAGTGACGCCCGCTCTCCTCCAATCACAGAACGAGGCTGCGTCCTCTAGCCTCTACAGCGCTGCTAAACACAGTAGCATGTTAGCATAAGTGGCTATAACTCCTCTGGCTGTAACTGCAGACACAGCAAAACAGCCCAAACGACACAAAAGTGAGGAAGAGAGGAGGGAACAAAAGCAAAAAAATTATTAAAGAATAAATCAAGCCCTGAACATAGCTAGCTTACATCGTATCCTCTGGAGAGACTTGTCTATGGGAGCCATCTAAGTACAAAATTTCTGACTTCAGCATAATAAAGAAGCAAGTGTAAAATACTGTATATTCTAGTGCAGAAATATATATGTTTAGTTCTGTAACTGTTAGAATCATTGGGCAGTGTGGACAAGAACACATTGAATGAAATTGAAATGAAAAGACAATCACCTTTTTGGCATAGAGCACGATCTTCTGGAACTGGTTGGTCTCGGCAAAGCACTGGATGACTTTGTTTGGGACGTTGGCTCGGAGATAGACGCTGAGGGCCAGGGTCAGGTCCGTGCTCTTCACCAGGTCCCCCAGCTCCTCTGAACACTCTAACTACGGGAAAAGAATGAGGAAATATGAGGTAATATTTGCTTAATCCGAGCACATTCTGACTGGGTTCAAACAAGATTCTCCAGTGAGACAAAGCCATTTAGTTTTATTTCAAGAACTGATTCCAAGAGTAAAAATAAATACATTATTGTCTCTTCTCCTCTTTTCTCATGAGAACTGACCCCAGAGTGATCCATACTAAGTTCTGACTATAGACTGTGTATAGATTGACAATGCTAACCCGCTAGCTCAATGAAGCCCAATAGGGAGATGCTCAACTCGCTCTGGTTCCTGTTGACTTAATTGAAAAGTAAATTCCTCTAGCTCAGTAACTGTAATTGTCACTTCCTGGTGTTTATATTTTCAGCCATAAGGATTGACCAATCATTGCATATTTTTTTAATTCTCTGATCAGTGTTAGCGAATGGACTTTGTGAAGTTCAGAATCAATCAGTTAGCGACCAGGTCAAATTTAAGATGGGGGTGAGTTTCTGGTCCAAGAAAATATGGACGTTTACTGACATTAAACCAGTCCATGGCACTAAAAAGGTCGGAGATCAATGAGTAAACCAGCAGAAACCAATGTCTTTTTTTTCTTTTTGGATTGATGCAGGACACCAATAACAGAAATAGTAAAAAAATAAATAAAAAAATCATCATTTGATTTATTTTTTGAACCTCTAGTTCTTTGTTTTTTTTTCTATGACAGGTCTTTACCAAATGGTTGAGACACAGTTTGATTGTAAAAGTGCCTAAAACCAAGTGAAAAAAAATCTAAAAATCAGTTCCAAGAATGCTTCAAGTAGATACCAGGACCAGGACTAAACCAGGACTAATCCAGGACCAATCTAAGACTATACCAGGACTATACCAGGACCAAACAAGGACTAATCCAGGACCAATCTAAGACTATACCAGGACTATACCAGGACCAATCTAAGACTATAACAGGACTATACCAGGACCAAACAAGGACTAATCCAGGACCAATCTAAGACTATACCAGGACTATACCAGGACCAAACAAGGACTAATCCAGTACTAATCCAGGATCAATCTAGGACTATATCAGGACTAAACCAGGACCAATCTAGGACTATACCAGGACTAAACCAGGACAAATTAACATTAAAGGGTTGAAAAAGGCCCAATATTCTCCTGCCTTTTCCACAACAACAACCCAACCTCCGGCTTCACCTTGTCCTCCTTCAGCCACTTCTCCAGCAGCTGCTTGCGTCCCTGCTGCAGCACCGGTCTGCACAGCTCCAAAGACTCGAACTTGTTGAGTTGTCCCTGGTCCAACAGGATCCCAAAGTACTGCAGCAGAGGAGAGGCCTGGCCCTGCTGCGCCGGAACACTCTGGAACTTCCGGATGGTGTCAGCGGTGCGGAGGATGCCCTGAGGAAGCAGACGGAGACCACAGGAAGTCAGCGTCTCTCTGAGTTGGTCCTTCATGATGCAGGAGGGACTAAGAACTGTGGCGATCCGGGACATTTATGCACGTTGAAGAAAAATAATGTCATTTCTTTTCTAAAATGTAGGAGCACTAATAACACAAATAATTACTCTTTCTTTTTTAACCCCTGATTGTTTTATTATAGGCCTTAACCATGCGTTTAAAGCTGCATTAACTGACTTTGTGAATTTTTTTGAATGTGAGCGCTGGCCTCGCTCTCTCTGCTCGCCCTCCCCGCATGGAGCTTTCACCCCCCACTACCCCCTCCCCCTGAGCCTGTGCTCATGTGCTAATTGTATATGCGGAGCTCACGTCTCACATGGATCGCACATTTGAACGTGGATGGCGTGACCATAGAATGATAGAACCAGGAAGCGCGGAAGAACAAGACTTTCTTTTGGATGGATGTTTTGCTGTGTAAGCAGAAACAAAGACACAGGAAGCTTCAGGTTAGCTCCACCGTTTGTTTACCTCAGCTGTCTGTGCTAACGAGAGTGGCTTTTCTTAAGACAGTAAAGTGGGGGCCAGTGGTCCGCTGTGATTGGTCACAATCTGGACCCGAAACACGTTCTCTTCCTTGTTACACGAAAACTTGATCTAAAATAAAATGACACGCCAGCACAAATCTGCAATACTTATTCTTCAAAAGGATGTGTATCCCAATGCACTGCATGGATATGGATAGAATTTAACTAATGAATACAAAAATAAAGTGAGGTAATGCAGCTCTAAGACATACACGTTTGTCCAGCGGCGGCCGAGGCGGTGAGTACGGCGTCTCTATGCATGTAGCGAAAGCAGGACACGATATTTACTAAACATCCTCACTCCAGGCACGTGTGGAAACCAATCAGAGAGCAGCAAAGTCGTCACGGGGCCTTCACCTTGAGTTGACATTCTACTACGGGACGGGACCGCGCTTTGACCAGTCAGAGCTGCTGATCAGAGCGGTGCCAGAGCGGGAAGGAAACGAGCAGAGTTTGTGGCAGTAAAGTGTTGATTTAAAGAAAACCAAAGCATTTAAGAAGAAAAAAGCTTTGGATGACAAGGGACACTAAAATCCCCACAAAATCTGATCTTAATGAAAACTCTGTCAGGTTCTCTGTCAGCTGGGGTCGAGCTGTTTTAGTATACATTGAGTTCTATGGGAAAAATGTCTGAGTAGCCCACGTGAATTTAGTCTTGTTGATACTGTTTATACTGAGACGCTGCGCAGACGTTTCCAGGCTATTAACAGAACCGACCAGGCTCCTAATGCAAATTTCTCAGCGTTCACATGAGGTTGAAAAACGATGTAGTTCTAGCGCCCGGCCAGTAGTGGGCAGAGAAACTTTACAACACTCACACAACCCCCAGCCTCTGGATCTGAACACTTACGTTTTCACCCCCCTGGAACACAGTCTTCGTATGAACGGTTGGTAGCAACCAACATCCAACTATACCGTTTTACTGCCACATTGTCTCCGTGTAAACTCAGCCTTAGTCTGCAGTACCGTGAGAATCCCCCGAGCACATGGGTCCTTCAGCTCCAAGCTAGTAACACTCTCTCCAGTTATTATAACAGATCCATGGGTTTTCCTCATGGCAGGCCTGTGCGTCAGATTCTCTAAACTCATACAGCTGAAATACAGTGAAAGCGTGTCCATACATCTGCGGTGGGTAACTATTATTGTTTTCGTTAGTCATGTTTGATAATTTTTTTTACAGACCTTGGGAGCAGAAGAAGCCACTTTCGCAGCTTCTGAATAACTTCCTTGTGCAAACAGCGTGTTGAACTTCCGAGCGAACAGTTCCTCAGCGCCGGCGAGGTTGGACCTGACGGCGATCTTCAAGGCCAGGTCCGGGTTTTGCAAAGTGTTGGTGACGTAGTTCACAATGTTCTCCTCTTCCACACAAACAGACAGAACCTGGAAGCAAACGTGCAGGTTTTAAAACGAGGAGAAAGACAACAGTTGCATCGAAAAAACAAAAAAAACATCATACCTGTCCCTTTTTATTGACTCCTATGATCCCTGAGTTTGCTTCATGAGGTGACGTCACAAAAATAGTCTCTGCACTGATTCGGTTCATATAAATACATGTTCCGGACTCCAGGTCGTACAGGTGAATGTACCCATACTTTGTGATTAAATATATTACACTGTGTTTATGACCAATCTGGAAAAACACAACAAAAAACACACAATGGTTAAACAAACGGTACATTTGAGTTTAGGAAGGTCCATCTTGTTCTATAAGAGAATATATTTGGTTCTTCTATACCAGACAGTTGTAAGATAGACATGTTATTACTATTTTGGTGTCTGTGGGCCCACCTGCATGTGAAAGCCAGATCCTGTCAGAACTCAAAAGCTAAGAAGGGCAGGGCTTGGTAAGTGCCATGATGGGAGACTTCTGGGAACACCAGGTGCCACAGTGGGGCGGCAAACTGTCCTTAGGCAAGACACTTAACCCACATTAGAATGAGTTTGGTGTGTGTGTGAGTGGTTGGTGGTGGTGGGAGGGGCCTATGGCACAGACTGGTGGCCTCGCTTTTGGCAGTGTGCCCCAGGACAGCTGTGGCTACTGTGGTATGAAGTGTCTTTGAGTGTCCAAAAAGAACGATGTAAAACCGTTAAGAAGTATGACTTTTTGGTTGAATGCATTAACTAACGTTGATATGTAGAACCCAAAGAAGCAAATAAACTACATTGCCAAATGTGGTCGTTGAATGCCACTTTTCAAAAACAGGACGGAAACATATTTTTGCAACAAAGATATCTATGTCTGGGTTTCATCGGCGCATGTTCTACAGCAGTCTTACAATGGCTGCTTTAGAAAATAGGTCTCAAAGTCAAGGCCCCGGAAAGAATAATCTTGGCTCCCAGGATGATATTTGATTAGTGTTAGAACCGGCCGCACAGAGCCATAAGATAATATTGGATTATTCATTTAATGTTCATCTGTTTTCTCTTTGAAGGAAGTTTGTTTTAGTCGGTCTGTGAGCCTGTTGAAACATGTTTAAACTTAGCCGTACAAAAATATTGGAGCTAACACAGGATCTCTCATTTGATTTTTTTTTTTGGCCCTTTGATGTAATTGAGTCTGACATCCCTGGTAAAGAAGAACCAAATAAGATTACGGTTAATTTGGTCTGACTGTGAAGGACCTGCATAGCGACCGGGAAGTCTGTCTGAGCCTCCGGAGGGAAGAACACGTCCACAGCTTTTTTAGAGAAAGGCTGGTTCCCGGCGGTGGGTTGTCCGACCTCGATGATGTGGAGCTGCAGAAGAAATGTTCAGTAACATGGAGAAAGGAAACATGGGAAATAAACAAGTCAAACCCAACCAAGCCAAACCCTAACCCAGGAGGAAGACACACACAGCCAAAACAAAAGATTAACCAGGATTAACCAGGACTAAACTGAGACTGAATCAGGACCGAAACCAGGACCAAGTAGGACTGAACCAGGACCAAACCAGGACTAAACCATGACCAATCCAGGACTAAACCGGGATTAAACCAGGACTTAATCAGGACTAAACCAGGACCAAACTAGTATTAAACCAAGACTGAACCAGGACTAAACCAGGACCAAAATAGGACTAAATAAGGACCAAACCAGGTCTGAACTAGGACCAAACTTGGACTAAATGAAGACCAAACCATGACCAAAGTAGGACTGAATCAGGACTAAACCAGGACCAAAGTAGGACTGAACCAGGAATCAACCAGGACTAAACCAGGACTAAATCAGGACTAAACCAGGACCAAACTAGGACTAAACCAGGACCAAAGTAGGACTAAACTGGGATTAAACCAGGACTAAATCAGGATTATACCAGGACTAACAATGGAGGTCACAGTGGTTGTGGACGTGTTTCTACCCTGAGTCCACATTCTACCATGACTGGTTTAAACAAGTCCTGCCTTAGGCCTTAGGTCTTCGGTCTTGGGTCTGATGAGAGAAGGTGGTCCTTTCTGTTTCACTTTCATGTTTAAAAAGTTGAGCTAAAGATATGAGAAAGATATGACACGGGCCAAAAACACGAGTGTGAAAAAGAGTGAAATAGTCAAACAGTTTTCAGAGTGAGGAACGAGAGAGATGGATTTGAGTTCATTCTCTTTGTGTTGTCAAAGTTAGGTACAGCAGCTTTATCCCAGGGCTCACCTTTCCTCCGGCCGGGGATCGAACAGCGAAGCAGAAGAGCGTGGAGGGCAATGCGTTTCCTTCGACCTTGAACTCCCCGAAGGCGGCGGCGTGGCCCTCGATCGGCTGAGACACCTTCCGCTCCACAGAGTACAGCTGCATGGCCCCCACCACCCGGTTTTGCTGAACAACAACATTTCCAAAGGTGAACGGATTTTATCGCATCATCAGACAAACGGCACAGAAAAAACACAGATTTTCCACATTCTGCTGCTGCTACAGACTAAACAGCACTGCTCTATACAATTATACATTTCATTGGATTTAGTGATGCGGGTGAGTGCGTTTTACCCTTTTCTATTCCACTGATGAAAATGTGTAAATATATAATTTGCTTTTAATTAGTCATTTTTTCACTACATTGGCTCCCAGTTTCGTTTCGAGTTGATTTTCAAATGTTTCTTGTTTTTAAAGCCCCTCTGCACTTGTCCGAGCTCTTGATTGTTTGTGACTCAGGCAGATTCTTGAGGTCGTCGACTCAGGTCCTCCTGGAAGAACCAAGGAGTCTTGACACTGGGGAGACCGGTCCTTCTCAGTCCTGGACCCAGACTCTGGAACAAACTCCCCCTGATCTGCTGATTTTGACCCTTTTAAAGCAGCACCTTTGCTAAATGCTTAACTGTTTTATATTTGATTGCATGATTGTTTTAATGAATTTCATGTGATTTTACTGTAAACTTTAAATCGCCTTGAGTGTGGAAAGAAGCTCTATAAATAACATTTGATTTGACTGGATTTAAATGAGTGAGGGCTGTACTTAAGTGTGACCAAGATTCCTTATGACTCTAACTCGTGTCCACTAGAAAACATACTTGCATTTGTAAACAACACATTTCTGTAGATCAGTTGCATTTGGATTTGCAGAAGTAAAATCAATACACTGATGAAAAGGTAAAACTTGGAGTGTCACCGAAACTCAGGCAGTTCTCACACAATGAACATTCACTGACATTTCAAGTTCAAAATCATTTATAATCAAGAAAACCTTAATTTTAGACTCAATTAAGAAGATTATCCTTGTAACTGTTTACTTAAAATTGCTTACTTAAAAGAGGATTTTCCCAAATTTCAAGAAATAACCACCCTCTCGCGACTTTTTGACCTAACTCTGGTTTTATTTGACGAGACAGAATCACCAGAATGATTGACAACTGGGAAGACCAATTGTGTTGATGATCCCCCCGGAAGTAGATAATCTTCCTATATACCTTTAAAGTAGCAATATGTAAGATTTTGATGTGAAGGCATCATTAAATGGCCCTAATCTGTCAAAAGGCATTAATAAACCTACTCTTTTCCAATACTTTTTTAACTGATCACAGAAGTTCAGAGATATTTGAATTTCTAAATTAGTTTTACAGCCCCTAAATCTTATTATTGTTTTCATTTTGATGTCCCGCCCTCCACCGCTTCACCAATCAGAAGGTCTGTGATCCAGGTTGCCAGAACTCGCTGCGTCAAGCTAATCTCACTGGTAAAGTACCATGTGGCCACAAAACTATAAAAGGTCTCGGTATGATTCTCAAATCATTAACGACAAAACAAGGAACAAAACCAGGATTTCTCTCTTTGTGAAAAAGGTGTTGGTTATAGATTTGTTGTTGACAAAACTCTCTGTTCAGTTATTATGGTCCCAGCTGGATTCATCTGCATATCTGGCAACCTGAGTTGGAGAGGCTGCAGTACCACTTTTGGCCAGATTTTTACATACTGCTCCTTTAATATCTGTGAAAAGTGGTGTTTTGTGTGTCTTGCTTGGTACCTGTGCAGAGATGCCCACGAGCAGCAGCCACTTGTGCTGCTCGTCCGTCCTGTAGTTTATGATCTGGCACCCGCTCAGGCTGGTGTGGCGCTCGAACACTTTGCTGGGCTGGGACTCCCCCTCCATGCTCCAGTGGTAGACAGCCGAGTCGGTCACCAGCGCGATAGTGTTCACCGAGATCCACTTCCAGAACACCACCTCGTCCGCCATGGTGTGGGCCTTCATCTTGCTCTTGATCTCCATGTTGAAGATCTGCAGCGTCTTGGCAGCTGCGGCCACGACACACGACCACGTCAGGGACAAGGACGAGGGTTCAGACCAGAGACAACTCATTCATGCAGATGTAAACATGTGTTCCCTGTGTACCATGTGCACACAGGGAACACACACACATGGTGGATTATTGGGGTTTGAATCAGAGAGTTCAGTCGGAGTGAAATGTTTGTTTAGAGGAAGGAAGGTGGATGTAAAAATAAATTGTAAACATACACTTTATTTATCCCCGCAGAGAAATTTGCCCTCTGCATTAGATCCATCCTGATGCCACTAGGCTTACGTCAGGAGCAGTGGTTGTCGTAGTAACAGGGACCCATCCAGATGTTGATGCTTGGCTTGGTCAGGACCAGAGCTGTAGCATTTTACCCATTAAGTGTATTTTTAGTGGTAGGGGAAACCTGAGTACCTGGGGTAAACGTACACAGACATGGGAAGAACATGCAAACTCCACTCAGAAAGGTCCTGTTCTGACTGGGATTTGAACCCAGGACCTTCTAGCTGAGAGGCGAGAGATGCTATCTACTCAGCCAGTGGCGCTATGAAAGTCAAATAATCCCAAAGCTCAAATGAAAAGTAAAAAGTCCATTATGTATTTTTTTTACGTTTACGACTTGTAAGGAAACTCGTGCCAAAAAAGTGACAGTGGAAAATAATAATAACTTTAACATTCTGTGGGGAGCTCCTCAACCAAGCAAGAATTCTGAAGCATCAAAACGTGATAAAAATAAGTCCAGAAATGGCAACACAAATGATATGAATAAAGCTGGATATGTGAGGGTTATGAATGTTCCATAGACCGAACAGGGGAAACTCGGAAAATTAGAATATGGTTCGAAATGATGTATTTCTACAATATAAACCAGGCATGTCCAAACTGTGGCCCGCGAGCCGATTGCGGTCCTCTGTATCTTTTCATGTGGCCCTCTCTCTTGATAAAAATAGTCAACTTATTATATCAACGTTATACCTAAAGCTTATGAATCCAAACGTTGACTTTGATAATATTACTGACAAACTGAATATTACTGAACAAACTGACAAATCCAATTTTCTCATAGCAACCGCATAGCAACCAAAGCACCAATCGAGGGCGAGGCTGTAAATAGCGAGAGCATTTCCACACTGCAAAAAGTGATGAAAAATAAGTTACAAATTGCTTAAATTTGGCAACATGTATTTTAATTTGAGCACATTTTGACTGTTAGAACAAGATTTGCCAAATGGACAAAGCAAAATAATCTTGTTTTAAAAAGATACAAGAAATGTCTCTTTTGGAGAGTTTATGTACCGATGGCTAATCACAGTCAGAATGTACTCAAATAAAAATAAAAAAACAGTGATTTTAGCAATTATACTTTTATAATTTATCATTTATTCCAGTGCATTGCAGCTGTCAGAAAACAAATGTTCTCATAGCAACTGCATAGCAACTAAAGAGCCAATCGGGGACAAGGCTGCACTCATGAAAGTCAAATCAGTTGCAGAACTCGTGAGCTCCTCCATTTCCGCCTCTTTAGTCCCTCTTCAGTCACTGTCTCTGTCCCCGTTACACAGTCTATGGAAACAGGTTTTTTAACAGGGAGTTAATGGCTTTTACACGGAGCCTTATCACCACAAGCTGACGGACAAAGCACCATACTCACCGTCTGCAAAAAAGACAGAAAGCAGAAGAGGAGAAGAAGAAAATCAATCAGGGGAAGATTTGTGAGAGCGAGAAACAAAACAGCTAACAGGGCAGCTGCAGACGGAGAGATAGCAGAGATCAGCACTTTGAGCTTTTGCACCGGCAGCGAATCCAGGACACAAGAACTACTGTATATAGACCTGTATTTACTGTATGTGTGTAGTGATGCTACAGTATGCTATGCTAAGGACAAACAGCGCTACATATAGAAACCTCTTCACAGCACCGGCAATTCAACACAACGGTGACAGATTTTGTGTTGTAATAAATGTTTTTGTATTTATTTGATCAAGGAGATGTTAGTTTCCACCTGTAGTCCCTGGACTGGTGAGGGAATTAGTGATACAACTGATTGCGAGTCCACTCAGTCACACACACACACACACACACACACACACAGAGAGAATGGTGGCGCAGTGGTTAGCGCTTGACCCTGGGTTTGATTCCACCTCCTAGACTTTTTGCGTGAAGTTTGCATGTTCTCCTGTGTCTGCGTAGGTTTCCTCCAGGTGCTCCGGTTTCATGTACAATAGGTCTGGCATCTCTGTGTGGAGTTAGAGGAAAAAATGGCCACAACAATTGAAAAGCGCTTTGTGACTTTGGTCTGTGAAAGGCGCTATATAAATAAAGATTACTTACTTACACGCACACACACATACACACACGCACACACACACACACACACACACACAGGTTTAATGTGAGAGTGAGTACATGTGATGACGTCATTAGGAAGTCTGGATATAATTAAGATGGCGAACTTTTTGTAATGATCGGGAAGCCAAATCATGAATTATTTTGAACTTTGATTATTTTTTATCACATTTTTGAAGTTGGATTGTAGATTTAGGGCTGATTTGTTTTTAGTGTTTTTAATTACCTGTGTGATGTTAATTGTATTTTTAATGGTGATTTAGCCTTTGTTTATGTGATGATTTGTGCCTTGTGTGGTGTGGACTGTGAGGCGCTTTGTGTTACCCTGTGTAGGAAAAGCGCTCTAGAAATAAAGATTGATTGATTGACTGATTTGCATCCGTCAAATTCACACTCATTTCCCTCATGTTTTCAAAGGATAAGAGCACCTGGAGCACCTGGAGGAAAACTAGGTTAACTATGATGTATCTATGTGTATCTATGTGTTTTTTCGTTGTTATTGTTCTGGGCTAATATTACTAGCTCCTTTATGGAAGAATGATTGTGACTAAAGATATGAAGCATGTATTTATTTATAAAGTGGTTCCAGTTTCGTCTGCTGTGACATTTTTTTTCGCCGCATCACGGTATTTCTCGTGTCGTTAATCAGTGTCAGTGTGAACGGCGGCTCTCATGCCTCCTCTCCCTCAGGCAGAAATGTACACTCAAAAACAAGTTTAGGACATGGGTGCAGATCCCATGGGTACTCTGGAGAACGCACAGGAATTTTTTATCACTAGAGATCTCCCAGTCCTGGATCCGCCCTAGTCCTGCCCTGGTCCAGCCCTGGATAAGGTCTCGTCCAGGCCTCTTGCAGATCAGGATCAGGCCTCATCCAGCCCTGGTCCAGCCCAGGATCAGCCCTCATCCAGCCTTCCTCCAGCCCTGGTTCAGGCCTTGTCCAAGCCTCTTCCAGCCCAGGATCAGCCCTCCTCCGGCCCTCATCCAGCCCTCATCCAGACCTCATCTAGCCCTCATCTAGCCCTCATCCAGCCCTCCTCCAGCCCTCATCCAGCACTCACCCAGCCCTAATCTAGCCCTCATCCAGACCTCATCCAGCCCTCATCCAGCCCTCATCCAGCCCTCATCCAGCCCTCGTTTACCTTTGAGTGCGATGACCTTGCTGGCCGGGTTCATGATGGCGCTGTCTGCAGAGATGGGCCTCCTCATGGGGTTGGAGGGGTCGGCCAGGTCCACGATCACCAGCTGGTTCTGCTCCCCCACCTTCTCCCTCACACAGATGAACTTGTCCGACTCCATGGTCAGATAACTGAAGCCGATGTTGGCCGGGTTCACTCCCAGGTTCTGCAGCTGCAAACAGACACAAGAATATGGGAATATGGGCTTATATGGGCATTTGTTTTGACGGCGTTATTTTCGCACCGCCAGAGGTTCAGTTCAATTCAATTCAAATAACTGAATTAATCTGTGAGAAACTTCATTTACAGATCAGCATCAGTGGGGGTCCATAAAACACAGACACACAAGATCTAAATATAAATACAGTAAAAGAGCAGGAATGCAAAATAAAATACATAAAAGGGGTCTCCAAATCAGCTGTTCAAAAAGAGTAAGAGTAATTCAGTTTATTAATATAGCACCTTTCACAGACCGGAGTCACAAAGCGCTTTACAATTGTTGTGGGCATTTGTCTCTCACTCCACACAGAGAGCGAGGTCGCCAAACAGGAAGCGCATGCCAGACCTGCAAACTTTTGTGCATGTTTTTAGTGGTATAGGGGAAACTGGAGCACCCGGAGGAAACCTAGGCAGACACAGGGAGGACATACAAACTCCACTCAGAAAGGCCCTGTTCCGACCGGGATTCGAACACAGGCCAACGATTAGTCAAGAATTATGGTTCAAATCTGGATTCAAAAAGACAAAGCCAAAATTCAAACACCAGAGGCTAAACTATGAATCTTTCAAGCCCAAAATGGGAAGTGTGACACAATTGTTTTTTGAGCTAGAGGAGTTCACTTTTTAATGTATCAACAGGAACCGGACTGATTTGGAGCAAGACTTTGTCCATGAGCACTTTGCTGAGCCAGAGCACTAACTTATTACATGTTACTTATAGAATTATATGGTTGTTTTCCTGAGAAATTAAGCATTAAAATGAAGTATAACATGCCACAGTATACTATTGCCATCAATGCTGAAAGTTACTGGAATATCAATAATTGAAATCATTTAGGGGCCACTAAAAATGGTCTTGGGGGCCGGATTTGACCCACGGGCCTGAGTTTGACATGCGTTAGATGGAGTTAGCATTATCCAGCTTTATACAGTCCATGTCAAGAAGAAACAAGGAGTTTTCTTGCTTGTCAAACTTTAAGCACAAGAAAGACTTTTTGTTCTCTTAGATCAAGACAGAAAAGGAGGGTTTTTAAACTTTGAAACCAGACAGAAAAGAAGGATAAGTGAACCACTAAGGGAAGTCCAGAACAGGATGAGCAGACAGTGTGAATGATGTGGTCTGAGGCAAGCGGAAAGGAATCCCAGAGCATCACAAGGACTCCAGTGTGTGACTGTGTTTACATGGAGAGAGAGAGAGAGAGAGAGACACACACAGAGAGAGAGAGAGAGAGACACACACACAGAGAGAGAGAGAGAGAGAGACACACAGAGAGAGAGAGAGAGAGAGCGAGAGAGAGAGTGACAACAACAACAGTTTGGCACTTTACTCCCGCCCCACTGCGGCACCTTGTGTTTCCAGAGGTCTCCCATCACCGTACTGACCGGGTCCTGCCCTGCTTAGCTTCAATGATCTGACATGATCTGGCTTTTCACATGCAGGACATGTGAAAAGCCATGTTCACATGGTACATTAAACGCCAAATAAACAGCTGCAGTTTCAATTAATGTGTTAAAAAAACATTAAATATGCATTGTTGAGTCAAATTCATGAGTTATAAAGTGAGTAAGTAAGTAATATTTATTCATATAGCACATTTTTACAGTTCAAGGTCACCTGATGTCGTTTCATACACTCCACACGCGGTGATGACAGACGCTCTACGTAGAAATACTTTTGCTTTTCTCTCCTCTGTGTATTTTAATGTGTGTGTGAGTGTGCCATGACAACAGTTGCTAAGGAGCTTTTGCTGGCTTTCGGCTCATAAAGTATCCTCCGCAGCAAAACTAACTGCTCGTCCCCCTCCCCAATCATCTCTGCAGCGATGAGACCATTTCCTGCTGCTGCTTCCGGACGTGATGAGATTTTCTGGGCCTAAATGATCGGGATTTACCTCATCTGCCCATCGTCTCTGACAGATGACTGCCACGGCCGGGGAGTCCAACGCAAACAGTGTGTGCAAAGCGGATAACAGGGAAAAGTCGCCCTGAATATTCTCATCGATGATGAGTCATAAAAGTTACATCACGGACTCGACATATTCCCGAAAAGGCCTCGCACCAGAGAGGAGATTGATTTGAAATTACAAATCAATCTTAAGCAAGAAAATGGACAAAATGATGAATATATGAAAAGGGTCGGACACACACTTTGATTCACGATCTGTATTACACTATTCCCTCTGTTTGAACGGTTTGATTTTCTAATCTATGTGAATTGACAACTTTGTACAGAGATAATTACTGTTGTGAATTAGGGCTGTACAAAAATGAATTGAGTTGAATGAACTTGGACTAAAACAGCTAATTATAAACTATTGGTGTGTTCTATACTTTCATCCAGGATCCTCCATATACATTTGGTAAATACTCCAACAATTATGAAACTTCGAAAACTCCCTAAAGCCGTCATTTTGACTGCTCTCATTCCAACTAATGGAATTCCAAGAAATTGCACAATTTTGTTTTTGTTTTTTGACAAATGGGTTAAAAATAAGTAATTTACCTTTACTCACTTTTTACGAAGAAGGAAAACTGGTTAATATAATTTGTTGAAAGGCTAGCAAATGCTAACTGGTAGCAAGTTAATATTATGTTGCTATGGTAACTAGCGGGACTAGTGCTGGCTCTTCTCTGGGAGATAAATGTAGAGATGACTCTCATTTCAAATGCGCAAAACTAACAGAGATAGCATGTGTATATAGATCATAACATGTATCATGCAAGTATAACATATCTAACTTTAGCATAATAAAGAAGCATATATACTATCTCTAACTTTAGTATTACAAAGAAGCCAGTCCAAGTTTAGCACAATAAATAAGCAAGAATTAAGTGTACAATCTTTAACTTTATCAAAATAAAGAAGCAAGTATAATATCTAACTTCGGCATAATAAAGAGGCAAGTATATCAAATCCCTAGCTTTAGCATAATAAAGAAGCAAGTATATCAAATCTCTAGCTTTAGCACATAATGAAGCAAATATAAAAAAGTACGTTTGGTGACTGAGTGACTGAGTGGTCCTAAAGTGAGAGAACATGTAGAGTTCAGTAACATGGCTGTACATTGGAGCACTAGACTCTGGGTGGCACCTGGATGCACCATTGATCCCAGACAGGCCGTAAATACCAGGCCAGAGAATAAAGCCAACTTGAGGCCCGCAGTCTTGGCTTTGCAAATTCCATGCATTTTTCACTCGATTGGAGCCACCGAGATTCAGACTCGGATATCAGCCAGGCCCATGAGTCGCACCCAAATGTGCTCCAGTCAGACACAGGGAAGCATCTGCTGTTGGATTAGGATGAGGAAGGAGAGTTTGAAATATAAATTAGAGTAAGGTGAAGGTGTGTTGATAAGCGTTATTATTTATGTATTTATGCCACTGATGCCATCGCTGAGAAAATATTTTGTTATGTGGTTTTAGTTCAATCTGCAGAGGCTCAAACAGACAAAACATGGATATTATTAGAATTGTATGTTGGTTGGCAGTAATCTGACATTACACAAGACTCTGAGGACAACATTTTAAAGATTACATTTATTATTATTATGAGAGGAAATCCCCCGGAGCCTAGACTCTGGTTTATTTGTATAGCACAACACAAGGCAACTCAAAGTTCTGAACAAAACAAGATTAAAATCATAAAAAATCATAGTACATTGAAAAGAAAAGATAAATATAAAATCCCTGTTTTTAACCTGGATTTAAACATTGTCAGAGAAGAGGCCTGTCTCTATTTTTCTGGAAGATTGTTCCAGATTTTTTCTGCATGAATCTGAAATGCAGCCTCCCCATGTTTAGTTCTGACTCTGGGAACTAACAGGAGTCCAGTCCCTGTGCTCCTCAGAGTCCGGCATGGTTCATATGGGACTAACATGTCAGCCCGGAACGAGGCGGAGACGGGGAGGAGGAGGGTTGTGGCGTGAATAAAGCTGCGGCTTGGATGGAGCTTCTGTGCGATATGAAGCTGATGCGGGCTCTGATCCGCAGCGCCTGATTGGTCAGAACGCTGCTGTGTCCCTCTGTCCATGAGCATGAGAGCCACACACATGATCGTTAGTATTTGCCGCAAAGCATCATGGGAGGTCATCCACTGCGCAAAACCAGGAGTTCCTGGGTCCTCCTTTGTCTCACCACACAACTCATTTCAAAATAAACAGTGAGAATAAACAGTAGACTGATTTTACCTTGAAGAAATGTTTCTTTACTTTTTAGCTTGTTTTATTTATGTATTCGTCTGGTCCACATTATTTCCCGTGTCATTTCATATTTTAGAATGTGAAATCGTATCTTAAGCAGAACATATTTGGCAAAATCGGTCCCATGGGTAAAAATGTGCCTGTAACTCCCTATGCTGCCACTAGTGGGAGGAGTTGAGATCGAAAATTTGCGTTTGTAAAGAACATAATTTCGCTTGAGTAATTTCCAAAACTAATTCAGGGGCAATACTTTTGTTTTACAGGCAGATAACCAAGTATGATGTCATAGTGGTGCAATGACATCATAGTAATACAGGACTGAGACAGGAGCTTTTAGACAGAAGCTCCATGTCTCAGCATGGATGGATCTAAAAACAACTCCAGGTCTGTAGTGGATGAGGAACAATGTCGTAACGTGTTGAAAAGCACAAAAAGTCAAAAGTCTCCTTTGAGCAGTTTTTTCTTGTGTACCATTAGTGTCATTCTGCTCTAATGGAACAAGAGCATTTGGACTCAGAACAAGGACACATTTGGAGCTGGGCTGTTTTTGCTTGAATTATAAAGTACAAGAGGTACTTTCTGACGTTAGCACTCCCAGAGCAGTCAAACTGTATCACTTTTACTACTATTGTACACTATTTTTAGATTGATCTATTTATATGTTTTGTTTGTAATGGATGGATTTGTTTTTGCTGCTACTGGACACCTGCATTTATTCTACACGGGATCAATAAAGTGTCTGTCTGTCTGTCTGTCTGTCTGTCTATCTATATATCTATCTATCTATCTATCTAAATAGACAGCTGTTTCAAAAACGTTGTGACTTTGTTCTGCCTCTATATGTTGTCATTATTTTCATTAAATAATCTTTTATTTTTGATTAGATTTGATAATTTGATTTTGCTCCATTCATTTCAGTTAAAAATTCGCATGTAGCCATCTTCGGTTGCTTGGTTATCAACTTTCAGTTGGCAGTTGAAGTCCACTTTTCAAGCTTCTGATCCTGGACTGGTTCTGGACTGGTCATTCTCTGGTCCTGTACTGGTCCTGGACTGGTCTGGTTCTGGTTCGGAGCTGTGTCTGCTTGGTTTTCCACAAGAGAATAGCAAGTGCTAGTAACCATAGCAACACACTGTTTACTTTCAGCAGTTAGCATTTGGTCTTTAGCTTTAGCCTTTCAACAAACTGTTTTTGCTGTATTTATCTGTATCGCTGAGTTATAGCACTGTGTAAAATTCAGTAAAGGTAAAAATCATGTAATTTACTAACTTTTTAAATAAATCATAAAACATAATAATAAATAAATCATAAAACGTTTTTGGGGAGATCTGTTTTTGTTGTGTTTTGTAGAATTCCTTTCGATTGAATGGGAGCAGTCAAAATGCTCAAGTCAAAACTACATCAAAACTCTGGAAGATCGAGTATAGTTAGTTACATAACCGTGGGAGTCCTGGTGTTAGTATTATTCTGCAGCATTGTTGTTGTTACAGTTTTATGACAGGACAAACCGAGCATCTACAGCACTATCTACAAACACCAGAGAAAGTGTTTGAGGCTCTGCAGTGTCGAGGCCAAACTGTTCCAGCTCGTTCATTACGACTGGATCGATGTCGCTCCTCTTCCTCAGCTCTGTCCGTGGCTCTTGTCCCGCGGAGAGAAGGGGGTTGGCGCTGGTTCTCTAGAAAGGCCAGTTCACTTTGTTCTGTCGCCATAACAACGACAGAGGTCTGCAGCCGGGCCACAGAGAGAGAGATAAACTTTTCTTTTAGCCCCAAGACCAAAGTGGGAGATTTAATCATTGCCCTACTTAAAGCTGGGGTACACGCATTTTGTTTGTCCCAACAGAAAAAAACATGGGGAGGCAGCATTTCAGATCTCTCCAGCACAGATATGGAACAGTCTTCCTGAGGTTGTGAGACAAGCCTCTGCCCTGACCATGATCAAAACTAGGCTGAAAACATGTATTTTAACTGATTTGATTTTGTACTATTTATTGCTTTTATCTCCCTTCTTAAAAATCTTAAAAGAAGTCAGTAGAACGCACTTATTCATTGTTAGAAAGAGTCCTGTGGGTCACTATTGGAGGAGACCAGGGTAGACCCAGGACACGCTGGAGGGGCTCAGCTGGCCTGGGAACGCCTTGGTCTGGTTTGTCATACAGTTATAAAGAAGCAAGAATTAAGGGTAAAAACTCTAACTTTAGCATAATAAAGAAGCATGAGTAAAATCTCAGGAAATGGATGGATGGATGAAAACACTGAGATACTTATGGACCATATGGGCAGAAATGATATCACAATATGAAAAAATATGAAAAATCACAATATTGGTATGATTCACGATATAAATAGTGCAGGGACTATTTAGAAAAAATAACAATAATAAAAATAACTAATTAATACAGCTTATTGCTCTCCAAACTGAAACGCTTCCATCACCCGTTTTTACATTCATGTATTTTGGCCTCAGTCACATATTTAGACCAAATTTTTCCGGACAGAAAAGTGAAAAAGAGGGGACCACCCTTACTCAGCCAATCAACTCTCAGTATGTACAGTAAAAGCAAGAATGTCCTGGGTTCGAATCCTAATACCAGCATTAGCCTGGACGTACCACACCATAGTACAAATGACATTTCGTAAGGTCTGTGTTTGCTCCATTGAGCTCCGTTTACAGGTGGGAGGGGTTAACTCCTTTTGCAGATTGAAACGATTGGATCTGAGTTTACCATAATGTTTGTAATGCGCCAGAGTGAGTTGTTAGCATTTAGCATTTAGCCTAGCCGTCTCCTTTGCCGCTAATGGAGCCCGTGGGGAGTAGCGCCACAATTTTTTCCAGCGATTACATTTGCTAAACATTCCTCTTGCTCCGGCTTCAATTTCTTGATAGAACCAGACCGGATTACTTTACTATCACATTCTTCACCATTGCCAAAGTACAACCTGCCCGTTCAGCGCAAACTCTTGACGTCACCCACAATTAACTACAACACCCGCCTCCCGCGCTCGCTGATTGGTCGGATGGAATTCTACCGATTGTAATCTCAAACACAGGGACCAGACCCAGACGTTACATGCAGGAAATGCTGATTGAGCGGAGTGTACGGATGGATAAGGCCAGGCTATACCAGTATAATGGTAGTATTGTGTCTCCTCTCTCTTCCTTTTTTCTTTTTTTACATTTGTCTGTGTCTTGTGGTCTCTTTGATTTGTCTTTTATATGAACCTTGCGTCTGGAAAAAAGATAATTGATTCTTACCATTATTATTATCATTATCATTATTCTATTTTTCTTCTCTGGGATGTATATTGACTACTTTTCCGACATGATTCTCCATTGAACTGTAGTGTTTTGAGCCACAGACAGAGTGGGTTATTGTAGTGGTCCTCAGCCTGAGCCAATGGAACACTGACGTCCCTTGAGGAAGACCGTTGCCAGATGTGGTTTGTGCCCAGTGACTGTTCAGCGACATTACTCTGCACATTCACACACTGAAACACACTGATGTGGATAACGGGAAAGAAAAGTATTTATATATCACAACACTGCAACTCAATGTGCTGAACAAGCTGACATTTATTTATTTACTTTCTTTTCAACTGTCCATTTTTAACTTGTCACTTCCACAGCTGCAGGAGAAAGAGAACTCTCCTTCACCACCAGTTTGACTTGACTTTAAATGTAGTCTGTGCATTGCTATTCACCCGTTGTCCCTCGGTCTGTTGCATGCACGCACGGAGGGGACTTGAAACCCTGGACCTTCTGGACTAAAGACTAATCCCTGATCTAAAACCCTGGCCTCCCTGGACTAAGGACTAATCCCTGGTCTAAAACCCTGGACTCCCTGGACTGGAGAGCTACTCCCCAGTCTGAAACCCTGGACCTGAGGGCTTGTCCCCGGTCTAAAACCCTGGACTCCCTGGACCATACATACACACACACACACACACACATACACATACACACACACACACACACACACATACATACAGTACACACATACACACATACACACACAGTACACACACACACACACATACACACACAGTACACACATACACACACAGACACACACATACACATACACACACACACACATACATACAGTACACACATACACCATACACACACACACACATACACATACAGTACATACACACACACACACACACACACACATACAGTACACACATACACCATACACACACACACACATACACATACAGTACATACACACACACACACACACACACACATACAGTACACACACATACACACACAGTACACATGCACACACGCATACACATATAGTACACATATACACACAGTACACACTCACACAAACACACATGTAGGTTGTATGATTATCTAGGATTTTAACAACACTAACTCATAGCTCTCTCTCTTGTCTTGTAGCACTTTGAGTTGCTTCATGTTTGAATTGTGTTAAACAAATAAACTTGCTTGTACCAGTTTGTTTACATGTTTTTGCAATGTTCCTCTGCCTTTAAAGCTACAGTACTTTGATGAGCCAAGAATTATGAAACCACAAAAATAATAATAATGTAATAAATTGAATGTCACTGGTTCAAAACAGCTTCCGTCTCTAGTTTTCACATGTTTTTCTGGCTTCACATCTTTAGATCAGGTCTAACAGTGAAAACAGCAGCCCTTACTCAGCCAATCAGAATATAAACGATACATGTTCTATTACGATGAAGACTGTATGTATGTCCTGGTCTGATTCGTTCACTTCATATGTCATTGAACGAATACATTTCAACAGAAAATGTCCCATAGTGTAGTGATAACAACTTGTCTCTCCGTTGAATTAAGCAACTGATTTATCCACATGAAGAATGTGACTTTTAGTTGCTGTTATTCATGGCGTATTAAAAATGTCTTGTCCGTTATCGTCATAAAGTCTATGCCTTTAAAGCAGCTCTGTTTGTTATAAGTCTCTCCATGACCTCGCATGTACATCTGCAGAGACATGTTAGAGCCACATGAACCGGCTCGGACTCAGCACAGGGACTGGCCTCCTGCTGGGACTCTGAGGAGCACAGGGACTGGCCTCCTGCTGGTGCCCAGAGTCAGGACTAAACATGGGGAGGCAGCGCTTCAGATTTATACAGCAAAAACAGTCTTCCTGAAAACGTGAGACAGACTTCTACTCTGACAATGTTCAAATCCAGGTTAAAAACATGTTAATACACTGCGATTACATATGATTCCAATGCCTTATATATAGAATTGCCTCTGTCTTGTTTTGTTCAGCACTTTGAGTTCCCAAGCTTGTATATGAACTGTGCTGTGCAAATAAACTCCCCCCATGTCTTGCCTGTACTAATCAGACAGCACATACGCACATACATAGGCGCGTCCACCCCAAACAGCGCGCTCCCATTCCCTCCCAGTCACATAGTAAACACATAGCGCGCACTGGAGAGCCCCCGGTCCGGTGCAAAGTCATCCTCCCCTGTCCAACCCGGGCCTTCTGCTGTGGCTATATTCAGCTGCTACCACCACGACCCAGCAAACACACACATACCAACTCAATATGACAACCCGGACAGAAGGCAGGGACTGGTGGTGGTGTTGGGGGGTGGACAAAAGCACACATACACACAAGCCTGGAGCTGTCAAAAAATCCGGTACCTGCAGATGTTCCTGGAAGCGTATGGGGAGATTCTGGGCCATGTCTGGAGCGAAAACAGCGGCGCCTCTACGAGTGGGGAACCCCGTTTTGGGATCACGCAGGCGGGGAAGGGGCGTCACGTTTAGCGGTGGTCCTATATCCACTCGTGTCCCAACAAGCGTGCGTCGTGAAAGTCCGACTGGGAGCTCTTTCTATCTCTCTCTCTTGCTTGCTCTCTCTCTCTCTCTCCCCCTTTCTCTCTGGTATCTCTCTCTCTCTCTAGCTCTGGTATCTCTCTAGTGTATCATTCTCTCACACACACACACACACACACACACACACTCACACTCTCTCTCTCTCTCTCTCTCTCCCTCAGGTCCCCTTCTCTCTCTATCTCTGGTATCTTTCTAGTCTCTCTCTCACACACTCTCTCTCTCTCTCTCAGGTCCCTCTCTCTCTTTATTTCTGGTATCTTTCTGGTGTCCCTCTCTCTCACACACACACTCTCTCAATAGACGCAGTCACGCAGGTCTGCTCTCTCTCCCTCTCTTTCTCCCCCTCTCTCTCTCTCTTTGTCTCTCTCTCTGCGATCCTTGAGTGAACGAGCGCGTTGGGTCTGTGTCTGTGTGCGCGCACGCCATGCCTCCGCTAAGAAAACTAGTGCGCCTGAATGCTGGTGCGTGAACGTACAGGGGTGCGTCGTGCGTCGTGTGCGTGAGTGTGCAGTCATAATGACGGGTAGACGCGTTCGTTGGGTTGTAGAGGAAGCGGTGCGTATGTCTGCAGTTGTGGGGTTGTTTTTGTGTAGCCCTCCGCCGCTGCCCCCTCTCCTGGAGACCCCAACTTCAACAAATAGGACCATGAGTGACAGGCAGGCAGCCCTATGAGTAATGTGACTGTTTATGGCAAGTTTTTGGACTGTTATCAAAATAAAGAGTGTAGTGTTTGGTCTGAGAAATGTGAAATATAAATGTCACTCATCTACTTTATCTTATGGTGAGCATCTCATGGCACACGTTTTGTACTTCAAACAGAGGTCTTAAAACTGGGGTATACTATCTTTTATTAATGTCAAATTGTTAACTTTGAACATTGAGACAATCTACTCATTGCGTTCTTCACGTTCTCCTCTAGCCCAGCTTTATCCAGCCGTAAATTCCGGTCAATTGTCATTTTCCAACATGTACGTCTGGGTCTGATCCTAGTGTCTGCAGTTTCCTGATTGAATCCCCTTCGACCAATCAGCGAGCGGGGGAGGCGGCTTTAGCATTTAGCCTAGCTTTTGCCATCTCCTTTGCCACTATCAGCTTCAATTTCTTGATATTTGGAGCCAAACTAGAACAGATTACTTTACTGTAACATTCTCCGCCATTGCCTAACTACAACCAGAAAATATGGCACAAACTCTTGACGTCACTGACACCGACCTACAACACCCGCCTCCCCCGCTCGCTGATTGGTCTGAGGGGATTCAACCGAGGAAACTGCAGACATAGGATCAGACCCAGACGTACACGTAGGAAAGGATCATGTACAGATCTAAGGCCAGGCTAACACCACATTTGTTCCTGGCTTGTTTATAATTCTATGTTTTTGATCCAGAACTGATTAAATGACACTTTATTGTCAGTCTTGCATTTTTGGTTCGTTTTTCTTTTCACCCCACGGCACAAAGAGAACAAACGCAACTTTAGGTGGTTAAATGACAAACAGAACATGATCAGAAGTGAAAGATTAGGACAATAATAGTGTGGTAGTAGTTGTAGTGTTTCGGGGCCGGTCACGGAGCCGCGGCGTGGGTCAGGTACGTGGTGTGTTTGGCTTGGCTCTTGCTGTCAATCAGAAGCAGCTGGTGGCTTTTGTGGAAAGAAATCATGTCGTCCAGAGAGCTGAAAACCTGCATCAAAACATTAAAACGTTATTGGAGATGTTAGTTTGAGTTGCACACTCACAGATATCAAACCCAAATATATAAAACACTTTTCACACAAAACTCAACGCTCAAAATTCTTTAGACCAGAGGTGTCAGACTCATTTTGGTCAGGGGCCGATTAAAAAATAGGAACTGGTCTGGGCCGAAACAATAGAAGAGATTTCCTTTTCTTATGATATTAGTTTTTACATTATGAAGATATTTTAACATGACTTTAATGTGAGTTTCACTGTTATTTTCTAGTTGATTTTTCTGAAAACAAAATGTGTTTATGGTTTAGAATGAACCAAAACTGGAACAAATATAAAGTAAAAACATTTGATATTGAACTATTTAACTTCTGATGATGTGTTATTGGGTTAAAATGTTAGAATACATTAAATTTGGTTGTTTTCTGGAGAACATAGATGATGTCTAACCTGCCTCGGTCGCCCATTACCATCAATGCTGCTAGTTGATAATAATGAAGAAATAATAAAAATCAAGGCCCCTAGGCCTTGATTTTGACACCCATGCTTTTGACTAAGCCTGTCAAACTTGGGCTCGTGGGCCAAATCCGGCCCACAAGATATTGTTTGATGGCCTCCTATAACGATGTTCAATTATTATTAGATAAGATCAACTTTATTGATCCAAATATTTGATTGAACCAAAACTATAAAGCAGGTTATGGGCTTCCAAGGCATGTTTTACACAATCTACTTTTTCAGGAAAATAACCTCATAGTTAAATAGTAAACAATGTGTTTAACTTCATATTTGTCAAATGTCAAAATACTTTAATAATGTAAAAACCAGGAAGGAAGTGTAGGCCCCCAACTTTTTCCTATTTTATTTATTTCGGCCCCAGACACCCCTGCTGATTCTGAGTCAATTTTGTGTGTTTTTGTCAACACATAAAAACATTTTATGACCTCATTATGACTGTGGCACAAGCACCATCTGAGGAGCAGTCTGCACTGCACATCACCATACAACGTTATTTCCCAAGCCCAGTACGGAATCAGGAAGAAGAATGAGAGAATTTAGAAATATTTCAAATCTTTCTCGGCTGACAGGTTTTCGTGAAGATTTACTTGGATGTAGTAGATTTGAAAATGGCTGTTAAAGCTCGGGTACCCAGATTTCAAACCACAAAAACAACTATAAAAAATCCATGTATGGAGTTCCTAGCTTGCAAATCTGTTGTATCAATCCTTAGATTTCAAATGCATGTATATAACTGGCAAAGAAATTCAGGTGTCCCGGCTTTGAACTCATGTCTGCAACTCACCTCGTTCTTCTTTCCCTCTTTCCCTAAAGTGAAGCCCGGTGTCTCCCCCTGCAGGAAGCGGACGGGAATGTTGTAGACTTTCTGCTGGTACAGGACGGCCAGAGTGTAGGGCTGATGGGAGCTCTGTGTAGAGCAGTTTCTCACCAGGAAGGCTCCGTCCTGCATTTAGCCAAATAAATAAAAATCGTAAATTCTGAAATGATCCGATGAAAGGTTTGAAATTATGTCGTAAACCAAACCTTTTTGATGCTCAGCAAAAGATCCTCTGCCTTTTTCCTGTTGCAGTCTTCAGAAAACCACTGTCTGTTCTGAGAGATATTTGAAATTACTGTAGATAAGAGAACACCAGACCTATTGTGAGGCATGGGGGGTGGAAACATAATGATTTGGGGCTTTTTTGTGGCTGAATGAATGCACGCCATGTATCATGAGATTTTGAGTGAAAACCTTCTACCAGCACAGACATTAAAGATTGGAGATGCATCACTGCTCTAGTATTTTGGCCCATTTTCCGTGGTCATTCTGAAACTGCAGTATTACACATAATTGCAGTATTTACTAATGACATGTACAGTCTGACAGCAGCAGGAATGAAGGACCTGTGAAATGTATCCTTCAGACTGCGAGGGTTTCAGATTTACCTCGACCGGTGCTTTTGGTCCTTGTTGAACTCGAACCGAAGCTAAGAGCAAACACTAGAGTCGTTATTTGACATCAACTCTAACACACACACGACAAAGCCTTCCCCCAAAACATTCACCGCACACACTTACCAACTGGTTTATTGTCTTTCATACTTGGTTCCGGAGGCCTGCGTTTAAAAACACATCAAAAACATTTCTTTTTTATTGATTTGATAATATAAAAACATGTGTTCCTTTGACTTTGTGAGAAAAAATCTGAAAGTATGATACAAAATGTGTATCTATTTGTAAAATGTGTAGCAATATCCATCCATCCATTTTGGTGACTCCGGCTGTGGGGGCTTTAGGCAAAGTGGAGATAAGTGTCTTGCCCAACGACACAACGATAGCAGACATCAGTGGGAGTCGTGAAGTAGGTGAGTGGGATTGAACCCACAATCTTCAGCCCCCAAGGCCAATGTTCTACCAACCCACCCACTGTCACCCTTACTATGTGTTTGATATCAGACATATATTTACAGTTACTGCATTGTCTTGATAGGAGTCCATAGGAGAACTTTAGATCTACAGCCTCAGTCCTGGATCTACAGCCTCAGTCCTGGATCTACAGCCTCAGTCCTGGATCTACAGCCTCAGTCCTGGATCTACAGCCTCAGTCTTGGATCTAGACCCTCAGTCCAGGATCTACAGCCTCAGTCCTGGATCTACAGCCTCAGTCCTGGGTCTACAGCCTCAGTCCTGGGTCTACAGCCTCAGTCCTGGATCTACAGCCTCAGTCTTGGATCTACAGCCTCAGTCCTGGATCTACAGCCTAAGTCCTGGATCTACAGCCTCAGTCCTGGATCTAGACCCTCAGTCCAGGATCTACAGCCTCAGTCCTGGATCTACAGCCTCAGTCCTGGGTCTACAGCCTCAGTCCTGGGTCTACAGCCTCAGTCCTGGATCTACAGCCTGAGTCCTGGATCTACAGCCTCAGTCCTGGATCTACAGCCTCAGTCCTGGATCTACAGCCTCAGTCCTGGATCTACAGCCTCAGTCCTGGATCTACAGCCTCAGTCCTGGGTCTACAGCCTCAGTCCTGGATCTACAGCCTGAGTCCTAGATCTACAGCCTCAGTCCTGGATCTACAGCCTCAGTCCCGGATCTACAGCCTCAGTCCCGGATCTACAGCCTCAGTCCTAGATCTACAGCCTTTCCTTGTTCTACAGCCTCAGTCCTGGATCTACAGCCTGAGTCCAGGATCTACAGCCTCAGTCCTGGGTCTACAGCCTGTCTGTCTGTGGGAGTGGATCCCTCTCTCAATACGGGCCTCCCCTGGGTTTATCTTATTTATTTCCCACTGGATTTTTGAATGTACCACTTTTTTAAGTCCTTCCTTTGCCGATACAGGAGGGTCTAAGGACAGTGATGATCCCAGACATTTAAGGTTCAAGGTTCAAGGGGACTTTCTTAATGCCCATGGGCAGATTATTTTTGCAGTTATAAAGAGACTTGGCATCTAGACAAAAAATATTCAAAAGAAAAGAAGGTAGAAGGTGCTTAGTCAGGACCCCGGAGCTCATTTAAATTTTGAAGAACATTTTTGGACATCCCTCTCTCTATGGACCAACGACTCCTGTGTGTTTGTTATTATTGCACTTCCTGTTTTAGAACTGTTTGATTCTTACCCCAGCTTTTCTCTCTGACTTGTTGGCCTCGGGTGACTTGAAACTGGGGGAGTCACATTTGGGGAACTGAACCTTCTGGCTTCGACCTTTGGAGCTGGAGATGAGTGAGAGGTTAGTTACTGCTGCAGAGTGTGGTCCTGAGGTCTATGGTCCGACCTGTTGCCGTGGGAGATACCTGCAAATAGAAAAATCGTATGGTTACTTGAAAGCAGTCGTTTTGGTTTATGATGTGCTTAAAGGTAGATTTAAAGAAGCAATATGTAAGATTTAGTCATCATTAAATGGCCCTAATATGTCATTAAGAAACCATGCTCTTTTCTGATACTTCTTTAACTCATGACAGCCCCTGGATCTTGTTATTGTTTTCATTTCGATGTCCCGCCCTCCACCGTTTTACCAATCAGAAAGTCTGTGATCCGGGTTGCCAGAACTCACAGCGTCAAGCTAATGTCACTGGTAAAGTAACATGTGTCCTAAAATCATTACTCGAATCATTAAAGAGGTTATAGATGTGTTGTTGACAAAGCTTTTTATTCAGTTAAATCCCAGCTGGATTTGGAGCTGCATATCTGGCAACCTGAGTCAGGGAGAGTACAGTACCACTTTTTGCCAGATGTTTACATACTGCTCCTTTAACATTTCACAAAACACTGTCAATATTATTACGTCTATGCTGCTAAATATTTTACACATTCCATTTCAGTTTGTTTTTATCTTTAGAAATGCAAACTATACAAAACTAAGTCAGTTACCGATTTTTCCCATGGACGTGGATGCTTCACCCTGCAGAGAAGAATGTTATTTTTTCACGTTTTAACAACACAAAACAATCATCAAAAGTTCAGTTAGATATATTATTATTACTGGTTGGAATGGGAGGTGTGTTCTTTTTGTTAAAACGTACATTGGTTCTGGTGTGGGCAGTGCTGGTTTGAAGAAGGGAGGTGCCTTGGATTCAGATGGAAGCTGAGAACACGCTAAACCAACAGGAAATATAAATAAATGTTAGAGTTAGAATATAATCGTTTTGTGAAAGCATGTTTAGATAACAGTACCCTGTTCTTGGTCCAAGTATAAGTACTCAGAACTCTCCTAAAAGATAAAGAGATGGTGATAATCAGGCGAAGAGGGATTACACACTGAGACCAGGGACGGAGCTAAAGGGGGGGCTAGAATGTCCGAGGCCCCCCTGTGGCTCCCCCAACACTGGAAAAATTTCAGTTTAAATAAGGTCATTTTCATATGCTTGACTTGAGAAGTAGTTATCTTGATTTGAGCCCATTTTGATGTCTTAACGATACATAATCATCAAAAACAGGCCTGGAGTTGTTTTTAGATCCTTCCACGCGAGTAAGTATGTAAAGCCTAGCGTACATCGACAGATTAACTGGAGACAACTAGTTTCAAGGCGGCTTTTGGCAACTGAGAGGAGATGATGATGATGAAATCGGTCGATGTGCACGCTCTTACAACTGGCAATAAACAGTCGATCTCTGGATTCAGTCAGTTGCCCGTGTTCTACTTGTTCTACTTGTTGCGCCCGCAACAGTTTATGTCAGAAAACACACTGCAGTTGAGGCCAGTTGCTGTAGATGCGCGCTGTTATTCCCGAGACTGGCCTGCTACTAGGATTTGCCCGTTTTCTCCAGATTGTCGATGTGTGCGGGGCAGCAACTCTCAGGCGACAGATATAATCGGTTGCCAGTCCGATGTACGCTAGGCATGACGCCCCTTCTGTCCCAAAGCTCCTGTCTCATGCTGCTTTCATAAGAAACTTGTTTGTCGTTTAAAACAAAAGTATTGTCCATAAATTAGTTTTGCCACTTTCTCAGGTGAAATTGCGCTCAGGTAATCGCATGTGTGTGTGTGTTTGCAGCCGGTAATGTTCTAATTTAAAAATATAATTCTAAAACATGAAATGACAAAGTAAATAGTGTCATTAACAGTTTTGAATCCCAATAATAACAATATATTTCAATAATTGCCAATGAAAAAAGTCGTTAAAACCTCAATTCACTTTTAGTCTCCTCCCCATCGGCTGTATTTTTACATTTAAGCTAAAACAACACGTTTTACGCTTGTACTGTTCAGTTCAAGCAAGTATTGACCTTAAAGTGACACTTTTCCAGTATTGATTATATTTTCCAACAATGATCAAATGGCCGAGAGGTGGTGTTACATGACTCACATTTTCTTCACATATATCCAAATATAGATCTGAAAACACAAAACATGATACATGTTAGAATTTCAATATTTGGAATTGTTTGTAGCCAGCTTTGGAACCTGATGACATCTCCTTATGAACTTTCTGATTTTCTTCTGATCGAGTTTTCCTTTTCCCAAAATGTTGCTTATAACAACAGCCTCAGTCCTGCTTTGCATGTCTTTGGTCCTCGTTCTACAGTCTGAGTCCTGGATCTACTGCCCCTCTGTCTGTGGGAGCAGATCCCTCCCTCAATGTGGGCCTCCCCAATGTCTCATTCTTTTCCCCATTGTTTAAAAAAAAAATAAACCCAATGAGGACCCTCTTTGCAGATGCAGGAGGGTCTAAGGACAATGGGGATGATCCAGGACACTCCACATTCAACAAAATCAATGGATATTTATCAACATTTATGGACATTGGTCTCTGCCCCTTATGGACCAATGGCTCTATGTGTTTTTAATCATTGCATTTCCTGTGTGTGAACTGTTTGATTCTCTGATCTGGTAGTTTTTGATCTCCCTCTTGGCCCTGGTACTCGGTTTCAACAAGTTTTCCAACTGCCAGTTCTGGGTCAGAGTGCTGTTGGAAGCCATGGTTACCCAGGAATTTCCCCAGATACTGGTTTGTTCTGGTATAAGTTGCCAGGACACAGTTCCAGATATGTAAACACAACCCATTTGATTCAAACGTGGAAGCTCCAATCCGCAACAAAAACAAATATGCCACTTTCTGCACATTTAAATAACTTCTTTTCAACACCAGGGGGCAGTGTCGTTGCACCGTTCATTTGCGGCTGCTTCCAAATTCAGAAATAGTACTATTCCCTATCCCTTTCTTCTACTTTAAATGTGATATGTTATGAGACAAGCGTGATGTGATGCAACAGTTATACAAAAAAAGGTTAAAGAAAAGGAGAAAGTGCGAGGATTGAGGGAGGTTTTTGTGTTTTAATGTTGATCTGAGATTCCTTGCAGAAAACCTCATCCATGTGGGGGTTTTGTCACCTACTTGTCTCCACGGCTTCAATTCACAGTGTGACATTACATTTTGATTTATCCGTCCATATTTATGTCCATAGAAGCCTAATGAGCCCTGACCACAGGAAAGGTCCAGCTGTTTCTGGTTATAAACACTGAATATAAAACTAGTGAAAGTGGAGGATTCAGTTCACATTTCTGTGGAGAGACGAGAAGTTGCAAAAGGCCGTTTGAACAATCACTCAAGATTAGACAAGTCCAGTTCAGTGATTCACAAAGTAATGGGTGTGTAAAGAAATAGATTTACTCAATATATTCATTTGGTCTCCTGCTGGGACTTTGAGGAGCACAGGGACTGGCCTTCTGCTGGGACTCTGAGGAGCACAGGGACTGGCCTTCTGCTGGGACTCTGAGGAGCACAGGGACTGGCCTTCTGCTGGGACTCTGAGGAGCACAGGGACTGGCCTTCTGCTGGGACTCTGAGGAGCACAGGGACTGGCCTTCTGCTGATGACTCTGAGGAGCACAGGGACTGGCCTTCTGCTGGGACTCTGAGGAGCACAGGGACCAGCCTCCTGCTGATGACTCTGAGGAGCACAGGGACCAGCCTCCTGCTGATGACTCTGAGGAGCACAGGGACCAGCCTCCTGCTGATGACTCTGAGGAGCACAGGGACCGGCCTCATGCTGGGACTCTGAGGAGCACAGGGACTGGCCTCATGCTGGTCCCTGAGTCAAGACTAAATATTACGTGGATTATTTGTTTCTTGGTTTTATTTTGACATTTGTTCTTTCTGGTTTTATTTCAGTTTTACTTCCCGCCCCGCCCTGATGTGTTTCACCTGTGTCTGTGTCTTCATGTACCTGTGCTCCTCTCTCCTCGTTGCTGGTCCATTGTATTGTCATGTGTATTTTTGATTTGTTTTTACCTTGGACACTAATCTTATCTCATCTTTATTAAATCATTATTTTGCCTTCCTGCATTTTGGGTCTTCCTCCTTTCCACCCCGTGACAGAGGAGGCAGCGTTTCAGATTCATACAGCTAAAATCTGAAAGTCTTCCTGAAAATGTGAGACAACTTTTACTCCAGGATAAATCCAGGTGGACGTGGAAATGGGACGCGCCCAAAGCGTTTCTTTACCTTCCTCTGGTTTTGGTGACGGTGTGACCGGCACCGGCACAGCCATCTTCTTCCTCCCTGGTTTTTCAGTTCTGAACACATCAGGAGCTGTGACAAAAACAAAGTGTTGTAAAGTACTGGATTGTTGTTGTGTCCTTAGGCAAGACACTTCATTTACTCATTAACTTATTCTGAAATACATTGGAATTGTAACACAGTCAACAGGACAAACATGAAGTCAAAGTCAAACCAGAATACATCCAATCAGGTAAAAATTAATAAAAAAAAAAGTCTGCACCATAATAAAAGCATTAGAAAAACTACTGGTACAAATAAGAATCAATAAATATCACGTGTGTGTGTGTGTGTGTGTGTGTGTGTGTGTGTGTGTGTGTGTGTCTGTGTGTGTGTGTGTGTGTGTGTCTGTGTGTATTTAATATGTAAATCAGACACACAAAGGGTCCATATAACATACAAAAAATAAAAAATAATAATTGCTTACGTTTCATATTTTGGGAGTTTAACGAGACGTCTCCTGGGCTGGATTTCTGAAAGATCATGAGGCAGTAGCAATGAGTCAAACAATTCAAATAATTAACAAATATGGTATACATTTGTATTTACAGGGCCGTGTGGCAGCGGAGGAGGGCCCCGTCTCTGTGGGAGGGCAGCGCTGGGTCTCCTCTCTGTCAATCATCACATTCAGTTATTAATATTTATTACAACGCTCCTTTGATTTGAAGGTAATTTCAAAACGTTCTACCGATCAATATTTTGCATAGCCACGGGAAAGCCTTTGGGAACTATTTTATTTTCTGTCATTAAATAAACCTTTTGGCATTCCTAAAAGTGGACAGAAGTTTATTTTGTGTGTTCTGTTGATACAAAGCCGTATAATAAGCGGGATAATGTATAGTAGGCAGGCCATTATCGGAAAATAAGTTCCAGCCGGACGAAGCGGACCCCGACTTCATTGATATGTTCATTGATGAATGAAGGAGCTTTATTAGTCCCACATTAGGGAATTTACAGACTTCACAGAATGACAGATTTGTTCTACATTTCAGGCCTATTTTTTTGTATTAAGGGATCCAAAGTGGGAAACATAAATCTGGATAAAAGTAGATAAAAAGTGTCAGTCTGAGTCCTGGATCTACAGCCTGTCGGTCTGTGGGAGCGGATCCCTCTCTTCATGTGGGCCTCCCAGAGTTTCAGATTTTTCTCACTTTAGTTTTGTATTGGTTCCTTCCTGGTGGAGGAGAGTCTAAGGACAGTTATGATCCGGGATATTTAAGTACATTTATTAACATTTATGGACAGTGATCATCCCGCTCTCTATGGATCAATGCCTCCTACGAGTTTGTTATCGTTGCTTTTCCTGCGTTTGGACCGTCTGATTCTCTGACTCTCTGATTCTCTGACTCTCTGATTCTTTGACTCTCTGACTCTCTGATTCTCTGACTCTCTGATTCTCTGATTCTCTGACTCTCCGATTCTTTGACTCTCTGATTCTCTGACTCTCTGATTCTCTGATTCTCTGATTCTCTGACTGCCTGATTCTCTGACTTTCTGACTGCCTGATTCTCTGACTTTCTGATTCTCTGATTCTCTGACTCTCTGACTCTCTGATTCTCTGACTTTCTGATTCTCTGATTCTCTGACTCTCTGATTCTCTGATTCTCTGATTCTCTGATTCTCTGACTTTCTGACTCTCTGATTCTCTGATTCTCTGACTCTCTGATTCTCTGATTCTTTGATTCTCTGACTCTCTGATTCTCTGACTCTCTGACTCTCTGATTCTCTGACTCTCTGATTCTCTGATTCTCTGATTCTCTGACTGCCTGATTCTCTGACTTTCTGACTGCCTGATTCTCTGACTCTCTGATTCTCTGATTCTCTGACTCTCTGATTCTCTGACTCTCTGATTCTCTGATTCTCTGATTCTCTGACTTTCTGACTCTCTGATTCTCTGATTCTCTGATTCTCTGACTGCCTGATTCTTTGACTCTCTGACTCTCTGATTCTCTGACTCTCTGATTCTCTGACTCTCTGACTCTCTGATTCTCTGACTCTCTGATTCTCTGACTCTCTGACTCTCTGATTCTCTGACTCTCTGATTCTCTGATTCTCTGATTCTCTGATTCTCTGATTCTCTGATTCTCTGACTCTCTGATTCTCTGATTCTCTGATTCTCTGACTCTCTGACTCTCTGACTCTCTGATTCTCTGACTCTCTGATTCTCTGATTCTCTGATTCTCTGACTCTCTGACTCTCTGACTCTCTGATTCTCTGATTCTCTGATTCTCTGATTCTCTGACTTTCTGACTCTCTGATTCTCTGATTCTCTGATTCTCTGACTGCCTGATTCTCTGACTCTCTGACTCTCTGACTCTCTGACTCTCTGATCTGACGACTGTTGTTGTGATTTATGGTTATACAAAAATACATTGAGTGGAATTGAATTATTTATTTAAAGTAGTACTAGAATTTAATATGCTGCTATCCAGAATATATAACTACAATATGTGTTTATAATATTTCGGGTGTTCATTTTGACATGTTCAGATGAATTATGTTAAAAAAACGGCTTTGAAGTGGCACCTTTTCCCTTCCGCATAGATATTAAATTCTAGTACTACTTTAAACGTACCCAGATAGACGTTCTCCTCCTTCGGGATCTGGGGCACAGGGACCTGGCGCTCGCAGGGCGGGGCCTCGTACATGCCGTCGTCCTCCTCCTGAAACAAACAGTAAAGTGAACTAAAGAGTTTCTCAGTCTTTTCACTGATGATTCCCATAATTCTGCATGAAGCCTCCCAGAGCGAAGTTGCATGTTCTCCCTGTGTTTACGTAGGTTTCCTCCATTTCACTAACACTAGAACTCCCAGAGCAGGTGTTATTATTATTACTCAATATATTTACACTTTTAGTTTTTACAACTTTGTGACTTTTTCTCTCCGTATGTGTAGTTAATTTCTATGTTATAAATCTTATCTTTTATGTTTTCAATTATAGTTCTACCTTTAGCTCTAATCATTTAAAAGTGCATTCAAATGTCTGTTGCTCGGTAACCAACTTTCTCTGGCAATTTCCAAAGTCTGCGTCTGGTTCTGCTAGTTACCATAGCAACACACCGTTTACTTATTGCAGTTAGCATTCGATCTTTAGCGTTAGCCTTTCTTCAAGTTGTTTTTTTGCTGTATTTTAAGTTTTATTAACCAGTTTCTGCACCTCATAATAGTGAAGATAAAGGTTAATTTCTTATACATTACTTACTTTTAATAAAACTGGTGGAAAACTAAACATTTTTTGCGAATTTCTCAAACTCCCGTTGGTTTGAACGGTTTGTAGATCCATCGGTTTGAAAACTTACGTATGTGTCCTGGTGTCGTTCAGGTTCTGCAACTGCAAAAAACAAACATTGTTTCTCCAGTGTCTTGAACCGAATCCTCTTTAATGTCGTTATAAACACAGCGTCACTGACCTCTCCGTTTGGGAAGAGCCGGGGCCTTTCTGGAGCCACAAACACACTTTAATAACATCAACATATACAGTATCTAAAATCACATGTTCGTTTAAACTTACGACTTGTTTTTTCCAAAGACGTTCTATAAAACAGAGATTTCAGATCAGTAAAGTGTATGGACATCTATCTGCCCCTTTTGGACCAATGCCTCTGTTTTTGATCCTATATTTTTATACTGCTGTGATTTAGGGCAATACACTTTTTTTTATTGAATTGAATTGAACAAAATTGTAAAAATGACAGTGAACAAACAAGTTAGTCAAAATACATTCCTAGGACTTATAATAGATGAAAAGATGGAAACCCCACATTAGCTAGCCGCGGACAGAGGTTGCTAAATGTGTTGGAACGATGAGAAGAGCAAGTCACTGAACACAAATGCAACTGTTATTGTGTCGTTCTTGCACTGCAAATGTGTTGTATCTGTTCAGCCCATGCAATAACCACTTTGTCAACCCTGGACACTGCAAAGAATAAATAGATAAAATAAGAATAAATAATTGAATAATACACAGAATGAGAGAGTGAGCGTTTAAACAGCATGGTATATATGAAACGATAAAGTTAGGTCACCCTGCTTTAAAGTGCACCTCACCACAGAATGGAGCTCTGTCTGTTTCACATGAGACTTGTAATCTAGAGTCACATCTGGAGGCAAAGTGTGACCTTGTGTCAAAGCTGAAGAAACTGGACTTGTATAGTTCTTTAGATAGAACAAGAACCTCTGTTAGTGCCACAGAGGGGAAATTTCACTGTTGCAGCGCACATACAGGACAGTAGAAAGAGCACACAAACAGCAGACAAAATGTTTCTGTAATAACTTGACTTATGATGCAGGGACTGGACACAACTGTGACTCTGGTCAGATACAGCAGGGTGTCCAAACTTTTTAGTAAGAGGGTGGGGCCACTTTCCTCACCCAGACTTCTCCAGGGCCCGACAACCTCCAAACAACCATAGTCCAGTCCATGTCCCTGTATTGTGTGTATTGTATTGTTATAATTTCCTTCTGTGTTCTTTGTGTGCGACAGTGTCTATCTATCTATCTATCTATCTATCTGTCTATCTATCTATCTATCTATCTATCCATCCATCCATCCACCTATCTGTCTGTCTAACTCTTTCTCTCACACACTCTCTCACTCTCACACACTCTCTCACTCTCACACACTCACTCACTCTCACACACTCACTCTCACACACTCTCTCACTCTCACACACTCTCTCACTCTCACTCTCACACACTCACTCTCACACACTCACTCTCACACACTCTCTCACTCTCACACACTCACTCACTCTCACGCTCATTCTCACTCTCACGCTCATTCTCACTCTCTCACTCTCACGCTCATTCTCACTCTCTCACTCTCTCACTCTCACACACTCACTCACTCTCACGCTCATTCTCACTCTCACGCTCATTCTCACTCTCTCACTCTCACGCTCATTCTCACTCTCTCACTCTCTCACTCTCACACTCTCTCACTCTCTCACTCTCTCACTCTCACTCTCACTTGATTGTTTGTTGACTAAATCCTTTCTGCGCCACTGTAGAACAAGCCTGTTTTAGTTACTTTGGGTTCAAAAGACAAAAGACCAATCAACATGACAGAGAGGACCGCAACTGGCCCGCAGGCCGCAGTTTGGACCGGCCTGAGCCAGCAGCCTGGACCATGGATCTATTATGGCCTGGACCCACAAGTGCCTCCATAACACAACAGTCATAATATCCTTTCTCACACTGCACACAGCATTCAGTGAATATTAACCCAGCTTTAGTTGTTCAGTAATCTTTAGCAAACACATCAAGGAGAAAACAAAAGTGCGTTTATTCCGGGCACTTCCTCCTCACACCGTAAACTTCGAACATGAGTCAAAAACAATGAAAAATGTGGTAAAAGGGAACGTCTTACATTACCATTGTGGCGGCGGTCCCAGCGCTGGGCTCAGGAAAGAGGAAATGTCTGTGAGTTTAAAATGCAAATAGGAGGAGACTGAGAGGCGTTCTAACAGCCAACTTTGCATTTTTCACCTGAAACACAGCGGGCTTTGGTCACACTGTGTCCGTATAACACGCCCCGAGCAGTCAATTTGACGGCTTTTACTTGTGGAAGCGTGAACTCAGAGTATGGACATGTGGTTTTTTTTGTTTTATTCATTTATTTCAAACCTGCAGGTGTTTTCAAACGGGAAAACAAAAATAAAAAGTCAATTTGAATGGAAGCGGACTTTATGACTCTGTATGTAGTTAATTTGTATTTTTTGTTAACCCTTTAGGCGTCAGAGGTTTCTTCCTGAAGAGGCTCAATTTTGACATCTTAATTTCTTAACAACTCAAAAGAGACAGAGGCTTTATGTAAATTAGAGACGTTATAAAAACAGCCAAAAGTGTATGTATGAATTAAATGCACTCGTCTAATTTGCATATTATGACTCTATATAATGGTGGTAATTGTTCATTTTCAGACACAAATCACTAGGACATGAACACACACTTAGAACTCAAATTGTAGCACACTTAATGTTCAGGGAAAGAGTGAAATGGTGAAAATCATGATGTCGCTGGTTGTTTGAATGTTGTTTTAAACAGTACAGCATATTGTTGATTTGAGTGAAGCGTGGCGCCTAGAGGGTTAAATAATATTGTATTTTTGAAATGTGAGTAGTTTTACTGAAGAGAATGACGAAAAACATTTTATTGATGTTACACGACCAAAGATTTGCTGTGAGCATGTGATTTTATACCATGAAGGAATCATAGACGCTCCAATCGGCGGAAGTGACGGTAGCTTCGGCCTCCGGAAAGCCAAAACATCGAGTAGAAAATCGTTGCCTTGTGCATTGTTAAAGTGACCAGATTAAGTTAAACCAAAAAAAAATGTCTCAAACGTCAAACTACCTAACTCCATAACCTAACTAACTTTGCTCCTAGGTTCTGGTCCTGGACTGGTTCAAGATTCAAACATCTAGTCTGTGCGGTATTAACCAACTCTGATTCTGAGGAGCACAGGGACTGGCCTCCTGCTGGTGACTCTGAGGAGCACATGGACTGGCCTCCTGCTGGGACTCTGAGGAGCACAGGGACCGGCCTCCTGCTGGGACTCTGAGGAGCACAGGGGCCTGGCCTCCTGCTGGGACTCTGAGGAGCACAGGGACTGGCCTCCTGCTGGGACTCTAAGGAGCACAGGGACCGGCCTCCTGCTGGGACTCTGAGGAGCACAGGGACCGGCCTCCTGCTGGGACTCTGAGGAGCACAGGGGCCTGGCCTCCTGCTGGGACTCTGAGGAGGACAGGGACTGGCCTCCTGCTGGGACTCTGAGGAGCACAGGGACTGGCCTCCTGCTGGGACTCTAAGGAGCACAGGGGCCGGCCTCCTGCTGGGACTCTAAGGAGCACAGGGACTGGCCTCCTGCTGGGACTCTGAGGAGCGCATGGACCGACCTCCTGCTGGGACTTTGAGGAGCACAGGGACTCTGCTGGACCCAGAGTCAGGACTAAACATGGGGAGGCAGCATTTCAGATTCATGCAGCTAAAATATGGAACAGTCTTCTTGAAAATGTGAGACAGGCTTCTTCTCTGACATTGTTCAAATCCAGGTTAAACCCTTTTTAACGAACTGTGATTATTCATGATTTTTTGTGTGATTGTTTCTGGTTTTGTTCTGCACTTTGAGTTGCCTTGCGTATGAACCGTGCTATACAGATAAACTTTCCTTGCCTGACTTCCTTTACCAGAATAACTATGTTTATTGTAAATAGTTATGAGGTAATGACAGACAAAGAAACGAAAAAGTCTCACGTTTCAAATGTGCTTTCAGACAAACTCAAAACCATATTTGCTTTTTATAGAAACTGAAAGTGGCCGCTACGACACAGAGGTTACTAGAGTTTGAAAACGTTTGCAGAAATTAACGACACGAAAATCTGAAAATAACATAAAGTTTATTGACAAAACGACGGTTCAATACTCAAACAATAAATAAGGCGGGATGAGTAACGCACAGAGAGAACACAAAAGTCACATAAATATATAAAGTTTTAAATACAGCATCAGTACGACAGTTTGTTAATGACATAAAAAAAACAGTAGAAAATGGTAAAAAATATATAAATGCAATGTACAACTATTTCACACTGTACACAAGTGCTGGGCTCAACCCTGCGGAAAATCAACAGCTCAAAGCTCTTTCCATGTTTGTCCCAAAAGATTAATCATGAATAAAAGTTTAAAAACTGGGAGAATCTGAACCAGCAGATGCAAAAATCACCAAAAATTGCTCTTATAGTGTGTGCGCTAATTAAAAACAAGTTATTTTTTTGATTTGGTTTGTCTATAGACTGTATACAGGTGGATAATAGATCAATGAGACGCATTCGGGAGGTGCTCATAGACGAAGTTTTGCTCCACCTCTGGCTCAATACTAAAATATAGATATAAAAGAGAGAGACCAGAGAGAGACCAGAGAGAGACCATGGAGCGAGACCATGGAGAGAGACCATGGAGAGAGACCGTGGAGAGAGACCAGAGCGAGACCAGAGAGAGAGAGACCAGAGAGAGACCAGAGAGAGACCATGGAGAGAGACCAGAGAGAGACCATGGAGAGAGACCATGGAGAGAGACCATGGAGAGAGACCAGAGAGAGACCAGAGAGAGACCAGAGAGAGACTAGAGAGAGACCATGGAGAGAGACCAGAGAGAGACCAGAGAGAGAGACCAGAGAGACCATGGAGAGAGACCAGAGAGAGACCAGAGAGAGACCAGAGAGAGACTAGAGAGAGACCAGAGAGAGAGACCAGAGAGAGACTAGAGAGAGACCAGAGAGAGAGACCAGAGAGAGACTAAGAGACCAGAGAGAGACTAGAGAGAGACCATGGAGAGAGACCATGGAGCGAGACCATGGAGAGAGACCAGAGAGAAACCATGGAGAGAGACCATGGAGAGAGAGACCAGAGAGAGAGAGACAGAGACTAAGAGACCAGAGAGAGACTAGAGAGAGACCATGGAGAGAGACCAGAGAGAGACCATGAAGAGAGACCAGAGAGAGACCATGGAGAGAGACCATGGAGAGAGACCAGAGAGAGACCATGGAGAGAGACCATGGAGAGAGACCAGAGAGAGACCAGAGAGAGACCAGAGAAAGACCATGGAGAGAGACCAGAGAGAGACCATGGAAAGAGACCATGGAGAGAGACCAGAGAGAGACCATGGAGAGAGACCATGGAGAGAGACCAGAGAGAGACTAAGAGATCAGAGAGAGAGACCATGGAGAGAGACCAGAGAGAGACCAGAGAGAGACCATGGAGAGAGACCAGAGAGAGACCAGCGAGAGAGACCAGAGAGAGACCATGGAGAGAGATCATGGAGAGAGACCAGAGAGAGACCAGAGAGAGAGCCCAGAGAGAGACCAGAGAGAGACCATGGAGAGAGACCAGAGAGAGACTTGTATTGAAAACACCTCTAGCTCAATAATAAAATATAAATATAAAACCATAATCCTCAGCTGCAGTCGACTCGGAGGATTTGTCGTTTCACTTTCTATAATATTGATATAAATATTGCAGAGAACTTCCACATTGGTCCTAATTACAGATTGCAGAAGTAAAAAATGGGTTAATTCACTCATGTTAGTCTCGGGTCAAAATGACTCGTCTCAGGGATGACAAGGAGAAGAATAATACACTAAAGGCGTCCAGAGAGAGACCAGAGAGAGAGACCAGAGAGAGACCAGAGAGAGACCAGAGAGAGAGACCAGAGAGAGACCAGAGAGAGACCAGAGAGAGACCAGAGAGAGAGACAAGAGAGAGACCAGAGAGAGACAAGAGAGAGACCAGAGAGAGACAAGAGAGAGACAAGAGAGAAACCAGAGAGAGACCAGAGAGAGATCAGAGAGAGAGAGACCAGAGAAAGACCAGAGAGAGACCAGAGAAAGAACACAAAAAAGAGAGACCAGAGAGACCAGAGAAAGACCAGAGAGACAAGAGAGAGACCAGTTACAGATCAGAGACAGAGACTAGAAAGAGAGACCAGAGAGAGAGGCCTGAGAGATTAGAGCGCAAGACCAGAGAAAGGGACGAAAGAGAGAGAGAGACCAGTTACAGACCAAAACTGAAGTCCAGAAATGCCTTTTTAACATTTTGGACATATCTATATCTATGAGAAAATAACTTTTAAAAGTAATGTTTGACAAAGAAAACTGGTTTGTATTCTTAAACTCTCCTCATATAGACCGACACTGGAGCAAAGGTACCGCGACCTCTGCTCTAAGTCTTTCACCCACAGTCTCCTGAACTCTGCCTTCTCTCTCTTCGCCTCTGGGCTTTCAAACCAACCGGAAACTTCTGCACAAAAACAGAATCCTTTTGACCCTCTGTCAGCTTTGTCCCGCATGAGAAAACGATGCAACAACATCCTCCTGGCGTGGCTCGGCGTGGCTCGGCCTTCAGACTGGGTTGGCCTCGATCTTGGCGTTGATCCAGTCGATGTAGTGAGTGACGCGGGTGTAAACGCCAGGCTTATCTTTCTGTCCGCAGCCGTCGCCCCAGCTGATCACACCCATCAGCGTCATCCGCTCCTTGTTCCGACAGACCAGAGGGCCCCCGGAGTCGCCCTGAGCGGCAGACAAACAATGTGAGCACAGGGACTCATAAAGTAGGTCTAACAAAAGGCAAAGCAAGGCAGGTTTAATTGTGTAGCACGGTGTATACACGAGGAAACTCAAAGTACATCATAAAACTAGACAAAAAAGATTTAAATCACACTGTGAAAATATTTGTACAATACATGTTAGTGCCATATGAACCAACTGGGACTCTGAGGAGCACAGGGACTGGCCTCCTGCTGGTCACTCTGAGGAGCACAGGGACTGGCCTCCTGCTGGTGACTCTGAGGAGCACAGGGACTGGCCTCTTGCTGGTCCCAGATTCAGGACTAAACATGGAGAGGCAACGTTTCAAATTTATGCCAGTCGTATATGTCTAATGTTTTGAGCATTTATGTTTTAATTTGTTTCTTTTTCAATCAATTTTTAATAGAATTTATGTCATATGTATTTGCACTGCGTTTTATATTGTATTGTCTGTCTTTAATTGAAATGTTTTGAGTTGGCTTAATGAATGATATACTATATGAATTAGGCTCAGAGTCCGAGTAGGAGGCCAGTCCCTGTGCTCCTCAAAGTCCCAGCAGGAGGCCAGTCCCTGTGCTCCTCAGAGTTGGTTCATATGGCTCTAACATGTCACAGATGGACTTTGGTGCGAGGCCATAGAGAGACTTAAATTGTGGGCATTTGTCTCTCACTCCACAGGGAGATAGACCAGGTCGCCTACAGGATACCAGATCTATTGTACATGAAACCGGAGCACCTGGAGGAAACCCACGCAGACACGAGGAGAATATGCAAACAGGACTTAAATTCTCTGAGCCACAGGAGCCAGAGCAGAGACCTGAGAACTGGACCAACACAAACACAAAGCTTTGGTCACACAATCGCCCTGAGAGGAGGAAGTCATTGTGGCTTCAGTGTTATGTGTGATCGCACTTTGAGTTGTGTATGAACTGTGCTATACAAAATAGTTTTCTGATAAGCCATGAGTGTGATGTGTGTGTACTTTGCAGGCGTCGTCCAGGCCCCGAGTGTCTCCTGCACACAGCATGTTGGAGGTGACGGTTCTCCCGGACAGGACTGAGGGGACGCAGCGTTCCTTCGGCCACAGACGGACGTACCCCCGCTTCACACGCTCCGAGTATTCTGCAGAGACTGTGGAGACACGTGTGAGGAGGAAGGAGTTTGAGTTTGCAGGAGAACTACGAAGAATAACTCAAATATATGTAATAACTAAAATACATGTAATAACTAAAATACATGTAATAACTAAAAAGTATGTAATAACTAAAATACATGTAATAACTAAAAAGTATGTAATAACTAAAATACATGTAATAACTAAAAAGTATGTAATAACTAAAATACATGTAATAACTAAAATATATGTAATAACTAAAATATATGTAATAACTAAAATACATGTAATAACTAAAATACATTTAATAACTAAAATATATGTAATAATTAAAATACGTGTAATAACTAAAATACATTTAATAACTAAAATATATGTAATAATTAAAATACATGTAATAACTAAAATATATGTAATAATTAAAATACATGTAATAACTAAAATACATGTAATAATTAAAATATGTGTAATAACTAAAATACATTTAATAACTAAAATATATGTAATAATTAAAATACATGTAATAACTAAAATATATGTAATAATTAAAATACATGTAATAACTAAAATACATGTAATAACTAAAATACATGTAATAACTCAAATATATGTAATAACTAAAATACATGTAATAACTCAAATATATGTAATAACTAAAATACATGTAATAACTCAAATATATGTAATAACTAAAATACATGTAATAACTCAAATATATGTAATAACTAAAATACATGTAATAACTCAAATATATGTACAATAGGAGAGGTTGAATGAGAGTGTGTTGGTGACTGTGGGACTAAAGATGGAAAACAAATCTGGTTTGTTTAAATCTCCTGATGTTCATTAATACACACTTTATTAATACAAATAATAAATCATACATATAGGAATTTAAAGTAGCAATATGTCATCATCAAGTCATCATTAAAGGGCCCTAATTTCGATGTCCCGCCCTCCACCATTTAACCAATCAGAAAGTCTGTGATCCGGGTTGCCAGAACTCACCGCGTCGAGCTAATCTCACTGGTAAAGTACCATGTGGCGCACTAAAAAAGGTCTCGTTATGATTCTCAAATAATTAACAACTAAACAAGGAACAAAACCAGGATTTCTATCGTTGTGAAAAAAGTGTTAGTTACAGATTTGTCCAACAGTTATTATGGTCCCAGCTGGATTCGTCTGCATATCTGGCAACCCGAGTCAGGGAGAGGCTGCAGTACCACTTTTGGCCACATTTTTACATTCTGCTCCTTTAAAAAAGACTGTCCATCAATAGCATGAGGTTGGTCACGTTCAGAGCGGAGTTAGCTGGACATCATCCTAATATTTCATTTTATGTTGAAGAATGTGATTTTATTTCTCAAATCGATTGATGGACTTTTGGTATAAAAAAAGGTGATAAATTGCCCAAAAAGCAGAAAACTGTAATGATGTCATCGTTGGAGGCTGTCGTTGTGTATGAGTTTGAAAACACCGCTTTCAGACAGAGGAGTCGGGGGGATGTGTTTTTGCCAGATGTACTCACACTCAGCATCTTTCCCATAACCAGAGATCTCGCACTCGGTCCAGTCCGGCAGGTCCAGGCCTCGCTCCGGCAAACAGACCGGGAACACCTCCGGAGCATTCACCGCACACAGACCGATGTCAGAGCTCAGCTTCAGGAGAGCTGCAGAGAGAGACCAGAGGTTAGGGACCAGAGCGAGACCAGAGGGAGACCAGAGAGAGATCAGAGGGTTAGGGACCAAAGCGACACCAGAGGGAGACCAGAGTGAGACCAGAGGGAGACCACAGGGAGACCAGAGGGAGACCAGAGGTTTAGGGACCAGAGCAAGACCAGAGGGAGACCAGAGAGAGACCAGAGGGAGACCAGAGAGAGACCGGAGGAAGACCAGAGAGAGATCAGAGGGTTAGGGACCAGAGGGAGACCAGAGAGCAGAGGAGAGGGTTAGAGACCAGAGAGAGACCAGAGAGAGACCAGAGGGAGACCAGAGAGAGATCAGAGGGTTAGGGACCAAAGCGACACCAGAGGGAGACCAGAGTGAGACCAGAGGGAGACCACAGGGAGACCACAGGGAGACCAGAGGTTTAGGGACCAGAGCAAGACCAGAGGGAGACCAGAGAGAGACCAGAGGGAGACCAGAGAGAGACCGGAGGAAGACCAGAGAGAGATCAGAGGGTTAGGGACCAGAGGGAGACCAGAGAGCAGAAGAGAGGGTTAGAGACCAGAGAGAGACCAGAGAGAGACCAAAGGGAGACCAGAGAGAGATCAGAGGGTTAGGGACCAAAGCGACACCAGAGGGAGACCACAGGGAGACCAGAGGGAGACCACAGGGAGACCACAGGGAGACCAGAGGTTTAGGGACCAGAGCAAGACCAGAGGGAGACCAGAGAAAGACCAGAGGGAGACCAGAGAGAGACCAGAGGAAGACCAGAGAGAGATCAGAGGGTTAGGGACCAGAGGGAGACCAGAGAGCAGAGGAGAGGGTTAGAGACCAGAGAGAGACCAGAGAGAGACCAGAGGGAGATCAGAGAGAGACCAGAGGGAGACCAGAGAGAGTCCAGAGAGAGACCAGAAAGAGTCCAGGGAGAGACCAGAGGGAGATCAGAGACCAGAGATGACCAGAGAGACCAGAGAGAGTCCAGAGAAAGACCAGAGAGAGTCCAGAGAGAGACCAGAGAGACCAGAGAGAGACCAGAGCCCCTTTTGTAGTTTAAGACCGGTTAACGTCAGAATCGGACAAAAGTCTAAAGTCTCACCGATGTCGTTGTCAAAGGTCTCGTTGTCAAACTTCTCATGGATCCAGTATTTTTCCACCTTAAATATCTGCTCACTGCTCGAGTTCTGTTTGCGGAACGTTCGGCCCAGAACCACCTCCAGTTTCTCGGCTTTGGCGCTAAAACAGAAAAGGACAAAAAGTTAGATTAAGGCGTCGTTTCTCATCGGACAAAAACAACAATATTTAAAATTTCAACTCATTATTAACATCTGTATTTAAGTCTCTCTTAGAAGTTCACAGCCGGAGATAGACCTCTAAACATAGGACTGTAAACTTCTGGATAAATGATAATAATAAATATATTTAATAATACATAAATACATTTAGAAGAAGAAGTGCTGAAGTCCACCTTAAATATGTTTTTATTTTAATTTGTGCATGTTTACTGTAAGAAACGATCAGACAACTTCTTCTTTCTGCTCCTTTTCTGTTAATTTGTGTGACAGGACCACAATTATTTGAAATGTAATTGTTTATTTTGATTGTATTCATTTATTTTATTTATTTTCCATTTTCTTCAGCTTCATCCGTTGCCGGGTCGCGGGGGCAGCAGTCTAAGCAGAGACGCCCAGACTTCCACACACACTTCCTCCAGCTCGTCCTGGGTCTTCCCCGGGGCCTCCTCCCAATTTAATTTATTTAATTTATTTTACTTCATTTTATTTTATTTATTTTATTTATTTTATTTTATTTTATTTTATTTTATTTATTTTATTTATTTTATTTATTTTATTTATTTTATTTATTTTATTTATTTTATTTATTTTATTTATTTTATTTATTTTATTTATTTTATTTGTTTTATTTTGTTTTATTTTGTTTTATTTTATTTTATATATTTTATTTATTTTATTTATTTTATTTATTTTATTTTTAACATGCACAATACATATTTTACATATATCAATGTAACAGATACAACTTGTACCAGGTTCGAAAAGGAGTTGGATGAAGATAGATAGAAAACCCGCAGGAAAATGTGAAAAAAACACATTTGCCCATCCGTTACCCGGCACCAACCCCATTCATTTAACAAGTGCACTCAAAAGTCGACGTTTTTGCACCGGGACCCGCCCCCACTGGTAGAACTTCTCTGAAACTTATTTGCCGCTTATGTGGTTCCAACCCCCGTCACACACAGACAGTTTTAACAACATGCTGCAGTAGAATTCTCAAACATACAAAGGTGCATTACATAGTAGTAACACAACACTACCACAGATGGTATAAGACCGACAACACAAAACACACACTCTCAGTAAACACACACACACACACAGACTGACAACACACCGGCCCTACACCTCTCCCACTACTTGCGCTGTGCTCAAGGCATCATCTTGTAAAATGTGATGTATTGTTATGTTCACAAGTTAAATAATAATAACAAATCATAATAACAATAAAAAACAAAAAAAAATCTTCGTTCCAGCTACTTTCCTCTGGGAGAAGATTTTGCTCAATGCAAGACATCTCGCCATGCAGGAAGCAGATTATAAAACATGAACAAATACAGGAAGTGAAACCAGAAAGACTTTATTATGAGACTTCTCTGGCACTAGTTCGAGTCCAGACCTGGCACTAGTTTGAGTCCAGACCTGACACTAGTTTGAGTCCAGACCTGGCACTAGTTCGAGTCCAGACCTGGCACTAGTTCGAGTCCAGACCTGGCACTAGTTCGAGTCCAGACCTGGCAATAGTTTGAGTCCAGACCTGGCACTAGTTTGAGTCCAGACCTGGCACTAGTTTGAGTCCAGACCTGGCACTAGTTCGAGTCCAGACCTGGCACTAGTTCGAGTCCAGACCTGGCACTAGTTCGAGTCCAGACCTGGCACTAGTTCGAGTCCAGACCTGGCACTAGTTTGAGTCCAGACCTGGCACTAGTTTGAGCCTAGACCTGGCACTAGTTTGAGTCCAGACCTGGCACTAGTTTGAGTCCAGACCTGGCACTAGTTTGAGCCTAGACCTGGCACTAGTTTGAGTCCAGACCTGGCACTAGTTTGAGCCTAGACCTGGCACTAGTTTGAGTCCAGACCTGGCACTAGTTTGAGCCTAGACCTGGCACTAGTTCGAGTCCAGACCTGGCACTAGTTTGAGTCCAGACCTGGCACTAGTTCGAGTCCAGACCTGGCACTAGTTTGAGTCCAGACCTGGCACTAGTTTGAGTCCAGACCTGGCACTAGTTTGAGCCTAGACCTGGCACTAGTTTGAGTCCAGACCTGGCACTAGTTTGAGTCCAGACCTGGCACTAGTTCGAGTCCAGACCTGGCACTAGTTCGAGTCCAGACCTGGCAATAGTTTGAGTCCAGACCTGGCACTAGTTTGAGTCCAGACCTGGCACTAGTTTGAGTCCAGACCTGGCACTAGTTCGAGTCCAGACCTGGCACTAGTTCGAGTCCAGACCTGGCACTAGTTAGAGTCCAGACCTGGCACTAGTTCGAGTCCAGACCTGGCACTAGTTCGAGTCCAGACCTGGCACTAGTTTGAGTCCAGACCTGGCACTAGTTCGAGTCCAGACCTGGCACTAGTTCGCGTCCAGACCTGGCACTAGTTTGAGTCCAGACCTGGCACTAGTTCGAGTCCAGACCTGGCACTAGTTCGAGTCCAGACCTGGCACTAGTTCGAGTCCAGACCTGGCACTAGTTTGAGTCCAGACCTGGCACTAGTTTGAGCCTAGACCTGGCACTAGTTCGAGTCCAGACCTGGCACTAGTTCGAGTCCAGACCTGGCACTAGTTCGAGTCCAGACCTGGCACTAGTTTGAGTCCAGACCTGGCACTAGTTTGAGTCCAGACCTGGCACTAGTTTGAGCCTAGACCTGGCACTGGTTTGAGTCCAGACCTGGCACTAGTTTGAGCCTAGACCTGGCACTAGTTTGAGTCCAGACCTGGCACTAGTTCGAGTCCAGACCTGGCACTAGTTCGAGTCCAGACCTGGCACTAGTTTGAGCCTAGACCTGGCACTAGTTTGAGTCCAGACCTGGCACTAGTTTGAGTCCAGACCTGGCACTAGTTCGAGTCCAGACCTGGCACTAGTTTGAGCCTAGACCTGGCACTAGTTTGAGTCCAGACCTGGCACTAGTTCGAGTCCAGACCTGGCACTAGTTCGAGTCCAGACCTGGCACTAGTTTGAGTCCAGACCTGGCACTAGTTTGAGTCCAGACCTGGCACTAGTTTGAGCCTAGACCTGGCACTGGTTTGAGTCCAGACCTGGCACTAGTTTGAGCCTAGACCTGGCACTAGTTTGAGTCCAGACCTGGCACTAGTTCGAGTCCAGACCTGGCACTAGTTCGAGTCCAGACCTGGCACTAGTTTGAGCCTAGACCTGGCACTAGTTTGAGTCCAGACCTGGCACTAGTTTGAGTCCAGACCTGGCACTAGTTCGAGTCCAGACCTGGCACTAGTTTGAGTCCAGACCTGGCACTAGTTCGAGTCCAGACCTGGCACTAGTTCGAGTCCAGACCTGGCACTAGTTCGAGTCCAGACCTGGCACTAGTTCGAGTCCAGACCTGGCACTAGTTCGAGTCCAGACCTGGCACTAGTTTGAGTCCAGACCTGGCACTAGTTCGAGTCCAGACCTGGCACTAGTTTGAGTCCAGACCTGGCACTAGTTTGAGTCCAGACCTGGCACTAGTTTGAGTCCAGACCTGGCACTAGTTTGAGCCTAGACCTGGCACTAGTTTGAGTCCAGACCTGGCACTAGTTTGAGTCCAGACCTGGCACTAGTTTGAGTCCAGACCTGGCACTAGGAAATGCCCATGAAGAGTGTGGCTGTGGAACCTACTGGTCTTCGAAGCAGTGGGCCGCGGACAGGACCCAGCAGGACTGGATCAGGACGCCTCCGCAGCGGTGGAAGTGCTGTTTGAGACGCGCCTGGTAGACGTTGATGGCCGCCTGCCACGGCTGCTCTGTGATGTCACTGGCTCGGCCTCCAAACATACGGAACGAGGGACGGTTCAGGGTGTTGTCCAGACGCTCTCCGCACGTGGCTGAGCAGAAGCAGATTCTACGTGAAGACTCGGAGAAAAGACTTGAAAATGTGATATTAACTTCATACCTCTGTTGTTGTTGTTGTTGTTGGAGGTGGGAGCTCGCGGACCAAGGGTGGTTATGACGGGTTTTTTAGCTGTGGGACAAACAGAAAACAACAAACTGTTAGATGGATGGATAGATAGATAGAGAATTGATAGAATCGATAGATATAAAGGATAGATAGATAGAGATAGATAGAGATAGATAGAGATAGATAGAGATAGATAGAGATAGATAGAGATAGATAGATAGAGAATATATAGATAGATATAAAGGATAGATAGATAGAGATAGATAGAGATAGATAGATAGATATAGATAGATAGATAGATACATAGAAGTGATAGATAGATAGATAGATAGATAGATAGATAGAGAATATATAGATAGATATAAAGGATAGATAGATAGATAGATACATAGAGATAGATAGATATAGATAGATAGATAGATAGAGAATATATAGATAGATATAAAGGATAGATAGATAGAGATAGATAGAGATAGATAGATAGATATAGATAGATAGATAGATAGAAAACCCGCAGGAAAATGTGAAAAAAACACATTTGCGCATGCGTTACCCGGCACCAACCCCATTCATTTAACAAGTGCACTCAAAAGTCGACGTTTTTGCACCGGGACCCGCCCCCACTGGTAGAACTTATCTGAAACTGGGTCAAATGAGACAAATGTAGACTTCTAGACACTGACCACATTTTGGAATATCACAGAGCTCCCAGGTCAGCTGCATGTTCTTGTACGTGTGACACCAGGGGCCGACGTCTCCATCTGGATTCCTGTTGGACACAATCAGACAGAATCAACATTTAGAAGCGTTTAGCAGCGTTCCAACACCATGTGCATCATCACAAACAGACCTGCACCTACTGTATATAGTGACGGGGGATAAAAAGGCTTGCTCAGTCGTTTTGTGCATCAGCTTCTTCTAATGATATTTTTTATTTAAATGTTATATTGTATTTTACATTTTTGCACTGGTTAGCATGCATCACACTTCACTTTTTCTTCCATTTTTCTGATAAGCCATGAGTGTGAGTTCTAGAAATCTTAACAGAATGAGTAATTAATCAAAACATAAATTATCCTTCTGATGATGACTCACAAAACAGATTTTCTAGCAAAGAATTTGTCATAGTTTTTTAGACTCCAAATATTTTCCCACAGGTTCTGCTGTTGTGAGTAAGTCCACAGCTTTCAAAGTTCACAAAAAATGTAATGTGAGTATTTTTAAGGATTTTTGCATGAGGCACACTTGAAAACAGCACGAAGTCAAGTTAAAGATAATGTCTGCAACTAAGAGTGTTTTTTTTTTTTTTTTAGTGTATTTCTGACCATGGGGCACTGTACTATTTGTGTACACTAAGTATTTTTCAACAATAACATATGTAACTTTCTAATTCACTTCTTCCCACTCCTTTTCGAGCTGGATTTTTGTAAATAAAACAAAACGTACTGTATGTTTGTATGTTATCATGTATTGTTTATTTTTTTTAATTTCACAGTTGTTTTATAAAGTAAATAAAGTATTCAATCGTTCAAAACAGTCTCTCCCCTTGGTATCACTACGACCAGTGAGATTTGCTGGAGGAGAACGGTTTAACCAATGACAGGGACCGCAAGGATTTGAATAGATTTTTCGACCAATCAGAAAGCTGCAGGGTGGAGCAGGGGCGGGTCTAACGAAAGCTTGCCTTGTTAAAAAGTTTCACTAACGCTTCACAATTCAAAAAGTGACTGAAATACACTTTAAAAAAACATGAGATACTCAAAATAATGATTGTCTTTTGATACACAAATCTGAAGGCAAATAAACCATGAACCATTTTCCATTAAAAAACACATTATTTTCACGCATTTTGAAGACTTTACCTGCAGAAGTTGTGTCCGGACAGACCCAGCTCCAGAGCGTCCGACCTCCATGCGTTGTAGAGTTTTCTCCTGACCGCAGAGAAGTCCCAGGGCAGGCAACGGGACCCAGTTCTGGTCACTGCCACTGTCCCCCGGTAAGACTGACCCGAGCCCGAAACACACGCCCTGTCTGCGAAAAGAAGATGTGGTTTTGGAATCAATACCAAACCGGTGAATACAAAAAAATATATGTATTAATTAGACAAACCTTCAGGACACTTGGGTAAAGCACAAAACTCCCATGCGACTTGTGTACCTCTGTAGACATAACACCAGGGGGTGCTGTCGCCGTCAGGGTTTCTATGGGAAGAGACACAGGTTGCATTTGTATTTGAACAAGAGTATATTTAATTCTTACAAATAGCGCAGTGTATGGTCAGGAAACAGGCCATTTGAAACATCTCGGACAGATCACAATTCTATATTTAACTTATTGTCCTTTTGTATCTTTTGGTGTACATAATTCAATACATCCTGGTACTATAGACAAGACTAAATTATTCTGATACATAGCTATACAGTGCCTTGCGAAAGTATTCGGCCCCCTTGAACCTTTCAACATTTCGCCACATTTCAGGCTTCAAACATAAAGATATAAAAATATTTTTTTTTGTCAAGAATCAACAACAAGTGGGACACAATCGTGAAGTGGAACGAAATTTATTGGATAATTTAAACTTTTTAAACAAATAAAAAACTGAAAAGTGGGGAGTGCAATATTATTCGGCCCCCTTGCGCTAATACTTTGTAGCGCCACCTTTTGCTGCAATTACAGCTGCAAGTCGCTTGGGGTATGTCTCTCAGTTTTGCACATCGAGAGACTGGAATTCTTGCCCATTCTTCCTTGCAAAACAGCTCAAGCTCAGTGAGGTTGGATGGAGAGCGTTTGTGAACAGCAGTCTTCAGCTCTTTCCACAGATTCTCGATTGGATTCAGGTCTGGACTTTGACTTGGCCATTCTAACACCTGGATACGTCTATTTGTGAACCATTCCATTGTAGATTTGGCTTTATGTTTTGGATCATTGTCCTGTTGGAAGATAAATCTCCGTCCCAGTCTCAGGTCTTTTGCAGACTCCAACAGGTTTTCTTCCAGAATGGTCCTGTATTTGGCTCCATCCATCTTCCCATCAAGTTTAGCCATCTTCCCTGTCCCTGCTGAAGAAAAGCAGGCCCAAACCATGATGCTGCCACCACCATGTTTGACAGTGGGGATGGTGTGTTCAAGGTGATGAGCTGTGTTGCTTTTACGCCAAACATATCGTTTTGCATTGTGGCCAAAAAGTTCATTTAGTTCATTTATTTATGTTCATTGGGCCTAAACTGGTGACCTAATTTGATCTTCCTGTAGGTATGAGTCAAGCCTCTGTTCTAGCAACGTACAGGCTGAAAACTGTCCAATATTTCCATCCATACATTTACTTCTGCTTTATCCATTGCCAGATTGCGGGGGTAGCTGACTAAGCAGAGACGCCCAGACTTCCCACTCCACAGACACCTCCTCCAGATAATCCGGGGGAATCACGAGGCGTTCCCGGACCAGAGAGAGACCCGGCCCTTCAAGCCAGTCCTGGGTCTTTCACTGGCCTCCGATGGAACATGCCCCAACCATCTCCCGAGTGAGGCATCAATGAGGCATCCGGAACAAGATGCCAGAGCCACCTCAACTGGATCCTCTCGACGTTGAGAAGCAGCGGCTCTACTCCGAGCTCCTCCTGTGTGACTGAGCTCTTCAAACTATCTCTAAGGGAGGGAACAGACAATCACGGCCGCTTTAATTTGTGATCTTGTTCTTTTGGTCAGTCTCCCAAAGCTCATGACCAGAGGTGAGGATGGAAGCGTAGATTGACCGGAGCTTTGCCTGCAGACGCTGCTCCCTCTGCACCACAACAGTCTGATAGAGGGATCACACCACTACAGACACCTATTTTTTCCCCTTGTATGAAATAAATGAATTAATCTTAGCTGGATGGACAGAATTATGGCTGTTTTACTGAGTTGAATCATTATCTGTCACACCAGATTTCTCAGACAGAAAAGGGAAAAAGAAAGGACCACCCTCACTCAGCCAATCAGGTCTCAGCCACTCAAATAGTGACTCACAGGGCTCTTTCTGATCTCTGCATACCTATCCATGTTTGCTGTGAGGAGTAACTGACCATGGCCACATACCTGCAGTAGTTGTGATTGCCCAGGCCCAGGCTGCTGGCGTCGTTCTTTCGGGCCGTGTAGCGCTTGCCTCTCAGAGAAGTGGAGTTCCAGTTGATGCACTCTGCTCCGGAGTGACTGATGCTCCAGGTGCCGCGGTAACCCTCCCCGTGTCCAGTCACACACCGCTCTTTGGTGTCTGCGCAAAAAAATCATCTGTGAATCCAAAACTCAGTCAACCTGTGTGTGATTTTAAATGTTCCAAGGCCAGGTTACAATCATAATTTTGTGGTTTTTTTAGAGTTAAGTTTAAACTGTAGCACTGTGAGGTTTAGCGTAAATAAAGCAATAAAACCTGGTTGGTTTGGTTCACTTTAGCTGGACCAATTCAGTCCATAGACCGTATATGATAAGTGAAGCTAAAGTCATCATAGCGTTAGCCTTAGAAGAAGCTAGCTGTGACCATACAATACAATCCTTATATGGGCATTTGCACCATAATAGGGACAAATGTGTTGCCAAGACGGTTGCTAAGGCAAACTGGTGTTAATTTGTGAATAGAGCTCTGGTGTGTGCCATCTGATGCACACTGGGGTCGTCTTGCACCGTTTTTCTAATGTGGTTTTACTGCAAATGGCAAAAAAAATCTTGAATCTTGAATATCCAAAATATAAACACCAAGATGGATTTTCAAAAGCTCAAAATAGGGAGGGGGGTGTGACATAAACAGTTACTGAGCCATAGGACTTTTCAATGTAATTTTGAGCTCAACTTTGCCCATGAGTACTTTGTTATTGGGTTGCATTGAGATAGCGGGTTAGCATTGTCCATTTTTTTTACAGCCTATGATCCCTGTACGTTGCTTTAGGCCAGTGCTGGATGAAATCAATGACTTTCTCCATGCTGAGTGGGTGGAGTAGCCCAAATCCTGAAAGCACCATCATTCCAAAGGTTTGTATTAATTGCAGACCACAGTCCAAACCGCAGACACATGACACAACCAGAAACATGTGTGACCTGATTTAGTCATAAACATAATTCTTCACAGATATTCTGGAATCACACTCACGTTTACACTTCAGCTACGATCAACCATCCTGAGAATAGCTCGTTTGGACAGAACTGGGACATGGGAGTGCCGGGAGTTTCACACAGTCAGGGGAGATGATAATGTAAATAAATAGTATATATATTTTTGAGATTTTAACTATGTCACTTCATTCTTTCCAAACATATCTGGAGTTGTTTAATGCCTCATTTACACTCATATCAGGAACTTTTGGCACAAAAACAATACAATATTCATATAATTGAAAACAACAGCAATATTTTGAACACTTAAAGGTACTCTGTGTAATTTTAACAGTTTCTCCACATAAAAAAACCAGTTAACCAAAAACAAATGTGAACTTTTTAAGAATAGGCTGGAGGCTGGAGGACTCGCTGTGTCAATGCCCCATCTTGAAATACAGTGGTTGAAAAGGGACAAAAAGGAGTTCGCCCGAGAGTTGGGGACCACAGTCTAAGACAATATATTGTCCTGCAAAGCTACCGCAGTGTACTATAAAAGATACAGGAGGATTTTCCCAAGTTTTAGGAAAGAACCGCCCTCTCCCCTTTTTGAACAAAGCTCTCTGGTCTTATTTGACGAGCACGTATCACCAGAATGATTGACATTTGTGAGGACCAATAGCCTTGATGATCCACTCGGAATTAGAAAATCCCCCGATATACATATATACTGTATGTATGGGTATATATATGTCTATGAGTAAGGTTGGTCCTCTCTTTTTCACTTTTCTGTCTGAAAAAACCTGATCTGAAGCTATGACAGAAACCAAAAACACGTGTGGAGACTAGTTGAAGAACTGTTTTGCATGTTTGTTCATAAAAATTCTGCCACCCAGTCCACAGAGCACCAACCCTTCACTGATCCTCCTGCGGGTGGTGAGTCCACAGGAGCTGAGATCTTTCAGTGGGAGCTTCAGGAAAAGTGGAGTTAAGTGTCTTGCCCAAGGACACAACGACAGCAGTCATCAGTGGGAGTCATGAAGTAGGTCTTACGGTGGGCTTGAACCCACGACCTTCAGGCTCAAAGGCCAATGTGGTATTTAACTCAATAAATCAAAAATAATTCTATCCATCCATCTAACATATATCTATCTTTTTGATAAGAACCAGGAAGTACGATCACATTAGTCCCGTTCTCAGGTCTTTGCACTGGCTTCCTGTGTGAAAAGACTGTGACAGAGGCCAAAAATACATGAACATTTGTGATAGACGCTGTTTTTAGAAATAAAAACTAGTTGCATGGAGTTTGAAAGTGAAGTACTGCCTTAAATGAACACCTTTGATGATTATTGTTATTATTATAATGATTCCCAGTAGAACGGATACTCACTGATCTCACACTGAGCTCCGCTGAAGCCGGCGGGACACTGGCAGATGTAGTCTGACGTGTACACAGCCTCTTTACACGTGCCGCCGTTATAGCAGTGAGACACATAACAGTCTGGGGAAGAAGTCATTAACTGTTAGTCACGATGTGGAGAAGAAATGTAGGTCACTGTGTGTTTAGCTACACAGAAACATAACAGCAGAGTGGTTGAGATTTAGTGCTGTATCGTCCAACTCAGTCTTTCTATGGTCCTAGGTCTCTGATGGTGCTCTTACCTGTCTATATTTTGGTCTATATAACGTCTACCGGGTATATATAAAGCAGTGTTCCCCAACCTTTTTGAGCCGTGGCACACCGTGTTCATTTAAAACATCCGCATGGCACACCACCAGCTGAAACTGACGCAAAAAATGAAATAGATTAGCCTTAATTAAAGCTATACAGAAGGATTTTTCCATCATCTCCACTTTTTGGAAAAACTCTGGTCCAAAACTGGTCTTATCTGACGAGCACGTATCACTAAAAGGATTGACAATTGGGAGGATCACCAGTCTTGATGGAAGGAGAGACAAAGCAAAGTCTTTCTAATCAAAGTGTTTCACAAAGAAAAGCAAGTCTTTTTAATCTTCTTGCATCATTTTCGTTTCACATTTTTTTGACCAATCAGGGGATATTGGATTATTTTTAAAGGTACAACATCTCAGGGCACACTAACAGGCCACAGCACACTGGTTGAAAAACAAATGTATAAAGCACGTGACCCCCGGTCCCAAGACAAGTCTGTCCAATGGGAGACAATAAAGAAGTATTGTAGCTTATTTTGTATCCCCGAATTGGTCAAACAAAAACTTTTTTTTGTTAAGGTACGGTAGACTGTATTTATTCTCTCCTCTTCTGACTGTATCCGTCGTCACGGTGACACTTTATTTTACTATTTTTAACTGTTTTGTTTTTTCGATTGGATTCGTGTTTATAATTGTATTGAAAAATGAGAGGGGATTAAATACAAGTGAAATTGTGTTTGAACTAAATCAAACTAACTAATTTTAAATGACATTTTGAGCCATTGCATATCTATTTTCCTTTTGGTCACTAATTTAGGGTTTTACAGTAATATGGCACATTTTACATGAGGGTTGTCCATGAGTTTCTTCAGTTATTACAAAGACTAGTTTTATTATGACTGCAAAAAATAGTAGCTCTCCATCATTTCTGTTGCGTGAAAGTAGCTCTCCAGACGAAACATTTTGGAGACCCCTGAGCTAGAGAGTTTCATTGTAATTTCAGTCTCAGCTGTTGTCGTGCCGATTTTTTCCAATGTCAAAAAGGGTTGCATCACCGTATCAGCAGAGCCAAAACCATCGGAATCATGTATACATTTCATTTCGGTAAGAATAAAACGTAGGAATAGCTGTCCGTGACGTCAGAGCTGCGGCTTCAGAATGTGGTTGTAATTAGTCTGAGGGCGGAGCCAGTCGGTCTCTCGGGATTCGTCAATGGAGGTGAAAATGCGCACACGGGACGGTCTGGCAGGAGAATTTCAAACAATCCCAGACTAAAATACACACACTTAAAAACACAGAAACCCCGCAGCTGTTCAGCCGGCTGCACTGGAATAACAGGGATCCGAACATATAAGCGAGGTAGGCCATAAGAAAATAATCAAATGAGGTTGAGAAAGTGTGTTTAAGTATATGGTTATGAAGAGGATTCGAAAAAAGGTCAGGAAGGACGAGAGGGTTCAGGACGAGACGACAGTTAAAGGACACGTATCATGATGAATTGACTTTTTTGGAGCTTTTTCAGCCATGTTACAACTGTGTTCCCTCATCGGAAACAAACCTGGAGTCGTTTTGAGATCCATCCACGCTAATATAAGCAACCTCAAACATGTAGCTCCGCCCCTTCTGTCTAAAACCTCCTGTCTCAGTCCTGTAGAAGTATGATGTCATTGGACCTCTACGACATCACACTCTAACAAAAGTATTGCCCCATATTAGTTTTGAGCAGTTTCCTAAGTCATACAAGGGTTTTTACAATCACTTGGTTGAGTTTGCAGCCGGTACTTTTCTAAATTTGGAAAAAAAACCAAAGCAAAGTCTATGCCTTTCTGGCTGCATGGGGATTGGGCAGTTTTGTTTTGTAATTTCATGCTTTAAAAAGTGAAATAATATATAACATCAAGTAAAAGGGTAAATAATGATATCTGCTTTAATTAAGTGATTTTATAATTATATTTGAAAAGGCAATTTACAATTCATTTAGAATCTATTCATAGTTTAACATTACATTGGTGGTAGCAAAAGGATAGCCTGCCCCACCCCTGTGCTACCACCAGAGGGAGGAGTTGGATATGTTTTTTGGTGTTTTTGTTGCAAATTAGAAAATTACCGGCTGCAAGCGCATCGGTTGTATATCATATTGAGAAAAATGTCAACAGAGAAATTGCCAAAAAACTAATTTATGGACAATTCTACAGACTTTAAGACAGAAGGGGCGGAGTTACATGTTTGCGCCAGAAGTTATAGATATTAGCAAGGATGGATCTAAAAACAGCTCCAGGTTAAAAGCTCAAAAAGGTGGATTCGGCAGAATACGTGTCGGTGTTGGTGACTCACTGATGACGGGAACAACATGACAAAGCTCTCGTCCTCTCATCGCACAACGGCAAAACTCCACACGCTGCTCTCTCCACCGCAGCCACGTGTCTCCGAGCCGACGCACTGCAGAGGTCGCACTGTCCACACACTGGACTACACACACACACAGAAAGACACACACACACACGCGCACAGAAAGACACACACAGAAAGACACACACACACACGCACAGAGACACACACATGCACAGAGACACAGACACATATACAAACACAAAGGCACATGCACACACAGACAGAAAGATACACACACAGAAAGACACAGACACACACACAAACAGACACAGACACACGAACACAGAGAGACACGGACACACAGACAAAGAGAGAGACAGACACACACACACAGATGGACATACACACAGAGACACACACATACATACATACATACATACACACAAAGCACAGATACACGCACACAGAGAGAGAGACACACACACACACACACACACACAGTCAGAGAGACACACAGAGACACACACAGACAAAGAAAGAGAGAGACACACACAAGAGAGAGACACACACACATACAGACAGAGAGACACACATACACAGAAACACACACAGTGAGTAGACTGCTTAAACACATTTTAAACATATACTGTAGATGATGGGATGGACAGATCTCATGCAGGAGCAGAGACAGAGACACAGAGAGACACACAGAGACACAGGGAGACACACAGAGACACAGGGAGACACACAGAGACACAGGGACAGATGGAGGTGATCCTCACAGGTCGTGGCAAAGGACGGGGTGGACTTCTGAACATGAATAATGAAAAGCGTCCGTCGGGATGGCTGCCGCTCGGGCTCACCTCTGAAACGGGTCCCGCGCCTCGAACGCAAGAGTTTGACCTGAAACGGGAGAAAAACAACATCACAAAACCAGAGAGTCAACCACAAATAACATGCATTTAATCTACTGTACTTTCTGGACTATAAGGCGCACCTGTATATTAGCCGCACCCTTGAAATTTGAAAAGAAAATCAATGCTGTCCACATATAAGCCGCACTTGAATATAAGCCGCAGGTTTTTATAGTGTAATTTTACCTTTCTTCTTGTGTTTGCTCTGTCTGCTTTATCTTCCTGAATCTACTATTTTGTCTAACTATTTTGACTTTGTATTATCATGTTTTTATTGTCTTGTAAACACTGTTTTTGAAAAGTGCTATACAAAAAAAGATGTATTTTTATTATTATTATTTGTATTATTATTATTACTATTAATGTTAATGAAGCAGAGAGACGACTGTTTTAACCGGACACAACATGATTTAATGACGTGTGCTAGCTTAACCATTAGCTTCCATGACTCATTCACCTTCATCTATTCTAACTATATGCAAGTGTCCTATAGTCGCTAAAACTTGAGTCAAAATAACAAGTCCATAAACTCTGCTCTGACACCTCTACCACAATAAAAATACACATATTAGCCGCATCGCTATATAAGCCGCAGGGGGGCGGCTCCTAGGTCGGAAAGGACCGTAATTATGCAATGAATGGGTCGACAATTATAAGCAATTTTTACTTCCAAAACCTTTTACTTTCCAAATTTGAAAATAACTGCCTGCAAACACATAATAAAGAGCATTATTTCACTTGAGAAATTACCAAAACTAATTCATGGGGCAATACTTTTGATTCAAACGACATCTCTGAGAATGATGTCATAGTGGTACAATGACATCATACTATTACAGGACTGAAACAGGAACTTTTATCAGCGTGGATGGATCAAAAAACAACTCCAGGTGTGTTTTTGAGAAGTATCAATGTTGTAACACGTTTTATACCTCATAAAAGCCCATTTGCATATGTCTCCTTTAACGCCTGCTTCCCAAAAACTCACAACCTGCTATGATTTACCCTGCGAGGACCCGCTTTTGGACCCCGACCCACCAGTTGAGAACCAGTTAACTACAGTATTATTTTTTCCTCTTAAGCCTCTGGGATTAAAGCTGGTCTACAGAGGGTGAGCCTGAAGTCATCTGTTGGCAATCTGAGATGAATCATGCGAAAACCACCGGAATATTCCTACAGTAAAACCCAGGCAGCACTTACATTGTCAGCAGAGGTGCAGCCGAGCACACACAGAGCCACAAGGAGAGCAAGCCCTGACTTCATCCTTGTTAAAACACGTCCCCAAAAGCTGAAAAACACAAATATTAGGTTTTAATGAATGTGAAACGATTTGCGGATACAATAAAAATACAGTTTATGTGGAAATGACAAAAGGGAAACAATTGTAACATGGTCAAAAGCAAAATAATACTTGTATAATAAATGTTTGCACCAAAAGAAAGAGTACAAATTTGTGAACAAATCAAACCACAACATGCTAAAAAAAACACGTATTCTTTGGCAGATTTGTAAGAAAAAGCCCTGTGTGTCACTATCGGCCCCTTTAGGCTGCTTGCTGAGTGACAGGGGTCTTCTGTTTTTCACTTTTCTGTCTGAAAAAGCTGATTTAATGCTGTGACAAGCGGCCAAAAAATACATGAAAACTGTTCTGAGAGCTAGGAACTATAGTTACATACCTAGACTGTATATAAATGGACAATGCTAATGTGCTAGCTCAAATAAGCCCAATAGGGAAGTGCTCGTGGACAAAGTTTCGCTCCAACTCGCTCTGGGTTCTATTGACCTACATCCGAAAAGTCAACTCCTCTAACTCACCATTTTGGGCATACAAAATCTGTGGTTTAGCGCTTTCTGTGATCCTGGTGTGCAAAGTTTGACATTGTCTTTGTAAATCCAGATAAAAGCCATAACAATTCATTGACGGGGGAAACTCAAGCTTGCCTTAGCAACCATCTTAGCAACATGTCTTCCCCTGTTTCAGTGTGAAGCTAACCCTATCAAAACAAGCTAGCTTATGGTCAAATCTATGGTGACAATAGCGACGTCAGCTCTTGCTAGTCCACTCCTAAAACACATGCTAAATGAAATGTACTTCATTTTTAAATACAATAAAAATCCAGTTCATCTATATAGACTGGATTTTTATTGTATATATGACCAACAAGACCTCATCCTTCCATTGTGAGCGTGCAATAAACAATAAAAGCTGAGGCCGTGTCTGTCATCTCTGCACAATGACATGTAAACAATACTGCTTCCTTCCTGCGGGATCCTCCACTTGTTGCTGTCATGTTCAGCGAGAGAGAACACGAGGAGGAAATGGGCGGATAAACAAGGAAATCACCACTAATTTCAAAAACCCAATTTAGCATTTTGTTTATAACCATCCAGAAAAACACGTAAAGATTAGATCAAAAGTGTCCAAAGTACTTTCACATTTGGGGCACATGTTGAAATACTGGGAAAAGATATAGGAACCAATTCAGTAGCAGCAATTATATGTGTCTTATTTATTTATAGAACTACAGTAAACTTTTTTCACTGGTTTTATTAGGAATGGACTGTAGACAATAGCCGTAAAAAATTGTTTTGGGAGATTTGTGCCACGGAAATCTAAAGAAAGATTGTTTTGATTGCCACATTTAGCTAACAGGTCTTAGCTTGAACTATAGCCTGTATACTGTATAGATGGACAATGCTAACCTGGTAGCTCAACGAAGCCCAATAAGGAAGTGCTCCAACTCGCTCTGGCTCCTATTGACTTGCATTGAAAAGTAATCTACTTTCGGTCAGTAACTGTTTGCGTCACACTCACTATTTTGCGTTTAAAAATATCCGTTCTTTAGCGCTCTCTGTGATCCTGGTGTTATTATTTTGATATTATCTTTGTGAATCCAGATATGAGCCAAAATAATTGACCAATCAGATGCCTTCATTCACAGGGACACTCCAGTTATCCTTAGCAACCATCTTAGCAACCATGTTAGCAACAGATTCGTTTGAATCTTCTCCTGCTATAGTGCAAAGCTAACCCTGTTGGAACAAATGCCCATATAAGGAAATGGCTCCATTAAGGCTGTGCTTTGAAAATGCCTGGAGAAGATTACAGTATTACTATTATTGTGCGTGTTTGTGGGTCAGATATGTACTTTTGTGTGTTTGTAGGTCAGATACTGTATGTGTGTGTTTATATGTGTTTGTGTGTTCTGTTTGTGGGTCAGATATGCACTTTTTTGTGTTTGTGTTTATACGTGTTTCTGTGTGCGTGTGTTTATATGTTTGTGAGTGTGTGTATGTATGTGTATACTGTATGCCACATGGCGTGTGTATGTGTGTTTAAATGTGTGTGTTAGTGTGAGTGTTTGTTTCTGTGTGTGTGTGTATGAGTTTGTATATGTGTGTGTAGTGTGTGTGTGTGTGTGTGTGTGTGTTTGTAGGTTAGAGAGTGTGTATAAATCAAAGCCAGTGCTGCTTGTTGCTCACGATGACTAAACATGAGTCACACAGAGAAGAATGAATGTTTGAGGAAAGAGGATGAGATGAAGAAGAGAAAGTCAAAAGAGAAAAGGAACTGATTAAAAATAACTTTGTGAAACTGGAGCAAATTTCAAACACATGTAAAACCCTCACTTCTGGCATCAAACTAACCAAACTAACTATTGTGTGTACCATGTGTGCACTTATGGTAGTAATATAATGCGTGGGTCTTTCTGAGTGGAGTTTGCATGTTCTCCCCGTGCCTGCATGGGCTTCCTCCAGGTGCTCCGGTTTCCCCTACCACTAAAGATATGTATAATAGGAAAAATCCTCCAGCTCTGGTCCCGAACAAGCCGAGCATCGACATCTGGAGATGGGTTCCTAGGCGCTGTTACTACGGCGACCACTGCTCCTGACAGACGCCCGAGTGGCATCAGGATGGGTCAAATGCAGAGGATAATTTGCCATACGAGGATAAACAAAGTGCTCCTTTACCTGTATTTACTCATGCATGCCTTTTATCTGCTTTTATATGGACTAAGTTGTTTAAAAAATAAATATTATCTAAATAATAAACTATGATAAAGATATCTACACATCTTTTAACTATGTTCAAGATACAGAAACATGTGTGAATGAACTTAGAAGCATTAACCACTTAACCACTTCGAACGGGTATGAGTGAACTGAGAAGCGCGGCCAACTACTTAGAAGCATGGCTAACCACTTAAAATCTGCGTATGAACTTAGAAGCATGGCTAACCACTTTAAATCTGCTTATGAACTTAGAAGCATGGCTAACCACTTCAAATCTGTGTATGAACTTAGAACCATGGCTAACCACGTCAAATCTGCGTATGAACTTAGAAGCATGGCTAACCACTTCATGTCTGCTTATGAACTTAGAAGCATGGCTAACCACTTCAAATCTGCTTATGAACTTAGAAGCATGGCTAACCACTGCAAACTGGTATGAGTCTTACCATGTTCTATTGCTCACTTTTCCTTACTAAAAATATTGCCCTGAGATCTGAGGTCATCTTCTGCTCTTGAAAAGTCTCCAGATAAAAAAACAGCCACTCCAGTTTTTCATAAAGTTTCAGAAAACACACAAACCCACTGTTTTTAAAAACTCAAATGTTAAAGCTTGAAGATACTTGAACTAAAATCATTGCTGATAATCTTCAAGTTTAGAAGACAAGATTTGAAGATAGAGAATTAAGTTTCATTACCTGCTAAACTAGATGTAGAGAACTGTGCCTTTGATCATAACAAAAGGAGACTGTACCGATTCTTGATAATTAATACTTAATACTCTAGTTTAAATACCTAATACTCTACTTTAAATAGTAGTACTTAAGACTCTAGTTTAATTACTTTGTTAGTGCTGTTTCCTCGACACAGCTGACTGCTCGCTCTGATTCACCTCCTGTGGTCGGCCCAGCTAATAAAACACCACTGTGCCTTTTTTCATATAGATCAGAGGGAAAGAGCTGTGCTGGCAACCACACACACACACGCACACACGCACGCACACACACACACACACACACACACCACACACACACACACACACACTGTAGACAATAGACCCAGGAATGTGGAGCTAATTCTGCCCACAAAGAGTTTCTGTTCATGTCGTTGAAACAAAACAGCTTTTGACTTAAAGACGGACACTCACCGCCAGAGAATGAGTCTGTGGGAGAGAGACCGTGACACAGAGTACAGAATGTTTAATGTGGTGGCGCAGTGGTTAGCACTTGTGTTTCACAGCGAGAAGGTCCTGGGTTTGATTCCACCTCCAGGAACTTTCTGTGTGGAGAGTGTGTGGAACTACAGATGCAAATATTACATGACATCGCATCCAAATAAACAAATAAATACAAAATAATAATAATAAACAACAATGAAATGTAAAATAATAGTAAAGACTTTCCTACTGCATCGGCTTTGAACAGTTTGAACAAGTTTTCAAATTATAAAAAACGGTTTAATTCTATGATCTGTTGTCTGTGAATCAGAAACTTAAGGTTAGGGTCCTTTGAGATGACTTCTGTGGTGATTTAGGGCTTTACAAAACTAATAAGGATAATACATTGATTTGAATTGGAATTGATTGGCCTTTAGCTGGGACTCTGAGGAGCACAGGGACTATAGCCTCCTGCTGGGACTCTGAGAAGCACAGGGACTGGCCTCCTGCTGGTGACTCTGAGGAGCACAGGGACTGGCCTCCTGCTGGTGACTCTGAGGCGCACAGGGACTGGCCTCCTGCTGGTGACTCTGAGGCGCACAGGGACTGGCCTCCTGCAGTGACTCTGAGGCGCACAGGGACTGGCCTCCTGCAGTGACTCTGAGGCGCACAGGGACTGGCCTCCTGCAGTGACTCTGAGGCGCACAGGGACTGGCCTCCTGCTGGTGACTCTGAGGCGCACAGGGACTGGCCTCCTGCAGTGACTCTGAGGAGCACAGGGACTGGCCTCCTGCTGGTCCCAGAGTCAGGACTAAACAAGGAGAAGCGCTTCAGATTCATGTAGCTAAAATATCAAACAGTCTTCCTAAAAATGTGAGACAGGCTTCTACTTTGACAATGTTCAAATCCAGGTTAAAAACAGTTTGGCAGTGCATATTGAGAGACTGTATCTTCACTTCACTTATGTACCGTGATTATTAGTGATTTTAATCCCTTGTGTTACCAAAGGTCTCCCATCTCCCACGCTCTGACCAGACCCATCTTTGCTTAGCTTCAGTTATCCTTCACTTGTATTGTGATCATTCCTTCATGAATTTAACGTCTTGTGTGACTGTTTCTACCTGGTTTTTGAAGCACTTTGCCTCACGTTGTGTATTACCTGTGCTGTCAACCTGCTTTTAAATATGATATTCTCTCTTTAAAGCGCTGGTTCCCGTTCGCTTCTGTCCTCGTCCTGACCCACCCACCCCTTCCTTGGCCCCTCGACCCCTCTGCCCCCCGCCCTTCTGCCCCTCAGTGCCTCTAAACAACAGCCTCTCTCTGTGATGAGGTCTTTGTCAGTCCTAACACATGTTTCCTGCCTGGGTCTCCTCGCACAGTATCAGAGGCCAGAGCGTACATCAGGGCAGAACACATGTGTCTTACGCGTGTGGTATCGGACCTGGGCCTCCGCGAAAGCACACCACCCTGCCATTACAGCGGCCCACAATGCAACAGTCCACGACTTTTACCGCATAATCTGCAAGACTGACAAGACGTTATATGGCTAAAAATACATGTGAAGAAATGTATAGGGTGGACTGTCTGCTTCCTGCTTTTTACCAGAATTTAACTTGTGTATATTACCTGTATTTTAACTTGTACTTTAACTGTATATTAACTGCATTTGAACTATATTTTATCTGTCTTTTAACTGTGATTTAACTGTATTTTATCTGTATTTTAAATTTTATTTTAACTGTATTTTATCTGTATTTTAACTGTATTTTAACTTGACCTTTAACTGTATATTAACTGCATTTGAACTATATTTTATCTGTATTTTAACTGTGATTTAACTGTATTTTATCTGTATTTTAACTTTTATTTAAACTTTTATTTTAACTCTATTTTATCTGTATTTTAACTTGTACTTTAACTGTATATTAACTGCATTTGAACTGTATTTTATCTGTATTTTAACTGTGATTTAACTGTATTTCAACTGTATTTTAACTGTATTTTAACTTTTATTTTAACTGTATTTTATCTGTATTTTAACTTTTATTTTAACTGTATTTTATCTGTATTTTAACTGTATTTTATCTGTATTTTAACTGTATTTTATCTGTATTTTATCTGTATTTTAACTGTATTTTATCTGTATTTTAACTTGTATTTTAACTGTATTATTGCTAAATGTATTTTTTTCTTGTGATGGAAAACAGCCTTGAGTATCTATAAAGGCACCTGATAAAAACAACATATTACTGTATAACCATTAATACTATTACTATTATTATTATTATTATTATTTACCAATCTTCAATTCAATGTATTGCTGCACACAGCCAGATAGTCTCGGAAGACTTTACAAAGTTGTCGATTCGCCATCAGCAGATCAGAGAATCAAACAGTTATAACACAAGACATAATAATACAGCGCAAACACAGAAGCCATTGGTCCATAGAGAGTGGGATGAGCACTGTCCATAAATGTAAAAACATGAACCAACAGTGTCCTTAGACCCACACATTTCTATTTTAAAGCTGGGGTACTTAACTTCATTTTTTCGTACATATTTCCTGCTGTTTGTCTTTATGATGTTGTTATTGTCATATTTGTTCATGTAAAGTTTTTTGTGTTGTATTCGGTTTGTAACGTTTTTGTTTGTTTATCTTGTGTTATCTTTTGTATACTTCTGAGATTGAGCCCTGTGAGTCACTATTTGACACTTTGGGCTGAGAGCTGATTGGCCGAGTGAGGGTGGTCCACTTTTTTCACTTTTCTGTCTGTAAAAGTGGATCCAAAGATGTGACAGAGGATAAAAATATGACTGATAGAAGCAAACTGTTTTAGAGCCAGCGACTAGTTTGAACGTAGGACACAGTGACATTGTTTACAGCTGAAAGTTATGTATCCCAGCTTTAATTCTATCAAATGTTTGGCTCTGGAGGGAATGTCCAACCAGGTTTTTTCGTTTTACACTGTTTTAAAATGGTCATAAAAGCCAAGTTTCCTTCCTCCACGTGTGTTTTTGCTCATATTACTCACAATGCCAAGTTCTCAAACATTGGACAAAGCAATAACTATGGGAGGAAATGAGTTTGAAAAAAAGTTACATCTGTCTGGTATAGAAGAGCCAAGTATCTACTAAGTTAATTTCCTTAACAATTCTTTTAAATGATAGTAATTATTTCATTGAAGCATTCACAGCTGTTATCTCTGTATACTTTATGTGTGCTATTTGTGTGCTCCTCGGTCCACTTTTGTTAACCAGGCTTGTCCAGGGTCAACAACCTGGATTGTACTAGAGTTTTACCCGTTATCGGGCTGTTCATAACTGTATAATTATCCAGGGTGGAGCTGAAGTTGGCTGAATTACAAGTTACCGTCGCAGTTGATTAATGCCAATAACGGATTTTCATGACGAAATCCAAAGAAAAAAAAACAGGACCTGTGTTGCATATAGGTCCTGTGGTTTACAAGGAGGTATAGCATGCACACTGTATTTTGGCAGAGCTGAAGTTGGCTGGATGACAGTTCTTTGGGTTAGCTAGGTAGAGGGCCACTTAACATGACAGAAAGGGCCGCAAATGGCTCGCGGGCCCTAGTTTGGACATACTGGCTCTGGACTTTTGCATCCATAAATGTCTTGTGTTGTAGATCTGTCTATGGCACATTGGGTTGCATTTATGTATGAAAAGCGCTAAATAAACACATTTCCTTCCTTCCTCTGTCTTTGCACAGTTAATGGTTAATGCTGTATGTCGTCATGGGTTACCGCAGCTGACCCGACCGCAGCCCGGCTTTCACAGACCATTACCAGGAGTGTGTAATAATACGGTTATGAAGAAGGCGCCCGTGACACATTCTTGTTTTCCAGTAATGAGACCAAAATGTCAAAGTCAAGTTTGCTTTTGAAATACCCGCACCTGTCTGTGAACCTGCACGTCCTCTTTACCACTGCAGAGCTGCTGCTGTCGCTACGGGTGTGGCAGAGGAACCGGTGGAGGAAACACAACTCCGAGAGAAATAACAGGAGATAGCCACGGCCAGGACTGAAACACAGTGGGAAAATATTCACTAAAATTCGATGTATTTTTGTGTAGCCCTAAATCACAACAAACACATATAGGAATCCATTTGTCCACAGAGCTGAATGAGCAATGTCCATAAATGTACTTAAATGTCCCAGATAATACAGGTAATTATGTGAATACAAAATAATGTGATAAGATTAGAACAAATTGTTGCGCTGGTTTGATTTTCTATTACATACACTGTGATGAGAATTACTTTGCGTTTATATTAAAGGCTGCAGAGTTTAATTTTTGCATCATGTAGATCCGGGACTGAGGCTGTAGATCCAGGACTGAGGCTGTAGATCCAGGACTGAGGCTGTAGACCCAGGACTGAGGCTATAGACCCAGGACTGAGGCTGTAGATCCAGGACTGAGGCTGTAGATCCAGGACTGAGGCTGTAGATCCAGGACTGAGGCTGTAGATCCAGGACTCATGCAGCAGAACAAGGACTAAGGCAGAAGTCTAAAAACTCTTGCTAAATTTGCTAAAACTAAATATTTTATACCTGCCTATTTTTACACTGAAGATAGAGATTTGATTGTATTTTATTATAGAGTCATTGTTCACTGTGGAATGAACTTTTCCATGTAACCAATCTGTTTATCAACGTTGCAGCTTTTACAATCCATCCATAAAACTTTGTATATTTACAGTCATGGGCCGCGATATCAGACCAACGTCATGACATCTGACTCATTTCTGTATCAACGTTACAAGCAGCATGACGTCCTCGCAGTAATCTATTAACACATTACGCATTCCATTAATAAACCAGCTTTCAGACCGATACCACATTCTTTATGCACAGCAGGGCGAAAGCTTGGACCTGTTGGAGGGGTTGTGTCTCAGGATTCCCCCAGATGAGCTGGAGGAAGTGTGTGTGGAGAGGGAAGTCTGGGCGTCTCTGCTCAGACTGCTGCCCCCGCGACCCAGCAAGGGGTAAAGTGGAAGAAAATGCTTGGATGGAGGGACAGATTTCAACGCTATAAAAATCTATTATTCCCCGTTCGTTATTCTGTTGATTTCAGTTGTCTATAACGTTCTCCATGTCTTATAAAGTTTCAGGATGGCACCTTCAACTTTCAGGTCTTGGTCCTCGTTCTACAGCCTGTGTCCAGGGTCTTCCCAAAGGTTTTTCACTTTTTCCCACTGGGTTTTTGAGTCAGTCCTTGCCGATGCAGGACAATTCTTGGGTTTCATATGACGTCAGGTCAGTGGCGTGAATAACAAACATGGAATAGGACGTGGCGTACCCTGGCGGTGCAGTCTGCCGGGTTTATACACAGAGATATAGTAGAAGAAGAAGCGCTGTCAAAATGCCATCTTTTTGTGCGGTGTACGCTTGTAGCAACCGCACAAATAGAGAGAAAGACAAGAGTGTCTTCCGTTTTCAACTGTGGTCTCATATAAAGGAGTACACTTTGAAAAAATCACTGGAATGAGGCGGGCGAGGTGGATCAAGGCTTTCCCAGATAAGCGCCCCCTGCAGGCCACCCCAATGAAACGCAGCAATTTCTTCTGTTTTTCATTCCCCGATTAAGACTGTTACAACAACCGTACACCGCAGAGGATGAGAGCCAGTTCAATCTGGAGAGACTCAGAAGACAAAATGCAGTTTGAATGTTTTTATTGATAGGTAGTTTGGCGTCCTAGGCCCCCGTGCGGTAATTAGGGCCAGCAAGGCTCCTGCTTAGTGCGCGCACGATCCCCCCAAGGCCTAGGAACTGGTGGTGGCATTAGGGCAGCAGGAAAGAGCGCACGCTCGAGCAAGGAGAGAGAGGCGGAGGAGGGGAGGCGGTGGTTTGCGAGGCTTGAGAAGGCCGTGAAGTGGGAGTCTCCGCTTTTAAGCTGCTTGCCTGGCCTGGCTAAGGTGGCTGGGAATGGGTGTTTGCTGTGCGATAGGAGGATGAGAGGCAGGCCTGGAGGGGATAGCTTTGGCAATCAGTCTACCAGAGTGAACCTTCGCGAGCTCCATTTGAATGAAACCCAAGAATAGTGACGATCCGAGACATTTACAATTTTGGACCAATGGCTTCTATGTGTTATCATTACATTTCCTGTGTTCGAACTTTTCTGATCTGTTGTTTGCAAATCAACACATTTTTTAAGGTTTCCGAGACATTGTTGTAATTTATACAAAAATAAATTGAAATAAATCAATATTTATAACTATCCCTGGCAAATACAGATGTGAAGCTAGATAAAGAAAAAACTAAAAACTGTATTTGAAACTTCATGTAACGTATATGCCTATAGTTTAGTTGATATATCTATAGCAGCCATATGGGAGAAAGCCGTGAGAGAGAGTGAAAAAAAACACGACTCAGCTAAATGATAGAGTGCGTCCTGCTGCTTAGTCATGCTGTTTGAGCTTAGGTGCAAAAACAGATCTGAAAGAAGACACCATAATGGACTGGACGTGATGACGGTATGCGGAGACCGGCTTTCAAAAAACACACAGCATGATAAGACCGAGAGATGTCCTTTTATCAAACAGACTGTTCTAATCCTAATGCAGCTCTGATATGGAACTGGGAGTGAAAAATGTAATGTTTTGGATTTGGTTTTGATGTGTTTTCTTCACAGCTGGAGGCCTGACTGACAGACTGCAGAGATGTTAGCCTCCATATGGCCGTGATTGAACCATATAATTTACAGTATATAGATGGACAATGCTAACCCGCTAGCTCAATGCAGTCCCATAAAGAAGTGCTTGTGAACTAACTTTGGCTCCAACTCGCTCTGGCTGCTGTTGACTCCTCTAGCTCAGTAACTGTTGATGTCTTACTTATCATTTTTGGCTTAAAAAGTCCGTGGTTTGGCGCTCGCTATGATTCCCGGTGTTTATATTGTGATATTGTATTTGTAAATCTAGATATGAGCCATATAAGGATCGACCAATCAGGTGCCTTCCTTTGCAGGGGAAACTCCAGCTTGCCTTAGCAACCATCCTAGCAACAAGTTTGCTGCAATAAGCTAACCTTGTCTAATATAACGAGATGAGCTCCAGCTAGCTTATGTTCAAAACGATCAGTCTACTCCTAATGTACAGTCTATAGATTAAACAAAATAGAGATCTGGGATGTTCTGGACTTAAGCCCCATTTCCACCAGCCCTACTTGACTCTACTCTACCTGGTTGTGTTTCCATCAAGGCTTTGGTATCTGGTACCGTATCTAAGCAACCCACAGACAACAAACCAGTATCTGGAGAAATGTGTCAGTAATCATATGATATTGGAATGTAACTTAGTTATCATTTTGCTAAATCATTTGTGGCTGAATTCTATACTGTCTGTATTGTAATCCACTGTTGACTTCAGAGTGCTTGGGGGTTGTATGCAGATGCCAGGAGGAAGCAGGTTTTGAGGATGCTAATGTCTCAAGTGTCTTTTGTTGTGTTGGTTTCTTCCTTTCCCATCTGCATACGAAGGTGTGTCTTGCTCAACCAAAAGGGGCTTGCCATCTGTGAATCTTCAGACTTGTCCTGAGAGAGGCTGGGGTCTGTGCCCTTGCCTCTGTCAAGACTTTCTCCTTGTAAAATGTAACAAGTAAAAGATTAACTTTGTCTCTTTGTTGTGTGAGAGTTCATCAGGTTCAACTGTGGTTGAAACAGCATTATCATCATAGTTCTGGTATAATCTTCCATAATCTGGCCATAAAACTGTCAGTTAGAACACCCAAAAACTAGCTTAGCCTGGATAGAACCAAGGCCAAGCAGGGACTAAAAATATAGAGCAGAGTAGAGTAGAGTACTGTAGGGCCAAGTAGGGCTGGTGGAAACGGGGCTATAGGAACCACACAGCCACTAACTGAGGCTCTGGTGATTTGTCTATAAGAGCATTTAAAATAACTTAAAGATGGAGAGAGGAGCTCGGAGTAGAGCCACTGACGCTGGAGGGACTGTATCTCTCAGCTGGCTGGTATCGTTTTGGGATTTCCCCTTGTTGATTTGGAGGAAGTGTGAGTCGCTTGGGAAGTCTGGGCGTCTCTATTCAGACTGCTGCCCCCCGCGACCCGGCAACAGATAAAGTGGAAGGACTATTTCCTTCCACTTTATCTGTTGCCGGGATGGATGGAAGTAATAAAACTCCAAAAAAACTACAGATCAAAGAAAATCCATGAACTTGTCTTGTCAATGATCTTACTTTACCCTCTGTATTGATAGTTTCTTCCCCATATATGAATGTCTAGCTTGTGTAAGTTTGTCTAAGTGAACTAATAAAGCCACATCTGAGTGTTGCTAATGTATAATAAACATTAAAATTCAGAAAAAACATTTAAAGTAACTTGATAGTTAAAGACAGAGCTCATTTCTGTGTGAACTAAATACTTTACTTTATGCAAACAATCTAAGACTCAATATAGTTATCATTACACATCCTAAAAGTAAACAAAAAATCTCACCTTTTGGTCATATACAACAACTTTATGAAATCACAAAGAGATAAGAAAGAATTTGTCATAAAATCTCACCATAAAAACTGCCTCCAAATGCCAAGACAGAAACAGGAGATAAAATAATAGCAGTAAAACATGTAATCATTGATGAGTGATGCCGGTTGAAATCCTATACAGATCTTTCTCGTTCTCTTTGTTATTTGGATTATATTTATACAAAATCTATGCTTATAAGACAACAGTAGTATTTATGGTAACTCCAATATATTCAAGTTCTGTTGTTATGAAGTGAATATTATGTCCAAATACACACAATCACCAGTAAAAGCATGAGACACCTGCCCTGGTCCACAAAGCCGTGTATAATAAAACAATATTATTTAGTGCTTGAGTATTGTATTATAGTATTAGTGTGGTCTCTTACCCAGTGGAAGTAGGTGGAAGTAGGTGGAAGTAGGTGGAAGTAGGTGAGTCCTGGAGCCGGGGTCTGTCCTGGAGGGTTTGTCCTGAGCTTGTGTCGCTGATGTGGAGGACCGCGGCTCAAGTATGAGCTCTGGAGGTGTGCAAGGGAGAGAGAGAGAGAGAGAGAGAGAGAGAGAGAGAGAGAGAGAGAGAGAGAGAGAGAGAGAGAGAGAGGGAGAGAGGGAGGGGAGGGGGAGAGAGAGGGGAGGAAGGGAGCAGGGGGAGGAGCCAGCAGGCAAGCATGGAACGCCTCACTTCTGCTGCTGCTGAGTTACAGTAATAGGGTATGGGCACTGATGGGGAGTTAGTTTTTCTCAGTCGCTTTGGTGCATTTCTCAGACTTAAAGTTCTCAAAACTTTTAGTTCAACCTCCTCAACATGAGTCATGTGTCACATCATCGCAGCAGTTTCTCCTCTGAACACTTTACAAATGCTTTCGGACATGTATCAGTTACTTTCATACAATTCTCTAGTGTTTTTTAACATTATAATTTGCTTCTGTCCTGTCCTGTCAAAATGAAACATACTTATGACTTCTGAATAGTCTTTCCCTATAAAAACCAATAGTTCTAATTTCATATAATACAATACAATACAATACAATTTATTCTTGTATAGCCCTAGGTAACAACAGAAGTCATCTCAGAGACTTAACAAAATCATTGAAATCACCAACACAGATCAGAGAATCAACAGTTAAAACACATTAAAAATATAAAGCACACACAGAAGAAAATGTCCATACATGTTGTAGAATGTTAAAGTGTCCTGATCATCACCAATCCTTTCTGTTTATGCTTTGGTATCACATACAAAATTGTTATATAACATGTTATATGTTATTGTTATGTGACATATTATTTTGAGACACAGACAGTTTCACTGACATAAAGACTTGCTTTTCAGGAATTAACATTTTGAGAAAGTGATGCACTTTTGCAGGTTTTCCACGAGGTTTTACAGTTTGAACTAATTGTTCTGAGAAATACACAAATAGTTGTGCAAATGTAAAGAATGATGTGAAAAATGCACCAAAGCCACTGAGAAAACTATAAGGAATAGATAGATAGATAGATGGATGATAGATACTGTAGATAGAAACCTAGATAGATATAAATTGATATAGATTTCACTCAAGTTTACAGGGTGCTATCAAAAATACTAAAATAACTCACATAACAGACAAAACATTGGTAACAAATGAAATAGAAAGTGCCTTCCTTAACCACCCCCTGAAAGCCGTTATTCCTCCGGATCCTGAGACCGTAAAACTGGGTGGACGAGTTTATGATCTATTAAAGAATAAGTGATAGAGGCGTGTAGGGACGAGGTTGTTTTCAAACTGTTTACTACTCTTCCCTTCTGTACGAGACTAAAGGCCTCCATTAAAATAACATGTATTTCTATGAGGTGTTTGTCTTGTCTACTAATGTCATATGCCTTTCTCAAAACACACACACACACAAACATATGTATGTGTATAGGTTATGTTTGTGTTGTATGATTTAGATGGCAGGTTCCAATACAACTCTATGGGAAAGAAAGCCAACGTCCAAATGGTTTTTCCATGTTATTTGATGGTGATTAGATGTGGATTTTAAGTTATTTTGACTTCTGTTCTCTGTGGTTTTGTTTTAGTTGTACTTCCTACCCTGTTCTTCTGTGTTCATTGTCTGCCCTGCCCTAGTGTTTTCGCCTGTGTCTCTCTGTATCTATTATGTACCCTGTGCTCTTCCCGGTTCATTGTCTGTCCATTGTCTGTGTCTGTCTTTGTTTGATACGTTTTGGTCCTTCCTTCATTTCACCACACGTGACTAACCTGCTAATTCTCATGTCTAAAATGTCTTTCTACTGACCAATATTATACATTTGTTTTTGAATATTGTCACCACTTCCAGACACATTTATGCGAAAAATGTTTGACCATAGCTTATATGTGCTGACTCTGAGACCGTTTCTGTGGATTGTTCCAGGAATTATAGAGGAATTAGCTCTAAACTAAAATACCACTAACACTTTCAGAGAAATCAACTTTGACAGCTTTTAGCTTTGGAGGCGTGATTACACAGCATAATGTAAAAAAAAATAAAAAATAATAATAATCTCTTCATAATTTTGTGACTTTTTATCTGTTTCTATAAGTAGTTAATTTCTATGTCATTATTATCATAAAATTTTCTGTAATTCAGTAGTTTTTGAGTGGTTAAGCAGCTTTTATCAACTTTCTATGGCAGTTAAAAAGCTCAATTCTCCAAAAGCACTGGTTCTAGTTCAGCTTTGAGAAGAGCAAGTTCTACTGTAGTTACCATAACAACACACTGTTTACTTGCTAGCAATTAGCGTTTGGTCTTTAGCATTAGCCTAACTGTTTTTGCCGTATTTCACGTTGATAAAGTTGAAAGAAAAGTAACATTCACCAGTTTTAGCACTTATAAAAAGAGAATTAAAGGGACTCCAAGCTACTGGTTCGGGATTGATCCTGGGTCAGCTTTGAGAAGAGCAAGTTCTAGTTGCCATAACAACACACTGTTTACTTGCTAGCAGATAGCCATATTTCATGTTGATGAAGTTGAAAGAAAAGTTGTATTAAACAGTTTTGGCACATATAAAAAGGGAATAAATGTTGGAGAAAAAAAACATTTAAATCACAATAAATCTGGCTCTATAAGTTCTCGTAGTTTCAGAATTGGGGACGCTCTAGTGTTAAGACAGTTACCAGCAAGACTTTTCAGCTGTCGTCCAATTCTAAATAGGTTCTTTGGAATGCTGTGATGTCACATGAAACCTCTTGGAAGCGTGACACACATGGAGCCGCTCTCCAAACCTGGAATAAACACAACTTCATCAAACATCACCATCGGATGCGGGGGCCTAAGAGCAGGAAGAGACTCACATCTGATTAAACTTCTGGGATTTATTCTGCAGTTTCTGAGCTCAGACGACGCAGCTGTTGAAAAAAAAGACTAAAGCAGGTTTATATGTTCTGTACTTTACTTGTTCTTAGTTTATCGTGAACAATAAAAATCCTCCCTGAATGTTTTGAAGGTAAAAGTGCAGGAAGACAAAGAATGTGTCCAGTCTGGGTGGTCCAAGAGCAGGGCTGAAAAACAAGCTAGTTTTTTGTTTTTATATATTTATTTTGTGGTAAATAAAAACTGCACAAATCATGATTCATAGGTATTTGTGTTGTTTGTATTAAAATTGTGCAACGATGCTAATGACTGTTAATAGTGCGACCTGAAAGCGAAAGCCAAAGTAAGTCACTAATCTTGATTTGTATAGCGCCTTGTGTAGCCTTAAATCACAACAGCATCATCTCAGAGGACTTAAAAAAACCATTGAAATCACCAACACAGATCAGAGAATCAACAGTTAAGACACAAATATAGAACACATATATATTTGTCCATAAGGAGACCAATGTCCATAAATCCGGTGCAGGACTGAAGCAGATCCCAGGTGGGTCTGGAAGGGCAGATAACAACAGACAAAGTCAATAGATTAAGTGGACTTAATCTGTATGCATTATTAAAAGACAGATAATGTCCACATATCAGATACAATTATTATCTGATATGTGGACTTCTCATTTCAAAATAAAAGATATGATCGAGATCAAATAGAAAATCAATACCATGTCATCATAATCTGTACAGAACCTTACCTTATCTTGTGGTCTTTGTCATGTATTAGCTCTGTCCATGTCAACTAACAAGGCAATGTAATGTGTATTTTTTTTGTTTTTGCGCTGTTCATATTGAAATAAGCAACAAAAAGCAGTAAAATCATCAGAAATCCATCTCAGAGCCTTCACAAAATCTCTCTTCGCTGATTGGTCCGCCGCGCGCTGGGGGCGGGTCTCCACAGATTTACAGGAAATATGATAATCAGGAAGTAGAAAAGTTTTACCCTGAAGCATCCACCGCACCAAAAAACACCGCAAAACTCGTCACTTAAATGCTAAAAAAATGTGGTTTTATTGCGTTAAAAACAGATTGTAGATCGAGACATCTGCGTGACTGCAAAGGAATAAGGTGAGAGTCAGAGTAATAACGTAATAACGCGGTGGTTACCATTATATATATGTTATGTGTGTGTGTTGTTGCTTATTATAATGTAATCACTTTTCACATCCAAATTCATTGATTTTGCTAAAGTATTTGAATACATTTGATTGTTTTGAGTCTTTAAAATAAGTTATTGTAGTGGCTTTTGTGCCTGTTCTAAAAGAGAAACTGAAAATAACCTTTCTTGGCTCTAATGCTAACTTAATGCATGTCAGTATTAAAAGTAAATGGCCTTTAGACTTATTCTTTTCAGGCAGATTTCTCTTAAAGCTGAGGTAACTAACTTTCAATACACACAAAAATATCTATGTAATAAATCCATCTAACTTGTTATTTGCTCTCAGCTTGGATCTATCACTAGTTTTTACATGCATGGATTCGTTCTCCTCTGTCTCAGCAGATCAGAGCACCAGCCCCCACCCCAAAGAGTTAAATAGTGACTCCTAGGACTACATGTTTTCTAATAAGATGAAGACAGCATGTTGTGGTCTGGTTTTTCTGTTGAGACAAAAAACATTACGTAGTAGTAAGTAATGTTTAGTGTATAGTGCTTAATGTATAGTGCACTTCTTAGGTCAGGGTCATACAAAGCACTTTATTCCTTCGCTGATAAATACTTTTGATAACCATACATTCTGATTATTACAAAGAAATATGTATGTAACAGCTTGATGGATAGAAATCAAGCAGCACTGTTATTGGCCTCAGTTAAAAAAAACAAATATCTTACAGTCAGGTTCTGTTATGGGACTAGTTGGAACCGTCTCTTGATTAGGAGCCAACTAATGGGAAGGGGGGGTTGAAATCTTCACTGGGGTCATCTGGTGTTTCAATGATAGACCCACTACACCTCCAAAGGGCTCATCAGCACAGCCTGGCATCCCAGTTGTGCCTCCCCCCCCCCGTCTGCTTTCAACGATTCCTTTCAATAGATGTGTGTGCCACAAAAGTTTCCCCACATCAAATATTTTCAAATGTATTTATTTACCTCCTTGTTTTGAATAGTCCTCTATCTTTTACAATCTTTCCATGCTCCAGTGCTCATTTATGGCAAAAAAATACTCTTGCCTAAAGGGTTAATAAATATAATGAGGTCTCAAACATATCTGTACATGTTACTCACAGCTAGAGTCATATTGATTTATTGTTTGATTCTATATGACTTTATCGCCTTTGTGCTCTAGTCCTTGAGGAACGATGAACCGAGTCCCTCAACAGCCGCTGGCATGTGGCGCCTGGGAGCTGAAGGAGCGTCTGGGCACCGGAGGCTTCGGGAACGTCACAAAATGGCAGAATAAGGTGAAAACATAACATTTACTGCAATAAGAAATGCATGTTTTTCACTTGAAGACATAATATCTTCTGTCTGTTGTATTAGGGCTGGGCGATAAAACGATAACGATATATATCGCGATAGACATGTGTTCGATATCAATAGAGAATGGGGTCGATAGAATGTTCGATAGTTTAACTTAACTCCGTCAGGAAAAACAGGAAGAAAACACCGGAAGTAAAGCCGACTCATAAGCGCATGGCATTGTGGGAGATGTAGGCAGAGGCTTCTCGACCAATAACAGCCGAGCAGGAACCGCAAAACTTTCTGGGAAATGCAAAAACACCAACAACCGCACCATGCGTGGCGTCCATGGATCTATAGCTCGTGTTTCAATGCCGTGTCAATGGTTATGCACGTACGTGCGCGGAATAACATGTGCGGCGGCAGAGGCAGTGGACAGACCCGATGTATTCGGCGAAAGCAAGAGATTAACTTTTTCCTCGGGAAGCATGTGCGGCACAGAGAGCCGCACGGAGCGGTCACGGGGACACAAGACCCTCAAACAGCTAAACCAGGAACTAAACCAGGAATAAAAAAACAGGATTAAACCAGGACTAACAACGAGGGACACAGTGTGAACATATTCCTCCAGCTTCATCGCCCCGTGACTGTAAACAAGGCTGCTAAGGTTGGTTAGCCCACACGACAAATATATTTATTTAGGTTTAAAAAAAAAAAACTCAATATATATCGTTATCGACCGATATGAATGACTTATATCGTGATATAGTTTTCAGCCATATCGCCCAGCCCTATGTTGTATGTTGAGAATCTGAGCTGAAACAACTAATCGATTAATCGACGACTAATCGATTATTGAAATAGTCGACAACTATTTTAGTAATCGATTAATCGTTTTCTGGTTCACACGGACTCAAACAGAGCAAAAATGACATGAAAATGTAGTATTTTTGATTAAAACCGACTTTGTTTTTATAATTTCATGAATATCTGTCTGTCTCATCCAATCAGAGCCGAATTAGCACAAAGAGCCTGTTACAAACATTTACTTTAAGTGTACGCCATCAATACGTCCTCGAGTGTTGCCACTTTAGCTTTTTGTGATGAAAAAATAAGGTTTTTCTACACAATTCACAGCCAAGCGATTACTCGATTAATCGTAAAAATAATCGATAGATTAATCGATTTACAAAATAATCGTTAGTTGCAGCTCTAATACACAGGGGAACTTGGAAAATTAGAATATTGTTCAAAAGTGAATCTACATCTACAATTCAACTCACAATGTGAAACTAATATATGACAGACTATTTAATACAGTTTGTTATTGTTATATGATAATTACTGACTCACAGCTTGTAAAACCCCAAATAAAACCTTTCAGATATTTTGAAAACAGACCACTTCAATTAATTGTATTTGCATATAGCCCTAAATTACTACAGTCGTCTCGGAAGACTTAACAAAATTGTCGATTCACAAACAACAGATCAGAGAATCAAACAGTTTGAACACAAGAAATGCAATCATTACAAACACATACACTGTAAAACATTTCTGTAAAATCACAATGAAATTTCAACATTAAACAAATGTTTTTTTGAAAAACAATTCAAACCAATTGGTTAAAAAACATCCAGTGGCGTTTTATTACCACAATTAAAATGTGATTACAAAAAACATTACAATACCATAAAATACATGTGATTACTGTAATTTAACATCAACTTGTTTTATTTTTGGAATTCTGGGAAATGAGTGTAAGAGGTCTACACTCCTGCTATTCTTTTGTGTTAAGCGAGTTATAGAAGTAAAGATTTCAATTATTTTCTTGTATAAACTGAAGATGTTAGAAATATAATTGAAAAGTTGTGTTCATTAAATAAAAGCAAAATTAAACTGTAGTTTTTTGTTCAATGAAACTATTTAGAAACAGAAACAGTCATATGGTGTAATAATACAACATTAACATTATAATGCTGTTTTTGTTGCATGTGAATTAACAGGAAAATACCGTTAAATCCTGAAATCACAAAGGCATAATGTGATTCAGTGAAACAGTCTTTAACCGTTAATATTAGCAACGGTAATGCCATGTTGAGAAAACGGTAAATCCCTGGAACCATAATTGCCAGCTTTTAACTGTTTTTCTACAAGGAAATTTTTTTACAGTGTAGGTCTATAGGGAACGGGATGAATGCTGTCCAGAAATGTTCATAAATGTCCGTAAATGTCCTGGACCTTAGACCTTAGACCTTAGACCTTAGACCCAATGAACCATGGGCATCAAATATTACAGATTGATTCTTTTCCACTCTCTAGTTTATAAAAAAGTTTATCAACGTGTTGTATCTATCAGAAGAACAACTAAACCTTGACAGACAATTGGGCGCCAAATACGTGTTTTCATATGTTTCAACTCAATGTGAAATTAAACTCTAACGTAATAATGGCGGGAAGTGGGAGTTCTCACGGTTTTAGTGGCCCCAGTGACTGGCAGAGTGACAAATATTGACCCCAGTTCTTGAGGGGCACTGCTTCCTTTTTAGTCACGACCAAAGTCCCATTGAGGAAGCGCTCTGTTCAACAATACAGAGGTCTATTATTAGAGCTGGGATCTGATCATGAGGAAACAGAGGGTGATGTCATGACGCACAGGTACCGCTGCACTGACTCATGTTTCAGACACAGATTTACTTCAGCAGGACATTTCCCCACATTACTTACTTACTTACTACTCTCTCGCTTGCTCGGTCTCGCTCTCTTAATTATATCACACACACACCAGACTCATTATAGGCAATGGGGGTGAAGTGTCTTGCCTAAGGACACAACGACAGCAGACATCAGTGGGAGTCGATTGTGAAAGTCGGGCTCGAACCCACAACCCTCTGGCTCAAAGGCCAATGCTCTACCAACTGAGCTACTGTCTCTTGCTCGCTCTTGCTTGCTCTCTCTCGCTCTCTCTGTCGCTTACTGGCTCTCTCGCTCGGTCTTGCTCGGTCTCTCTCGCTCGGCCTCTTTCGCTTTCTCTTACTGGCTCTCTCTCTCTCACTCTCTCTTACTCTCTCTCACTCTCTCTTACTCTCTCTCACTCTCTCTTACTCTCTCTCACTCTCTCTTGTTCAATACAGAGGCCTATTATTAGAGCTGGGATCTGATCATGAGGAAACTGAGGGTGATGTCATGACGCACAGGTACCGCTGCACTGACTCATGTTTCAGACACAGACTTACTGTGAAAAACTTTCTCTCTCTTGCTGGCTCTCTCGCTCTCGCTTGCTCTCTCTCGCGCTCTTTATCGCTCACTCTCTATCTCACTCGCTCTCTTTCTCGCTCGCGCTCTCTCTCTGTCGGTCTCTCTCGCTCGCTCTGTCTCGCTCGCTCGGTCTCGCTCGCTCGGTCTCGCTCGCTCGGTCTCGCTCGCTCTCTCTCTCTCGCTGGCTCTCTCTCTCTTGCTGGCTCTCTCGCTTTCTCTCACTTTCTCTCGCTCTCTCTTACGAATATACAGGATCTCTTAATCTTCTTCCTTCCTGCTCAACTAGCCTGGTCAGGTTAATCAGCGTTGCTGCTGATTAGTTCATTGGTTGCTATGTTGTTGCTACCCAGAAAATTATATAAAGACTTTTAACCCTTTAATAGTTTCCTCAACATTTGGTAGATCACTTTTTGGGTTACTATATCGACTTGAAGAAATTTACTTCTTAGGGTTGGTTTTAGGCACTTTTACCATTCAAATCGGCATCGCAACCATTTTATAAGGGACTGTAATGATGGTGAAAAAATTGGTTATTAGTGCTCCTGCCTAAAATACAAAAAAGAAAAACTGACATTGCTTTCTACAAGGAGTGAATGTTAAAGGGTTAAGAGAGATTTATATTTTCTCAAAGCAGTAGTCATTCTGAAGTTACCTGCAGGAATCATACTTGGGTTGGGGAGAATCCAGAACATCAGCATTAGAATGTATTTGTGACGTGATTCAGTCGTGTTTCTGAATCTTCTGTGTCTGTGGTTTCAGGAGACGGAGGAGCAGATCGCTATCAAACAGTGTCGACAGGAACTGAGCGACAAAAACCAAGAACGCTGGTGTCTGGAGATCGAGATCATGAAGAGGTCGGTTTCACTCACATACAGTATACACACACATACAGTATACACACACATACAGTACACACACACACAGTACACACACATACACTATATACACACACATACAGTATACACACACACACAGTACACACACATACAGTATACACACACACACAGTACACACACACACAGTACACACACATACAGTATACACACACATACAGTATATATTAGCCTGTCCGTCCGGAGGAGCGGATCCCTTTCTCATATGGGTCTCCCTCCCTGTGGGTTTCCCTAGTTCTCCTCCAAGGTTTCTCACTTTTTCCCACTGGGTTTTTTAAGAGTTTTTCCTTGTCGATGCAGGAGGGTCTTGTTGGACAGTTAGTGTCCAACAGAAAGAATTGGTGATGATCAGGACACTTTAGCATTCTACAACATGTATGGACATTTTCTTCTGTGTGTGCTTTATATTCTTCATGTGTTTTAACTGTTGATTCTCTGACCTGTGTTGGTGATTTCAATGGTTTTGTTAAGTCCTCTGAGATGACTTCTGTTGTGACCTAGGGCTATACAAGAATAAATTGTATTGTATTGTATTGTATACACACACACAGTACACACACACACAGTACACACACATACAGTATACACACACATACAGTATATACACACACACAGTACACACACACACAGTACACACACATACAGTATATACACACACACAGTACACACACACAGTACACACACATACAGTATACACACACATACAGTATATATACACACACACAGTACACACACATACAGTATACACACACATACAGTATATACACACACACAGTACACACACACACAGTACACACACATACAGTATACACACACATACAGTATATACACACATACAGTATACACACACACAGTACACACACATACAGTATACACACATACAGTATATACACACATACAGTATACACACACACACACAGTACACACACATACAGTATACACACACACACACAGTACACACACATACAGTATACACACACATACAGTATACACACACACACACAGCACACACACATACAGTACACACACATACAGTATACACACACATACAGTATAGGCAAGGCAAGGCAAGGCAAGTTTATTTATATAGCACAATTCATACACAAGGCAATTCAAAGTGCTGAACAGAACAAGAAAGCATTAAAATCATAAATAATCACAGTACATTAAAAAAAGATAAAAATATAAAATCCCTCAGTTGTATGCACAGTTAAACAGAACTGTTTTTCAACCTTGTCTTAAACATTGTCAGAGAGGAGGCCTGTCTCACATCTTCAGGAAGACTGTTCCAGATTTTAGCAGCATGAATCTGAAAAGCAGCCTCCCCATGTTTAGTTCTGACTCTGGACACTAACAGGAGTCCAGTCCCTGTGCTCCTCAGAGTCCGGGCTGGTTCATATGGGACTAACATGTCACTAATATATTTTGGTGCGAGGCCATGGAGAGATTTGTACACAAGCAGAGCTGTTTTAAAGTCTATTCTCTGAGCCACAGGAAGCCAGTGCAGGGACCTGAGGACCGGACTAATGTGGTCGTACTTCCTGGTTCTAGTCAGGACTCGAGCTGCTGCATTTTGAATGTACTGCAGCTGTTTTACAGCCTGTTTGGACAGACCTGTGAGCAGGCCATTGCAGTAGTCTAACCTACTGGAGACAAATGCATGGATAAGAATCTCCAGGTCTGCTTTAGACACTATTTTTTTGATCCTGGCAATGTTTTTTAGATGGTAAAAAGCTGCTGATGTTACTGATTTGATGTGGCTATTAAAATTTAAGTCTGAGTCCAGTATTACCCCTAGATTTCTGACCTTGTTTGAAGGTTTTAGGGAGAGAGACTGTAGGTGACAGATGACGCTCTCTCTTTGTTTCTGGGGACCAAAGACAATCATTTCAGTTTTGTCTGCGTTTAGCTGAAGGAAGTTGTTTTGCATCCACTCACTGATCTGTTGGATACAGTGAAGGAGTGAGTCCACTGGTCCATGGTCTCCTGCAGTCAGTGAGACATAGATCTGAGTGTCGTCTGCATAGTTGTGATAGGACACTTTGTTTCTGCGTATTAACTGACCTAACGGCAGCATGTAGAGATTGAACAGAAGAGGTCCCAGGATCGACCCCTGTGGTACTCCACAGGTCAGGGCCATATGATCTGAGACACAGTTTCCAATCTCCACAAAGTACTTCCTGTCTTCAAGGTAAGACCTAAACCAACTTAGGGCGGTGCCAGCGACTCCAACCCAGTCCTCTAATCTCTGTAAGAGGATCTCATGGTCGACGGTGTCAAAGGCAGCACTCAGATCTAACAAGATTAAGATTGAGACTTTGCTTGCGTCAGTGTTCAGCCGGATATCGTTTGTAACCTTGACAAGAGCAGTCTCAGTGCTGTGGTGGGGTCTAAAGCCGGACTGAAACATATCAAATGAGTTGTTGATTATAAGAAATCTAGTAAGCTGTAGGTAGACAACTTTTTCAAGGACTTTCCCCATAAATGGCAGATTTGAGATGGGACGATAGTTGTTAAGTACCGTAGCATCCAGGCTGCTCTTTTTTAGCAGGGGCCTGATGACTGCAGTTTTCAGGGCCTTTGGGAATATTCCAGAATGAAGGGACATGTTTACTATCTGTGTGAGTGAAGGTAACAGACTGCTCAGAACAGACTTCAGAAATCTAGTGGGTAGTACATCCAGGCTGCATGTGGAGGAGCTCAAACTGGAGATTATTTCTTGGACATTTTTATCATCTACAGGTGCAAAGTGTAGGGTAACTACTTATATTGCTGATTATGTTATAAATTTAGTAGTGTGGAGCGGCTAGTCTCCGGATCGGAAACTCGCCGTTCCACCAGTGGGTCTGTCTTATTTATTTTGGGCACCAGTAGACGTTTGAGGGTCTACGACAGACCCAAACCAACTTTGCCTCGAGTCAGTCTTATAATCAAAAGGTAGTTAATTCGTAAATCGGCCAGGGATATACCGAAATCTAACAACACGACTCTGATAGGATTGAGTTAAAGAAAAGGGGGTTTATTGATTACAAAAATGAAGGTAAAAATATAACGAAGGGGATTTCTGGTCACATTAAAGCAGAAGTGTTATACATTTCATTCAAATCACACATTTAACAAGAACAGTCTTACTTTGTAGGAGCGTAGAGGATGGAGAAAGGATTTGGGTTGGGTAATCAGCCCACGTGGTTTCTTTGTCTGGGCAGGCGGGAGGTACGAAGCCAGCGAGTTGGTCCAGCTGCTGATCCACGCGTATGCAGCCCAGTCCGGAATGGGTTGCGCGCGTAGAGTCCAGAGCCAAGAAAAGAGGCTGGTGATGGAACAGTTCATAAGGTCCCGAGCCCGAGGAGAGTGTGTTTTGCGGAGTAGGAGGCCCGATGCGTGCTGGCGCGGCCGTAGTTGTAGACACGTACCGCGGGACGCAGATGGCCAGGGAGAGCTGGAATGGTGATTTCAGGAGTGGACAAGAGAGTGTTTGTTGCGTTGTGAGAGTTTATATTGACTTCTGAAGGGGGCGCGTCCTTTGACGTCATCCATGTGCGACGGCCTCCTCACAACAGGCGGTTTATCAAGAAAAGCACACAAGATCAATACAGTCACCCATAACACATCGTACAAACACACAGTGCATTTACATCACAGACATCAACACACACGAGTAAGGTCCGTAACGTTATCGACATAATATTACAGAGTAATGTCCTTTTCGAGTGTCCGCCTCGGGTGCAGTAGTGTCCAGTGTCCGCTAGGGAGCGCCAGAGCGCCGTGGGAGAGTCTCAGGTTGTGGAATGTCTCATGAGCGATTGCTGATGAATGATTCCTGATCTCCGTCTGGCAGGGGGGCACACAGATGTCCTGTTCTGTTGTTTTATTGCCCCTCTGGGTCTCGTTGTGGTGTTCCTGGTGAATGTTAGCCTTTAATTGAACCCGCAGTTGCTTTGAAGTCTCAGGAGCTAGGGAGGGCATGTTTACGGAAAGGGTCTGCTATTCACACCCGATTGGCGCTCACCCTTTTCCTCACCCTACAAAAGTAAGTTAGCTCAGAGAGCCTTTCTGGCTGTTGGATGGTTATCTGTGGATTGGAGACAATGGCGTTTTTGATGCCTTGAACCTTGTCATTGAAAAAGTGTGCAAACTCATTGCATTTACGTTTGGAAGTTAGCTCTAATGGCATCTGAACAGGGGGGTTTGTTAATCTATTAACTGTTGAAAACAGAACACGCAGATTGTTACTGCAGCCTTCAATCATTTCAGAAAAATACCTTTCTCTCATACTACGTAGCACCCGGTTAAACTCGCACAACTTATCTTTGAAGATCTTGTAATCAACCTGGAGGTTGGACTTGCGCCACTTCCGCTCGGCCCTCCGGCACTTTCTCTTTTGTGCCCTGACCGAGTCTGCTTTAGCCCACGGCGCCTTCTGCTTATTTTTCACTATTTTAACCTTCACAGGGGCAACGGTATCCAGAACATTCAAAACACTAGAGGTGACAGAGTTAAACAGTTCATCTACAGTAGAATACGATGCATTCTCAAAGTTTATCATTCCCATAAATAGATCACCCGTATTTTAATTTATGCGTCTCCTTCGAACAGTTGCAGAGTCCACTGGTGGTTTGTTAGTGAAACACATGTCAAAAAATACACAGAAATGATCCAAAAGAGCAACATCGACCACGCTTATATTTGAAATATTCACCCCCTTTGTAACTAACAGGTCTAGAGTGTGCCCTCTGCTGTGGGTGGGGCCACTCACATGCTGAGTGAGACCAAAGGTATCAAGTAAAGAACTCAGCTCTTTTGCATTTCTGTCATCAACATTATCCACATGAATATTAAAATCACCTGTAATAACTAAACTATCAAAATCTGTGCATACGGGGGGCGCTGTTGAGCGTTGGCATGTGAGGACGTGTCTGCAGTAGCTCCGCCAGAATGTGACTTTTTATTGTATTTTTACA